GATAAATTGCCGTGTTTTTTGCAGTCTGCCACACCGTGGCTGATGAAATCAGCAACGTACCATTTCCACACATAGCGAGCAGTAGCTGCGTTGTTCTGATTTGACAGAAACAGGCCTGAGGGGCTTCTCTTTGGAGCACTTGTCACAGGGACCAAATACAATTGCTAAGAAGGTCTGGTCCATCTCGGTGGATCACGAGAGCTGAAAGAGAAGAAGGAAAGCGTGCGTTCCAGTCCAGCACAAAGCTGTGCCAGCTAAGGCAGCCTGGGCTGTATATAGACATCTGTAGGCTGGATAATCTCTCTCTGTGACTAATCTCTCGAGCTGGATGAACTGTCACTATATACAAGACAGTCACATGGTCTGCAGAGTCTTTTTTTGTCAAGAAAAACATAAAGCAGAACATATATTTACACACACCATTATAGTATGTGCTTTGCTTATGGGTTCACTACTTGTGGGAAAGGGCTTCTAATTTGTACTCAGCCACTGCCAGCAGACAATAACCAGAAATCCACAGCAAGAGCTGGACTTCTGAGAAACCTGAACCAATCAATACATTTTGTTTTTCTACTACATTACAAAACAGTCATTATTATACATTATTTTTAAAGCAGAAAAGATGACCTAGGATTTGGTCAGCAGCAGCTACAAAATATTATGACCAATATGCTATTTGAGCAGAAATTGATGCCTCAAGCACAGCTGGGCCATTACAAATCCACTTTTGTTCTCAAGGTAGGCATCTCTAAGATCAAAGCACTATCACCAAGAGAGTATTAAAAACTACTTGAGAGTCAGACAAACAAATGAGAATAATATTGCAGTGTCATTTTTCTCTGTACATTTTTCATAGGGAAAACAGGACCTTTCACCTCTTCTAAAAATGGAATTTTTTAACATTATTTAAACTTGTACATAAAAAATGAATTTGTGGTAAACAATCAGAAGTAATTATTGCAAGAGAGATTTAAATGGAACAAAATAAATTCAATGACCTATGACATTTTATAATTGGTGTGGCTGGACATTATACAAAAATCAAACCAAACGTTACTCTGTGTACCTGTCTCCTTTCTGCTGCTTATTCTTACGTATTTCAGTGGACTACTTGAAAAGTAAGATAATAAACTCAGAAATCCTGCCCACTGTTAAGGCAATAAAAGTTTTGCTGTTGTCTCCAGGGGATGCATGACTTCATCCCAAAGCATGTGGGAAGAAATCTGTCCTGGAAGGAACTGCAGTGTAATAATTTAAAATTTGCATGGTGATTTCAGTCAATGTCAAGGAGGTTGATATTCCACTTGATGAAAAGCACCAAATATGGCCTGAAGCTTTTCATGGCTTTTTTTGCAACTGTGAACCCGAGCCCACAAGACCACAAGACCCTTTCCAGGGAGGTTCTCTGTGCAGGTATTTCTCAGTGCTGTAAAATGTCTGCAGGGCCTGGCCTCAGCTCTCCCAGATCCTTTAAACTGGACATTCACAACTGAATAACCTGTTATTCCAAGGTTCTCAGAATTAGTGGTTCCCTGAGGAACCACTGATCTTATTTGAACAAAATGTCATCAGTAGCTCCAGACACTTTTGACAATGATCTATTAGGCTTGGGATAAATACTCTGGGCAGAATTAATCTTTGGTAAAATATGAGAATTTGTAATGAACAGGAGGAATCATACCTGCTATCAGCATTTTACTTCAGATGAGATTATGACACATTACAAAATTCTGCTACAAGAGAAGACATCTAAAGTTCTGAATAATTAAAAAACAGTATTACTCCTGAGATAGTATACAAATCCATCACTATGACAACTTTACAAATATATTTAAAGCAAAAAGATCTAAAACCATTACAAGGTCTAGCATTGTAGCCTTTTTTTTTAAATTTTAACCTTGTAAAGTTACACTAGAAATTTAAAAATAGTGAATCATTAAGAAATGCGTTATTACAGAGAAATTCTGTACAATTAATCTTGTTGTAAAATGAAAAAAAACAACAGTTACCCACCTTTTCAGAGAGCAAGAACCTGGAGATTCTCAAGATGACTAAGCCCTGTGGAGCTGCTAACGGAGAAAGACAACCTTCCTATTAATTCTACTTAAAGGTATTTAAAGCTCAGCCTCTCCAGTTGCACCACCTCAGATCAGTTACATACTGGGGATTACTGATGATAATGATTTTATTTTAACTGCCCTTTTTTAGAACACAGAAAAAAGAACAGAAACTATTTGGCAAGGCAAACCTTACTTGACTGTTCCAAACAGCAGGTTTTTTGATAGTTTGTTTATAAATAAATATTTGCTTGTTAACAAATATTAAAGTTGAAATATACTGGGGGGGGGTGACTGACAACTGATTTTTCCAACTATCAACCTGGTATTCTGACAAACAGCACTGCCAATATTCAGTTTATCCCATATTCTTAAAAATTTACAAGTGTAACAAATTGATTGGTGCCCATACTGCTTCTTCCTTGGTTATACTTCTACGATTCTCCTGTTCTAAGACAATAAATTTAAAGTCAATAGGATTTAAAATTGCTGCTTTTCTTGCACTCTTTGAAGAAAGCCCAGCAGAGATATGAGCAAAAGTAACCAGTTCTAATCATCTTTTATTGGAATACTATGGGAGCACAGGACTGAAAGGGAGCACCTGTGCTGCTGAGCTATATTTCCAGAAATTGCAGGAGTCACATGTCTAAACACATCCAAAAATGCTTTCCGTGCTTTCCTACTGCAGTAAGGATCACCATTCAACACTTTCCCATTTTAATGAAATAGCTTTCTCCTTTAGCATCATTCTAGGAAAGTTAACTTCAGTAATGCCTCTTTCATGTATTTTTCTGCCTTCACTAAAACTGCTCCTTATAATCATAAGAATAACAGAGAACAAAAAGAATTTTGCACTTAAATTTTGGCTGAAGGCATTAATATCAGCAAAAGCAAGATAAGTTTCTGAGAGCATACAGTAAGCCAGATAATTTTAAATTTGTTTTAAAAATATACCTTGTTGTTTGCATACACAGCATTAATAGCACACTCCACACAAAGCTCTCAAAGTAACGAAGCATGAAATTGTCAGAGCAGTTTTCCTTGATCAACTATTTTTGTCATAAGAGCACACACACCTTGACACTTCTCTGTGATGTGGATGCAAGAGTGAGCTGTGATTTTCCTCCTGTCAGCCCAGGTAAGAGACACAGCTCCAACAGCTGCAAAAAAGGGCTGTGCACAACTTGCAGCAATGAAAGTTGCTTCCATTAAACTATTTCCAGAAATTCATGAGGAGCCAAGGACAGCACACAATGCTGACAGGAAGATACAAAATGTTACAGCAAAGCAACTAAATTAATGTTTATGGTGCAATGCAAGACTGACAGCACTCACAAATGTTCACATAGTTCCAAGTAACTTCTTTCAAATTATTCCATACTGAAAACTTAATTATTGCATCACACAAAGAACTACAAATTGAGTAAAAACTACTTTATTTAATATGTTAGAACACAAGTCTACCTACATGTGTGATCTTTTTGTACAGCTTTTATTGTTATTGAAAAAAAACACAAAATGTTTCCTTCATATATTTGGACTATATCTCTGTGGATATCATGAGGAATATGACACTGTACATGGTAAGCACCAACAACACTAAATAGCAAGAATTCCCTCTTTATACTTAGATTGTTTGTGAAATTAAACAAGAAGTACTAACACTGTAGTAATAATAATAAAAAAAAATCAAAGAAATTGTTCCTTAAATTAACTCAATTCATTATAATCCTTTAACTATTTCAGAGTTTTAGTATTTGATTTTAACAACTATAGCTAAAAAAGTAGCTAGAAACCCAGCATTAGTTACCTGTTTATGGACAGTCACCCTTGTGATGAGGTAAATGCTATTTCCCCTGTTGTTCTGACAGGGTCCAGAACTAAATAAAGTTACTGTTTTACTCTCTGACCACAGGGTGAAGGCTGAACAAAGCAGAAAGGAGACCATTTCTGCATTTCAGGATCCTGCAACTGAAATTACGTAAGTAAAGGTGAAATGTAAGGAATTAAGCTTGGTTTATCATTAACACCAGACCACAGTTGCTGCATCTGCACCTATTCAATCTCTGGGCTGGAGGGAAACCAGCAAAATGAGAAAGGCAGAAAGGTGATGTGAGCATACTCAGTGTATATTCTGAAATCCATTGCACTGCAGAACCAAACCAGGAGATGACTCCTGTCTTTCAGAGAACCAAGCTTGTAATTCAAACCTGGATCATAGCATGAATTTTATATCTAACTTTTCTATTACAATATTGAATCCAAACTTGTCACTGTAGAGAACAAAACTGAAACCTGTCTCCAAGGAGAGCACCTGAGTTCTTGCTCTGGTCGAAGAGCCATGTAGAGTGCCAGAGTTGCAATAAAAGCACTCAGAGAGCCAAGCCTGCCTGCCTGCCTACAAAAAGACATTGTGGGTTTGTAACAGCCATTCTCTTAGATTGATCTCAGTTCCCCTGTTCACAGAAAGGTGAAAGCAGTCTCAAATAGATCCAGTATATCAAGGCAAGGAATAGAATTGCCTTGGGAAGAAAAAAAATCCCTCTCATTACAGGAAGTGAAGGCAAGGAAAATTGTAAAGCAGTAACATCTATCACATGCCAGTCTTCCCCTCTGACTGCTGCTGACAGGGCAGCAATGTAAACTTGTCAGATAAATGCTTCTCTTGTCTGGTTTGGACTAAAAACTCTATGGTAAGCTTTGTGTCTAGGTGATGATATAAAGTTATTCTTGTAGGACTGAAATGAAGGAAGAAAAGTAAGAAAAGGGAGAAGGAAATAATAAGTCAAAATTACTCCTACTGTTCAAGTCTTGACCAAAGAATAAGTTTTTAACAGCTTAATTCACTGTATGCTGCCACACTATCCACCAGCTGGTGAAACGAACCATGAAAGTCTGCTGTCTTTATAGAGCCTCTGAGGAAATACCAATTCACTGGTTTTATTAAACCCTCGTGAGAAAGCCAAGTTTGAAGCTGCTGGGGACTTGTATCAGTTCCAAAGCATGTGGAGAGGGGGTGAAAGGAAACGTCACTTGAAAGAGATGCTTGGTATCAAGCATCAGCTGTGGAACATCCTCACGGTTGTTTAGCATAGCCTGAAATCAGAACAGAAAGTATGAAAACAATCAATTAAGAATCAAAGCAAAGTCAGTACATTGCTTTCTTCCCATTGCAAATCTTGCTTTTCCATGATGTTAAGCAGATTTGTTTGCATCACTTTCAAGTGTCTAGAAGATGAGCAACTTAGTAACAAAGTGATGTAAAGGTCAAGTACAACTATAAAGCATCAAAACTGGTGTGTATGGAGTATTCTGTAAGCTGGATATTAGAAATAGCAGTTGTAGCTCTTACCTGGACTTTGCGAACAAATGATGGAGTCACTCTTTTCTCAAAGTCATCTATCGGAGTGTACGAGTTCAGGATCTTAACTATCTGCTCAAATTACAAAGGACTATTTTAGTGTGTCATAAAAAGGGAGAAGACAGAAAGAAGAAAGCATTATTATGACATTCTTACTGATATTTAATTAAAGTTTCAGTAAAATGTTTAAAGAGAGAATTTTGACTTGTCACCTACTGAGTTGTTACATATATGATGATTGCTATGATTAATTTTCAGAGGTGTCAGAAGGATCAAGGAGATGTAGAAAAAGCTGAATTGATCAGGGGGAAGCAATAAAAAGCCCCCTGTGACATACTAAAAAAATACATTGTGGAGCAAAAATGTGGGATACAACACAGGGAAGCATTCACCACGGGAGCAGTTGAAATGCCCAAAACAATCAGGAATAAGGAGTTAAAATTCCAGTTTAACAAGTGATGATGTGGATTGCTGAGGAATGCTATTTTTATAAAATGGAAGTCCAATGGCTTTCTTCAACTAATTATTTTAGGTAGCTGAGATTCTGCAATCAGTTCTGCCAGAAGGAAACAGATGGTTCATTACCTGCACAGTAGAAAGAGATGTGCAGTGTTCACATATTTCTTTGGCATCATCATCTGTGATCTTTTTAACCTGAAGGAGCCAGGCTGCTTGAGACAGGGGCTCCAAAGTTTCTTTGGCATTGCTGCTTTGAAGATTCTTGTCCTTAAGCCATTCTTCCAAGTAGCTGATGTTACATCTGGGTTAAACCATGGACAAAGAACAGAAATGTCAGGTTCCCCTTGACAAGCAAGTTACTTTGAAGACTGCTCAAGAAAAAACAGTCTTCTAATGTTGTGTTCAAATTAATGCATTTTAGTTAAAAACAACACCTGCAGACCATAAAAATCAAGTGATTAATAGCTTATTGAACTATAAATTAAATGCTTTGAACATTTCAATTTTTATTTTGTCTTCACTTTCTACTTCTTAAAGCTTGGCTAATAGAAAGTGAGTTATTAGTTTAGCTGTTTCCATTAAAATTACTAATATATACTGGCATTGTCTACTGCACTGTATGGCATTAAAACACTTATTTACTACTGAGCATGTACAGGAAATGAACGATCTTTGCTGTTACAAAGCAGGGCCAAGCCTATAACTGATGACCAGCTTTCTTCTAGTAATGTTCCCAGATGGGCCAAGATTTTACTGATTTTCCTTCACCCGAGTCAGCAGACTGACTCATGGAGAAGAAATGCACTTCTTCTGCAAAACACTTCAGAGCATGCAGACAATTAGGGGCATGTTTCCTTGATGCTTGCAACAAGAGAGATGATGCTCAGACTACGGCCTCCAAGGCTGCCTCTCAGCGCCTGTCTCGTCACAGAGCATGAAACATGCAAGTCAGCTTTTGTATCTCTGCCAGCCCTGGGACACTGCACCTGTTCACTGCAGTAAGAAAGAATTAAAAATACTGATGGTCACATCACGGATGAGCTAGCACGGAAAGAATCCGAACCATGTCTGACTGTAAGCTTCAGACTGTAATTTTCTCTGCCTTTTCCTCCACTAGTGTTTCCATGGAAAGAACAATTTATAGTTGGCCCATGTTGAGAAAGCTCAGCCCAAAATACAAAGATTTGTTTTTCCAAAAGAATAAAAAAACAATTAGCTACTTCCAGCAGAATGGTCACAGAACATCCAGTGACTTTGAGGTAAAGGACATTACATACAAGTGTTAAAAATTATTTCTCAAGCTTCTAGAAACTTTACTGGCTTCACCTTATCTGCATTCCTTTTCTACAGGAGCACATGTCCTTGCGGAGGAAGAGACTATTGAGGGTGACAGCTCCAATCAGAAAGAAAAGCTGCTTCACTGCCTGCTTTAGGAGCTCAGAGTCCAAGCCATTCTGACACATAGTGCTATAAAAATAGCTGAGCTGCTGCAGGATGGAGGTCATAGTGTAGGTATCCGTATCATCTATACTAGAAGAACGTTTACGGAACCCTGTAGGTTTCAAGCCAGAAATTCCTTGAAGACTTTCATATTCCAGCATGCCTGGTACTGAAATACAACAGAAAATAACTGATAAAATCAAAATTCACGAGGTTCCTTTCGTTACATTCATTATTGAACAAAACCTACTTTCAGGGTATTTTAGAAGTTAATTGATACAAGAAAAATAAGATACTGACAAAGGCTTCTGGAGCACACAAGTTTTAAAAAGCCTTTTATTTTTGTATGGTGTTGCTCAGATTCACAGCATTATCCTCCACTAGGAAGTTTTGAGGAAAAAGTCTGGGAATATCCTATCCATAAATACCAGAAGAAAGGAGTCAGTCCCACCCTCTGCCTCCCTGTATAAGCTTTCTTCATACACTTCACAAGCCACATCTAGGTCCTCTTGGATGTTGTCTTACCAATCATGTGCTGAATGTTGTTCTCCATCACAATAATGAATTGGTGATATATTCGAATGGCCAAATCACTGAGAATTTGTCTGTATTCTGAGAGATCAAAATGCTTCAAACAGTTCTTATTCTGACGTGCAGTGTTATACTTCATGAACTCCTACAAGTGAGTTGTAAATGGAATTAGAAATCACATAATGTGGTAATTATAAAATGTGTTGGAGTTACTGATTCCATCTCTGGCTGAGCACAGTCTCAGAATGAGTCAAAGCTACAGCTAATTTCAATGGATGCTTCCTGTACTTCATTTTCCAGTTTATGCCGATGCTTGCTCTGCTCCTAAAGCCAAAGGAAATGATGTCAATGAACTTTGGAGCAATTCCTAGATCTCTTAAAGAGAAAGCAAACTTTCCCTGTTCTCCTGTCATCCTTCCTGCCCCAACCCCCTAAAAAAAAACCCACCAAAAAAACACAACAGTGTAGTTGTTTCAACTATGATGGCAAACAAAAATCTTTACATTGTATTGTTGCAAAGCGATATTATTTTTGGACTTTTCATTAGCAAAGTTCTGACTTCAAAAGTCTACTCTGAACACTAACCTTTGTGAAGTATTTAATATTCATTAGAATGTAGATTAAAAGTAAATTATGGATCCCGAGCTTTCCCTACTGCTGCAACCCCAATTACAGAGTGTTGGAAATGAAGTTTGGCAGGTTTGGGTTCTGTGTGACCACGGTGTGGGCTCGAGAGGGAATGTCTCTAACCCCAGTACAGGCCACCCAAGCCTATAAAACCCCATTAAAAACACAGTAAGAGTTTCTAATTGAGAAGATTTAAAAGAAACTTGAATCTCAGGGTGAGATTTAGCTTAAACAAGCAAGTGAAATAAGGGAAAAACCTGAACAGTTCATTGTTTTGCTCCTTTCCAGAGGTTTTCTTTTATTTTGGTAGCAGTAAGTATTTGAATGGCCCTAATTATAAAATAGTAAAGCTGTTTTATATATATACACCCAGCCAGGTATCTGAAGTCCAGCTCAATTTAAACTCATGTGGAAAGATTCAAATTAAGTAGCAGTTTCCATGTCATGGCTTTAACCTCCTTTAGCACTTTGATGTTTCCTTCATTTCCCTTGATCCATTAACTCTATACTGTCCTATTATTTGTATAAGACACATAACACCACTGCAGAGCAATGTGTATATATATATATAAATACCTGTAAGAAACACCAGTGAGCTGGTGAATAGTTATTAATTAATGCTATTTTAAATTCCAATTAAAATCTGTCAAAAGTAATGAAATTATTTTATGAAATCAATCCTACCTCTTCCCCGCTGTACTGCTTCAAACAGTTAAGGAAATAATATGTATTGGAAAGCCAAAAGGACAACATCTCAAAGTCTTCTGAATGTTCCTGAAAATGGTAAGTAAAGCAGTCTTACTATGCTATTGTCTCATGAAGTTAGTTCAATAATTAAGACCATTACAGCAGTGGTGGAACAGAGCCCCTCTATACCAGAAGGAGCAGAGAGCATCTGTAAGGTGCTGAACAAATCCTGCTCTCTTTTCAGGCTAACACATAGCAAAGATCCCTCTTTTGCTGGGTAAATACTGCTTAAGTATTCTTACGTGACAGGCTAAATAATAAACTTGAACAAACAGTTTTACAGTTCCTATGGATATCTAGTGTGCTGGAGAGCTTCCTGCAAAGAAACATGAACAACACCCGCATTCACAAATGAAACTGAACTACATATAAACACAGTTCCATCTATCTCTTATTTTTATAAGCTGAGTAAACACAAGCTTCTCTAAAGGATAAACTGTGCTATAAATTTATTTGTGTGCAAACTTACAGGCATTGTCAGTACAACATGTTCAACTGCATAAACCACAGTCTCCTTAAACACATAAACCTCCTGTGCTTCTTCCCTGTGTCTGGTGTTTCATTCCATTGTAAGTCCCTAATACAGCATTCACAGAGCTGCATTTGTTATGTATACAGCATAGCAATTTTTGTTTATAATTTAATTTTGTACACTGGCTGGCAATTTGATTTTAACTGTTTGGGTTCTAGTGCTACGGTACAGGTGACATGCTGAATTACACCAGCAGCCAAGCAGTGCAAAAACCTCTTCAGAGTCCACTACCAACTTGCTGCCAGACATAGCAGCCTTCATTTCTGTCCCTCTGACTTTCACCTGTGCTGAAAGCACAGGTACACTTCACCTAATTAGCTACTCATAGTAAAATGTAAAATACTTTAAATTATTTTGTCAACAACATCTTCGGATAAATGTAATTTATGTTAATGCATTCTGTGGATTCCATGTTCAGCACAGCAGAACCTTACCTGGAGACTTTACAGGGATGCTACTACAAAGCTCAAAAAGTGTGTCACTAATGATTGTCATTCCCTTCTAGGAATATCAGCAAATGGAAGTGCTGGCATTTCCCAGGTACCATGCATGCCTTTTGTTAAAAATCAGAAAGTACAGTACACTTCAATCAAAGATAGCTCCTACCTTAACAACCTGTTTGATGCCATCAATGGTTACATTCATGAAGGACTTCAGCATGTCAGCACTGTTCAGGTAATCTGCATACCTCACACACATGAACAGGATGTGAGCTGGAAGGCCAGGTATCATATTAACTACAACTCCACGTGGCTTTAAATCTGCAGAGAGGAGAGTCATCTGGTTTGTTATGTAAAAATCCAATTTTCAATGTATCAAGCACCATGCTGTTCCTTTCTGGAGTGACCAGTCACTTTATAAGTGATTTACTGGTGAATCGCTTGTTTCTGAAAACTTCTGTAACGGTATTGCTCACATATGAGTATTAATTATATTTTCCTGAGGGTTAGAAAAGTATAGTAGTGAATTCTAAGGTCCAGCATAGGCTATGCCAGGCAGGACAACTTCAAAAAGCAAATTACATTTAACTACCCACTGGATACACCACTAAATTCCAGTGTTGCTTAAGGCCACACCTTTGTTCACAAAAATCCATTCACAAGTGAGGAGGTGAGAAGAAAAGGTAGGTGTTGTTAATTGAATAATGGTACAAATGTACATGGAAAATTTGTGAATTTCGCTATTAATTGTAAGCTAATGAGAAAAGCTGGTTTGGCAGCAAGATTGATCCTGTAAAGTAGCTCAGATGAAGGACAAAATCCTTCTACAAGAGAAACATGCGGTACAGTTCCTTTCAGTGAAAGGAAGAAATGGGAAGGACAGACAGAAGAGTAACCATCACACATGGATATATACACAGTGACTTACAGACTTAGTAGATGACCAGGAGGAAAGTAAATTCAAGTCCCTGGTGTGGTCTTGAGATTTATAGCTTTAGAGGTGGATAAATAGTAAGAAAGATTATGGTGTCAGCATTATGTAGAGAAAGAATAAGAGAAGTTATTTTTACACAGATAAAGTACTTCTGTACTTGAAATGTCTGGCACTGGAAAGAGAGCAATACAGAGCTTTCAAATTGTATTGGTGGTTAGAGAATGAGAGAAAAGGCAACTTTGAATATAGTGAAATATGGTGCCTTGTAGCTTTTGCTACAGTGTACTGTTGACGACATTAAAAATTCCAAGTTTTACTAAAATACCGAGGATCAGATTTTGAATAATCCTTTCTTCATCCTCTTTTTTGTACTCCATCATTCCAATGTACTCTTTGGGCACAGTGGGCACGTGGGCTTCAGCTGTCAAACACAAAAGAACTGTTACTTCCAGGTTAGTGGTTAAGCTAATGGTCACATTAGAACAAACTACTGGAGAAAAGCAGTTTTCTCCATAATAGAGGACACTATAGTGTCCACACTAATATCCTTATCTTATGGCTCCAAGCATTATGAGTTAAGTAACATTCATATTATTCATGAATAGCTTCAATGGACTCAGTGGGATTACTTGCAGTAATAAAAAAAGTAAACAGCAAGGTTACACCTCTACATTAGACAACTTTGCAGTGGTTTTGAGAGTATCCTGTAGTGAGGAACTACTTTGTCTACAAGGGCTTTGTACAGACTAACTTCACATCAGGAATCACCTGCCACTTGAAGGCTCACAGGGGAGGTCCCTGTCAGATGCAGAACTCACACTGTTGGTTGGGAGAGAGTTTGTGTGAGGGTGTGCATGAACTGCTGTTGGCAGCACCTTATCCCTCTGCCTCCACCTCTATCACACAGACCAGGTCCCCTATGTGCCTATGTTTTAGCAGGGGGAAAACCAAACAAACCAGGACAGGACTTCCATGTAATTTATGTTGATGATTCCCCTGGCACATCTTTCTGAGGTATTAAATTTCTATCTCCACCCCAAACTCCACCTTTTAAAAAACATACTTTTTCTTCAAACAGACACCAGTCAAAGCTATTAAACAAAATAAATCACATAATAATATCTTACCTTTCTCAATAGTCTTGGTCAGAGTTTTGATCTGATCCTCTAATTTTTTTATTATCCTGTCTTTCATGTCTAGCTTTTCTTCAAGATCCTGTAATAATCAAAGTCAGTGAATTCAGAGTAAACACAGTCAGAACACATTTTCTACTGCTCCATGTAATTGCCACAATTAAAGTGCACCATGATGTGCTCCTACTTATATTTGCTGGAAGAAACGCCTTCATATCTCTTTTTCTCCCTCAATTAATTGAAGAAATATACCACAAAATCATCATTTCATTCTTTTTCTCTTGCATTTCAGGTACAGTTTCTTAATGACAATTTCATTTCCTCACCATGTTTTCCACAGCAAGTCGAGTTGTCACTTGCTTTATCTGGCTTTGTACTTCATCCTGGACTTCATCCTGCAGCAAACCATTGCTCAGCCCCTCAATTCCTTGGATTGTGTCCTTCAGGCTCTCTTTTATGTCTCCTTCATTCTGGGCCTCAGTAGTTCTAAAAGTAGATAAGAAGTCTTGTTTCTTAATCTTTTGTGAAAGCACAGTCAGATCATACTTGTGCATTAGTTATGAACTGTAAAAAAACTCTAAGGCAAGTATCACTCTTAAGAGGAATGTAATACTTTTAAGGTTTAAGTGACTCTGTTCCCACAGCTTATAGTGACTACATTTCTTATAAAAAAAAATAATTAAAAATTACCGTCTTTGTGTCCTGTCCCGTTCTAGCTCATAGTGCAGCCGATTTGACACCTCTTCCATTTTTTTCAATAATAAATGGCAACAAAACCCAAAACAAAGCAGAAACAACAATATCAAAGATATTTACTATTCAGTACTACTATTCAGTAACTCTTTCTTACACTCATAATTTTGTTTCATCTAATGAAATTGAATGACCTGCCAGATAATGTATCAGGGAAATATGTGACTACTCTATACCACACAGATAATTATATGGGATGAAGAATTTTGATACTACTAACTTCTTGCAGTTGGCAGTAAAATCACTCATAAATTTTAAATCAGTTTAAATCCAAAGGACATATTTCATTCCATATTCTTAGCAGAGCCCTACGGAGACTTTCAAACCATAGAACTGAATGACCTCAAAAAGGAAAAAAACCCACACATTTGCATGTATATGATTCTTTAAGAAGAGATATAAGCTATACACCACATTTTTTCATTGCCTTTCTTTCATTTTACTAATAAGAAAGTAAGTAATAAGGCAATAGAGTACTCATGGAACATTAATTCAGCTTTTGAAAGTTCAGTTCCAGGGAATGAATCAAACTCATCTCAAACAACTGAAAGACTGGAGACCATAGTGGAACCATTACCTTTCAACTTTACGGTCTGCTCTTGAAGACGGTTTTCAAGATCTAATTTTTGATTTTCAAGTTCAGCAACTTGCTGCTTAAGGTCTGGGATTACCTTTTCGAGAAAAAGGAGATTTGTGTATTTCAGCACCTTCCTTCTTTTCAAATCCCTGCAGTAGTTCCTAGGTCACCCCACAACCCTCAACTGCAAATATTCCAAGCCAGAGAGGGGCTCTGGGGGGTGCTGCTGCCTGCTTGCCTGACTTGTTTAACTTTTCTGGAGGCACCTGCTTCTGGCCACTCTTAAAAACTAAATACTGAATCCAGCTGAATTGCTGGACTGTCTCACTACTACCATTGTTCTGCTCCAGTTTAAAGGAAATCACACTGTGGCTTTAATTTCCCCAGTTCAATTAACAGTGAAAAACCCCCCCCAACATTTCATAAAACAGTTTTTTAAAAAATCATATCATAAATAACTTTCCCTTTCATTTTCAATTTAGGTGACTTTGTTTTGAAAACATTTTTTGATTATTTTTCAGAAAAATGATATGGCATATGCTATCTTCTGGAACAACATCAGTTCCTTGTCTCAGACAGTTTTGCACAGCACCAGTTGTCAGGCTCTCCAGCCGTAGCAGGTTCTGAAATGTGCAGCTGCCCTCTGCTGGGGAGAGCCTCAGAACTTTGAGGAGGCTTCTGAGAAAAATCTCAGATCAGGTTTATGCAAATGAAAAGGCAAAGAGTCTCTGTGAGGCTGGCCCAGCGAGCTGCACACTCAGACAGTGGATGTGGCTGTCTCCTTACACACTAGCCCAGCAGGCAGGGACACAGCCTTATGGAGGTGCCATCTCACATGGCCCCCTTTGTTTGAGCCTTGAGATTTCAAAGACACGAGCACAATATTTTGAGTGCCACAGACACTTCTGGGTTGTACCTCTACACCTGGACCTTACCAGATTTTCTGAAGTTAGCCTGCTCACTTCAAGCCGAATGCCATCATTTATGTCATTTTCCTCTCGGAATAATTTTTGTAGATGATTAATATCTTGACTAAGATGTTCAACTTTAAAGTTCAAACCTTCAATTTCCTTCTCATATATCTCCTTCTGAGACTGGAAATGGCTTTCCAATACTCTGTTAAAACAAAAGTGAGAAAGCACATGGCAGATATAGAATGACCTTGATTAAATGGGTCAAATTTAATACAAAGTGAAAACAAAGTACTGTGATTAACACAGAGATATTCCATTACATCACCTGTGCATTCAAGGAGTTGAAAGTTATTCATGATATCACAGAGGAAACACATTTCCCTGACTGACACATACACACTTATCTCACTGGCTTGGTAGAAGTTTATTCAACTCATTTTAAACTGCTCAGTTCATCATATAATGTAGTGTTTGTTCATTTCCTTAACAGAAGTTCAGTATTTCACTGTAAAATTTGCTACCCACTGATCTTTCCATTTATCTTCTAGATCACAGCTTGGAGTTCTGGAAACAACGAAGAACTGAGCTAACCTTGTGGCTTTTTTCAAGCCCTCGTAAGCAAACCACAGTTCTCCATCCTCATTTAAGTGTTCCAGATCCTCTGTAGAGAGTCTAGAATGCAAGGCAGAACCATTAGTGTGCAGATGACCATAATGCATTTTTTTAAGCTTTTTTGAAGATGTCTCAGAACAAAATTACCTGCTTCTTACATCTTCAAAATCATAACTTTCAAGAAGCTGCTTTGTAACTTCTGACATCTTTTCTGGAAAAAAAAAAAAAAAACCCACAAAGTTTCTAAAATTCATTATTTTCTCTGCATGTTTCATTATAAAGATCAAACCATCCTTTTCCTAAATCTACAAGGTTCTTTCCTGGTGCTCAGTGAATACATCTGATTTACCACAGGAATACCATGAGGGACTCGGTTTGACTTTGGGATGTGTAGGAGCATTAGGTGGATGTACCACCAATACTGGGTTTTTTTCTAAACTTTCAATGCAAAGTTACATCTTTCTGGTCTGAATCTGGGCAGCTCCTGGAGTTGTATAGACGACTGCTAGGTTCCTACATTAAATGTTGCAAATACAGGTTTGCTCTATGACATTATTATCATTAAACAAACTTCACAATAGTAGTGCTTCTTAACTACGTTTTTCCAAAGAGAACCCAACTCAGCAAGTTATTTAAGCATATTTGACATTATTGGACCTAGGACAAAGGACAGGATGAATGAAAACTAGATAATGTATTGTTTACACATTTTTGGGTCACTTGTTAAGCTCTAAGTGAAGTTTAAATTCTAGGTGAAGTTTAAATCATTAGTATTTATTTCTAAACACAAAGGTGAAATGTCTGAATTCAGTTTCCTCAATGGGGTACCCCAGATCTCAGTATTCAGTGACCATTTGTAAAACTGTATATATATGTATGAATGGAATGACACCACCATGGGATGGGAAAGAGAACTGGAATTTTGTCATAGGTGACATTGAGGAGCTCAGTTTAGCCTGGCCTGGCTCACACTGCAGTCAGGAATTCTCTGGTGTGTAGCTTACCCCTCAATTCTCGCTTCTGTGACTGGGCCTGCTTTTCAACATCCAATTTTTGTGTCTGAAGCAGCTCAATTTCCTTTTGCAACTCAGGTATTTTCTGAATCAGACAGAAATCATATACTGAGACAAGGAGTGGATGACAAGGGCTGAATATCAGTTAAATCATAATTATAATAAAGAACAAGTTAATACGGTGAAAAGCTTAAAATGCCTTGTGTTTAAAGCATCTGGTTCTCAGGCATCAGAGCATAACAGTAATGTGATGCACTGAAAAAAATATGTTTGTGCCATGGAATTGACTCAGAGGAAAAAAAAGTGACTTTGCACTATTTTAAGGTTCAGTTTATAAACTACATATATGAAAAATCCCCTGAGAAACTAATACTTTCTGAGAAAAAGGAAGGAAAAAAACCTCTATATTTAAATTTATAAATATTCAAGTACAATTACTCTTGAAAACATGCACTTCTGTGAGCAGTAACTTGCACTGTCTACATGAAAACAATGCAATATAGCAATGTATCAAATACAGCTTATTAACTACAGCTTCTTCTAAAAATGGACTGGAAATAAATAAATTAGTGAAGGAAATCTTGAAACAAAACATGCACATTCTCCACTTGCTTTATCTAGCAAAGACTCCAAACTTAAATGCGTCATGCTGCACCTGTGCTTGTTTTGTAAGCTGTCCTACTTCCATTTTCAAGCCATCCTGAATGATAATTTCTTGCTGAATTTGTTGCTGCAGCTGAGTTTTTTCTTCTTTCAGAATCTTAATTTCTCCCTTGAGCAATTCAATCTCCTTTTCATAGTCCTGCTTCTGGTTTTGGAAATTTTTCTCAAGTATCCTAAAGAACACAATAAAAAGGTAATTTTATTCATCTACATTGGTAAGTGAAGAAGTGGGCTTTGTTTTAGCTTTAATTTGAAGGACATACTTTGTTGAAGAGCACCTAAATGAAGTATAATTACTTGAAAATGCTATCCTACATCCTCAGAACCCACCCATATAATGGATGATAATGGGAGGAGAACATTCCTGTATTTCCTTACAGATACCATAATGAAACTGGGATGAAATTCAAGGCAAAAGTGAGTTTCTTCCACTCAAGGTCCATTCTCTAACTCTCTGTGTTAGCCACTGAGCAGCTTTCTGCTACACTCATGGCCACAGTCAGCACTGAAGAAGGACTCGGCAAAAGGAAGCCCTGTGTCCTTCTCAGCAGAACATTGCAGGAAAATTTCCATTTTCCACCAGTCCCAGCATCATGCAGATAATGAGCAAAGCAGAAAAAACTATCAGAAGAAGTCCTCTTAATATAGTCTGAAGTTATTGGCAGCTGAAGTCAGGCTGAGCTGGAGCACCACAGAGCTTCCAGCCCTCAGGAGCAGTAACTGATTGCTCTCTTCACACTTCACAGAACAGCATTTCTCTGGCACTCAGGGTTCTCTGTCTTGTACTGGAAAAAAGTTATTGGGAAATAAACACTTGATCCAAGAGAAGCATGCTGAAATCAATAGCCATTTGTTGATAAATGACAATATATTTACTGCACATTAAATACCTAAGGGGGGGAAAAAAAGTTCTTTCCTTTATATTTTTAATGGAATGTCCTTTACAAACACCTTTCCCTCACACTGAATCTTTCAATTCTGTCCTTTCATATTCACTTCACAGGAGTTCTGACTGGTGTAGCCATCAGCTGCTCTTCCACTCCTGACCAAATTCTGAGGACACCTCCGAAGAAACCACTATGATCAGAGTTGCCTTTCAGTTCTCAGAGACACGTGGAAAGACAGCAAAAGCAAGAACAGTCTCATTTCCTGCATATGACTCACCCATAAACAAAAATGTGCTTTTCCTAAACTCTGCATGAAGCACTTCAGTACCAGCATTAATGCCCAAGAACATGGACAGATTCATAAATGATGTCAGCATATTATATTTGCAGAAGGAGAAAGAAAGGTAGGGAAAGAGAAAAAACAAATGCTGTTTCTAAGAAATAAAATTCAGGTTACATACATTCGCTGGTTTTCTTCTTTTTGTACATCATTGAAGAGTTGCTGTGTGAGGTCATCCATTTTCTCTGTCAAAAAATATTTTAATATTTCAAAGACCTTCATGCAATTGTGTGTATTTATTAAAAAAACATGACCACAGTGAGTTTTGTTTTAATCAGGAATCCTTGATATATTCTGAGGCTAAAATTACTCTCTCAAGTGCCAAAAATTATCACAGTACATTTTACAAGTAATGCTATAGAAACAAAAGGATTCTGAAGCACAAAATTGTGCAATTATTAATCTAAAATATACTTGATCTCATGTGCTGCCCGTGTCCTTTGAAATTAGATTCCTAAAAATAGAGTATTAAAGGAAGCAAGGGTGAAGCTACACTTTGAAGGAATACATGTGTATGAAAAAGGAAACAGGAGAGTTTTGAAAGAACAAATTTAATTTAACTATTAAATAAAAAGAATTTGCACACTTGTGCTACACATTCTAAGCAGGAAAAGGGCCAGCTCTCAATTTACTACAATTTCAGAATTTATACTGCATTTATTAAAACAAAAAATAATTTACTTTTGCTCAAAACCAGACTTTACCACACTATAACTCCTTTGAAACTCCCTTTAGCTATTGTACCTTTCATTTCCTCAGTTTTTTCTTGGAGTTTTATTTCCAAGGTCTCCTTCTGTTCTTGTAATTCTTTATTCTGATTCTCAAGTTTTAAGATTTTCTGTACACACAAAAAGTAAGTAAAATATACAAATTACAAAGGAGGAGGAAATAGGTCACAGAAGGTCTTACATTTTAAGAAGCAAATATGGACTCTTCCTTCCCTGCTGCCTCTCCCCAAAAGAGTATAGTTACTTAAAAACTCTCAGAACACACATTTGATAAATCCAGTAACTGAAAACATTATTTAAAAATAAAAGCACACAGACGGCAGTTAAAATTTACCTGCTCACTGTCCTCTTTATATTTTTTCCCTTTCTCTTCATATGTTCTCTTTTGAGTAGTCAATTTTTCGAGTTCTGATTCAAGTTTCTGAATTGTATCCACATCATTCATATGAGCTGAAGCCAGACTGGTCAATCGTTCCAGCAAACCATGATTTTCTCTACTCTACAATCAGCAGGACAGGATAAAAGAAAACAGAAAAATGCACTGAAACTGTTCCATAGAATTTTAAAGGGAGCACCTGACCTACTTCTGCTCACCATCCCATATCAGTCATGATTATTTCAACCCAGGACTGTTTCCATCAATTAGATTAAAACTACCATTTTAAAGACTATTTGGCTGGAATGGCTCTCAGTAAGCTGCAAAATAAACATAATGTTGAGCTCCACAAAGTTACAAAACATGTCACACCAGAGCAGTATCTCACACATCCTCCATCCCAACACAAACAACCCCATCCAGAGACTGGATGGACTTAAGAAACAGTAAAAAAAACCAAAAAGGTAATTGCAGACTCTTTCATTTGCATAATTAACCCAAAAATACAAGGAAACCCTAGATGATTATTTCTACCCTGGGAGCAGTAAGTCTGTAAGTAAGTTTATTGTAAAGGACCGTAAGCCTTACATATTCTCCTGTCTTCTCAATTCAACACCTTTGACTATAGCAGATAGGAGAAAACAATTAGAACAAATCAGCAGTTGACTGCTTCCCCTCACCTGTTCTTCTATCTTTTTCTGCAGTTGCTGAACTCTGTATGAAAGCTGGATATTCAGCACAAAGCGCCGAATGTTCTGGAACCGGCGCCTGGCAAGCCACGCACGGGCATACTTCTGGAGGATCACAGCCTTCTGCTCCTCACGCATCTTTAAAAGGAAGTATTAACATCTGCCTGTAATTAGCACAATCCACATCAATTACAGCAGTCTGTGAGCCTACACACACCGGTGAGGATAATGCATCCCATGGAAATATCAAAACACTGAAATATCCAGGCTGCAGAAACCTTTGAGGCACTGCAGTGATCACAGCATGTGGTCTGCATCCAGCATAAACCAGACAGAGACCTTGCTAAAAAACCAGAAAAACAGCTGAAGATAGGAGAACCAGACAGGCAAAAGGTAAAGTATTAGGGATAATTGCCATTGTGTTCATCTCTTTTACAGAGCACGAGTTGTTTCCAGTTACTGAAATAAGAATTTTGATAGGCTGTACCTTCCAATACTTTTTTCTTGCTAGAAATCCTCTTGTGTAAGCTTGTATTGTTACAGCGGCCACATGGATGAGCTGGCAAAGCCTACGGACCAGGTAACCCCGACAGTATTTCTGAATAATTATAGCTGCCCATGTTTGCTTCAGATTTCTTGCAGTTATAGCTTGCCTTAATTCAAAAGACAAGAAAATTTACTTTAGTCACATTTGATTTCTCATGCTCATTGCATTGGTCGATCAAACTACAAACACACACACAAGAAGGAGAAGATATCAAGAACAGGCATCCATTATCAACAACAGAGCTCGTTCTTCAACCAAAGTGAAAAAGAGGGAGTTATCCACAACTTTCAAGTGTGTCCACAAGCATTTGTTCTGATGGTCTCTTTATTAAAACCTCCAAGCCTACACAGGGCCATTTTTCAGTCTGCTTTGAGAATGCCTGGTGCACTTTCTTTGCAGTGATTTGTCCACACTAATTTGTACACCCCTGATTTCTTCTCTGGCTCTGAAGCTCAGCAGAAAGCCCAGCTGGGACATCTATTATCAGCTAAGGACTGAGCTCACAGGCAGAGTGGCCACTGGGGAATCTGGCAGACACCACTGGAAACTACTGGCACAATTTTTCATACCGGCTGAGTAACTTGAACACGTTCAAGTTCATAATTACAATCAACAGGAAATGGAAATACAACCTGAATTGCTCTTCCATAAAAACTACACTTGGGCATTAGGAGGCCCTCCTGTGTGCCCTCAGACACGCCAGGAGCGGGCTGAGGGAGCAGGCAGAGTACCTCACGGTGCGCTGCCCGCGGAAGTACTGCTGCACAGTGAGCGCTGCTCTCCTCATGCTCAGGAACCTCCTCCGCTGCAGCCAGCCCCGCACACGCTTCTGGATCAGGATGCACGCCTGTCTCAGCTTGTCTGAGCGCAGCTTCTCTAAGTAAGCAACCTGTCCCGCTCTGAAAAAAATTTTTGTTCTCCCAAACTGATACTGGTTATGATCCTGGAAAGAGAAAATAGTAGATATATTAAGTTTTTAGTTTATTTTTGTAGACCAGATATTCTCTTCCTTTTGCAAATTGTCACTTCAGGCAAGCTCTGCTTCAAGACATGATCTTCCTAAACGAGAATAGCTTCTCTGCCTGCTTTGCAGATAGAATAGGTAGGGGGGAAAACCACTTAGCAGGAAAGACACAGAGAACTACATCAAAAGTTGTACACTCGTGACCTAAAATTAAAGGGAGGCTCTGGATTTATCATCAAGGCCTTAAAAGCAACCTCTTCACCTGCTCCTCCAAGTCTGGTTCCATGGGCTCAGCAGTACCTTTTGATGCAGGCTTCTAGCCTGGAAGCAGTGAGCTGTGTGAGCAAAAACTCAAAGTGAGGCTGCTTTTAAGTTCCAGCTCTCCCCTTTGGCCTGTGCCAGAGCTACTCAGCAAGTGTGCCTGTGTTTGGAGTCCCACACCCCAAATCTGAACCCACTCCTGGTGTGCTGACCTGACTGGGACCAGCCTCACTACCACAGGCTCCTCTAACAAATAGAAGCAATGTGCAAAATAGCAAATTTTTGAACAGCTCTCCAACATGCTGCATTCCACCGTCAAAATCCCTCTTGTGCTTGTAATACTTAACAAATGTACACCATTTACTGTTTACTGGTTTATAAATACAGCATAGCTTCCATTTTGCAAGTAACAATATTAAGCACAGAGTGGTTAAGTTCTCTGTCTACATCATGATTGTCAAAGCACAAGGTTACTGACCCACAAGCCTGTGTGCAACACAGTAAATCAGGAAAAACAGTAATAATGTAAACACCTTTCCTGTCTGAGGAGAGATACTACCCATGGCAAAAGAGACCTTTTATTTCTAATAGATGCTGTAATACATCTATTGGTTGGTGCAGACAAACCAACCTGGATCAGCCGTTGCAAAACAATCTTGCAAATCTGTTTCTTGTCATTTATGGAGAGCTCCTGCTGTGTCATAAGAATGCTGTAACGGCTGAAAAACTCAATGTATGTCCACCTGGAAAATTAGAAGTCAACAAATTAATTTAATTTCGACAACCAGGTATTTTTTTGGCACAGGGAAGGTCACTGCTATCCCTACCTGGACGGGTAGCTCTGCGCACTAATCCGAATAGTTTCCAAAACACCACATGCTCGCAGCTGCTGAGCAACTCTTTTGGAATCAAACCTAAAAGAAAAGCAGTGTTATGGTTTACATTTCTGCTGGGTTTGGCATGCTGTAATAATTAAAACCATTCTACCAACTGGGTTTGTATGTCTGCTCATAGGACACAAAGCTCTCTGCTTCCTATATAGTGTCTTACTCCATATCACATACAAAAAGATAAATAAATACAAAAATCTGGGCTTTCTGTTTCTTTCTCAAAACCAAAGGAACACTGTATTTATTTCTCTCATTAAAATTCCTATTTCCTTTCAGTATTAACTGTGCCAGTTCATAGCAGCAAGTGGTAAAGAATAGCTCCAATCTTAACACAAAACATACAGAGCGCACTAGGAAGAATCTCCCGCACTAGGAAGAATCTCCTCAGGTATTCTTTAGCCCATTCATTATGAATAAACCAGGGTTTGCTCATTAATACCTGGATTCAAAATTACAAACACAAGGCATGGAAAGGCCCTTTCCTGTTCTGGACAGAGCTGATATGTCCACAGAGCACACCACCAGTGTCAATTCAGTACCAGCCAACAGACCCCTGTGTCTGGCAGATGACCTACAGTGTTCTTTCAGAGGTTTATGGTGCACTTTTCTAGTCTAATTCTGACATATTTTTACATTATCCAAGCCATTTCTGCCCTCACTGCAGAATCACGAGAGCTCACTGCAGTGACAGTGATATAATATCATCAGTAACGACTTTTGCATAGAAAGATTTTGTCTGGCTACAAGAAAATGAACTAACACACTTAAAAGATTTAATTTAGAATCAAAGCTGGCCTCTTCCCTCCTACTCATTTACGATAAAGGCTTTAATTTTATTTGTCAGTGCACTGCCTGCCAGCTGGAATCTGTGGAAGACACCAGAGTGCTTCCACAGGTCTGCCCACAGAAGAGACCAACAGCTGCACCAAAGTCACTCCTACTCACAGGTTAGTGGTTATCAATCATAGGAATTATGAAAATTGTCTGTACTTATGACTGCATTAAAACATAAAAATTACATAAAAATTGGGGAAAAATCTGGGGCTGTGTTCAACACTGTTCACGGCTTTTCTGACTTCTAAAGCTCTTTTAAATATTTCTGCAGACAAAAGGGAATTTGACAAAGAAAATGGCAGAGGTTTTTATTCTCTAAATATGAATTGGGGTTAATCTATACTGCATAAGGACAACACACCTATACAAAATATTCATCAGTTTAAACCAAAGGAGGACAACCTTTACCCTAAAAATGTTCTGGTAAATACAAAAACACTAGTATCCAACTTGAAAAATATTAGGTTAAAGGATTTTTAAGGTAACAATAATGATACCTAAATATTCCATTTTTGTAAGAAGAAAATATTTTTTTTCAAATTCAGCTCTCTGGAAAGGAAAACCACGCTCTGCATGGGAAGTTTCTCAACAATAAGAATTTAGCTTGCTGACACACCACTAGAGTGATACAGAAAACCACAACTGAGCACAGCTAACATACTTACTCAAAAGGCAATTTCTCATCGTTTGGCTTTATGCATCTCACATAATGAGGAGTGGTTGCATTGAGTGTCACCATAAGTAAAGACAAAGAATTCCGGAACTAGAAAACACCAGACATAAGAGTTTTGCTAATGAAACATTTCCAGTAAAAAGTCAAATCTTAGTCTTTTAATTATTTGATAGGTTTTGGCTGGACACTGAGAGATAGGATTTAGATCTTACATGTGGGAAATTGAAGACTGTGGCTGTACTAAACAGCCTCCTATATACAAAATAAACACACCTACTTATAGCCAGACCTGGAGCACTGCTCTGTGTCCCCTGCTGTCCTGGAAACTGGACAGTCCCCCATGAACAGTGACAGAATCCAGTCTCAGACTGCCCAGCATTTCCCAGAAAGTACAAACAACACAGAACAGCAGCTTTGTGCGGTACCTTACTGCCCACAGTCATCCGGAGCTGTTTGTTGGGTGATTTCAGAACAGGTCTGGCAGATTTGATGTTTATAGCTGAACTGAAAGGTGAAGCTGACACTGGACTGTCTTGAAAAAAATTTGCACACAGATGAAACTAAAAGTGTGGTGAAAGAACCAGAGTTAAACACTGTGTAACTGCAGCATCATTTTAATCAAAATTACATTTACTATGATGTAAAATGCAAACCCCATAATACTTAGGCCAGGCATTGCAAGATTTTAAACTGGGTATTTAAGCCACAAACAATAATTGAAAAAAGAGTTGCAATGATTCTGAGTCTATTGTGAAGCACTTACACATTTCACACACAAAACTCAACATCTGTGAGAGCAGCCTGCAAAAGCTATTTCAATATAAGCAAATACAGACAAATACAGAGCAGAACTAAAAATAAGAGCACTTAAGGCTGTATTTTCACAATATGCAATTAAAATTAAGAATATATTTTCAGGTCAGATGAATTTAGCTTCTTAAGAGTAATCCTGAAGTCTCAAGGCTCTGGACTTCAAAGGGACAAGCAGATGGGAAGGGACAGGCACACATAAGACACCTGATGTTTCCTTTGCCCTGGCATTTTCTTAACCTCTTTTGAAGAACAAACAAAGGCAGTTGTTAATGATAAACCACCTATCAAAGCTGCATGTAATGACTGCAGAAAAAAAAAGTCTTCAGTTGTAAGGATTACAAAATGCTCTTGAAGGGAGAGATTAAGAAAAAATCCCAATATAACAAGCATAGAAAATGCACATATATGAAGGAAGTTGAACTGTGTTTTTTCATCTTGTGTATTATTTGATGTTAAAAATATACACTTGTACAATATGGATAAAATTAACTTAGTCAACCTATTAAAAATCTTTGTATCAGAACAAAGATTTTAAAATCAGATCTGAATTCATTCCAGTAAAATTAGGTATTCAGAAAATTAATCATTACTGTTTGACACAAACCTTGCTCTCTTTCAAGATTTCAATCAATACTTCATGTACTGTATCTCTGTTTTTTTCCAGAAATCCTTCACATTTATATTCTACCTGTGCAAACAGGTGAAATCATTAACTCTTCAGCAACACATAAACAAACAGTTGGCAAAACAATAGTTTTTACTCTCCCAGCTGTGGTGGCCAAGAGCTGTTTATTAATCTCAAACATGATGGCTGAAACTCTGCTTTTCCCAGTTCCATTCTCTCGAGGTTACATACATGCATCCTGCAAATTTAGGAGCAGGACAAACTGACAGAATCTAAATCCTTCTGCCTTCATTAGGAACTTCTTTCCTCCTTTCTACATTATTCTATAATTTCAAATCAAAACACCAAAAAGGAATACTACATCTGAAATGTAAATAACTGAGACTGAAAGGTGTATGAGCTACAACTCTAACTGTCCTATTTATACATTCTATTATTTTTCTGCTTTTTTATCCTCATGGTTTATTCTTATGCTCTCAAATTCATTATCTTAAGCACTTCTTACATTTAAATGGCATTTTATAGGCTGTATCACCAATAAATAAATAGTGTTATAGAAGTTCCAAACAGGTGTGGTTAATATTTCTTGTTTCCTACATTTGGATTTTTTCTGAATGAGCTACTGCTAGAAACATGGGGAACAATACTGGGTTGTTTACACTCTACCTTATCAGCAAAGTGTTGAATGATGAAAGAAGTGTTTGACATCCTTGGCTTTTCAAAGAGCGCGTTTTTATTGACAAAATTATTATATAGCTTCTGAAGCCAGTTTTCATCTTTTCCATGAGGTAGCTGTAAGAACAAGAAGGGAAATCTCTTTAACAAACTCAGCTGGGCTGTTAGAAGCAGCAGAAATGCTGACTGTCAGTGAACAGCTGCTTAAATCCCCTCCAGTGAATTAAAAGTCCTGATAACAACCAGTTTTTGTCTCTTCAGACTCACCAGTGGCTCCCTGAAGCAAATAATTTTTGGAAAGAAGGTTGTATTAATCCACAAAGTTCTGTATCAAAAGTAGTGATTTGTGGACTAACTTGATTTTAAAAATACTGGTGGAAGAGAGTCCTGGAGACTGAGCAGTCCAAATTCCTGCTTGGAGCAAGACTACCAGCAGCAAAGTGCTGCCTGGCCTCCAGTCCAGGCAGGGTAAAGGGATGAGGATCCCACTGCACCCCTGCTCCAGTCCTGCACTGCCCCCACAGGGGTGAACTCCACCTGCTGGCTCACTTCTAGCTAAGCTGAGTTTTAGGTTCTCAATTCTTTAAGAGGAAAACAGAATAAGTAATTTACAGTCAAAATTGCCAATCAGAGTGCAAACATTATTGTTCCTTCTCTGAAGAAAATGTTTCATTTCCCACTAAAAAGGGTAAAATATGGATTACAAGCCCCACTTGTAAAATCAATATAGTTGGGTTTTTTTTGTTTTTTGTTTTTTTAATGAGCAAATATTAAATTACCAAGCATTCTTCATCCAGAAGTTCTAAAATTCCCATTTTAGCTTCAATTAGGTCAATGACAGGCTGGTTGTCGTAAAAGTCTATTAAAGTCCATGGAATGTCTTCCTTCATATATTCTTCTTGTTCAAGTTTAAAGACATGCTGGATTTGCAAAAATTATGAAAACATAAAGAAGGTTACAATTAAGGGAAAATAAATACATATGTATGTGTATTTATACGTATATGTATACGTATGTGCATGTGCATAGTTGTTGTATATGTAAGATAGAAAAAAATCTATTTTGGAGTATATTATATATCTATCTGTAAGAAAATAAACCTGGAAATTTTCATTTATATATATGCACATACCTTTGTTTACATATAAAAATAAAATATTTTTATTTATTACTGGATAGTCACTATCCAGAAATATCCATCACATAAGCACAAATTGCATTTACTAATATCCACCCTGGAGCAAAATAAGATAAAGAACTGTAACAAAAAAGAACATACCAGGTTAAATTGCTGCTGTAGTTTTTCATTAGCATAATTAATACAAAATTGTTCAAAGCTGTTCACATCAAATGTTTCAAATCTGAAATATAATTCAAATAAGAAAAAAATCCTTTGACATCAAAATCAAATGTCAGCATCCGTGAAAGTCTTTGGAACAATCCCAATGTTTCTAAGGTAATTAACTAATGGTAAGACTAATGAAGATGATAAGGAATTTCAAAACTTCTCTAGAAGCTAATGTTGCCAGACACAACAAAGCAAAAAAATACACTGTTAAATCTAAAAGTATCATATCAGAAGTTAAATTTAAACCTCATTCACCAAAAAAATTATGGTATTTATAGTAGCAGAGGATTTCTAGTAATCTGGATGCTCAAGAACTTACATGACCATGACCTTTTAGTAAAACAAACTCCTCCAATCTCATTGCCAGCATAAAAAAGTTCCTTTTTGAACTACTCCAAAGAAAAGCCACTCCGTTTCCAGAGACATTCTTACCCATAAATATCCAAAACACCAATGAAAGTGTGTTGCTTGCCAGAGAACTGCAGAGCTTGGTTAATTCTTTCCACAATGAAGTCAAATAAATGAGAGTAGATCTTCTTTGCCAGAGCATCCCTGGCGTTGACAGCCTGGGCCCTTGTCATTGGCTTTATCACCGTCTCCGAGGTGGTGACAATCTTTCGGTGGCACAACCACCGGCACATTTTGTCACAGTTTACCTCCAGAAGCTCACAGAATATGCTGAGATGTTTATCCTCCATCTTTAAAGATCAATAAATATTATTAGGGCACACTTTATTCTTTAGCTGTTGTCTAGACAGTGAAATCCTTGTGCTGCTGACACCAAATTATGATTTTTATTTTTAGATAGGAGAGGGGCTGTGTTTTTACCTCTTCATGTGGCAAAAGAGCAAGATGAGGTAAAGCAAATAATACTGGATAGAACTCCTGATTCAGGAGAGAAAAGCTTGGACTGGATGAGATGTTTCGGATTAAGACGCTGAAAGAAAGTTACTTTAGTCTATTTTTAGGTGTTGCCTTTTAGACTTGCATAGCTTGCTGGGACACATTCTGAGCAGCTTTGACTATGCTCTGCTTCCTGCATCCTGCAGAGAGCTCCAAAATGGATTTTCCAGCAGCTGTGGATCAATTGGATACGGGGTACTCTTAGCCACATTTTGCCTTTTGTTAAGACTTTCTGAACCCGGGCACAGAAGAGCATCGGTGTGAACACTTGCTGTGATTCCACACAGATGGAGATGGAGAAATCAATCAAGTTTAGTGCACCAGATTTAATGCTGCTCTGAGCCCCAGATATGAGAGAAACTATTGCTAAAGCACTTCTGGCATAAATAGAAGAGAAAATGTTGGTGTCTGAATGAGCTGCTTCCTTACACTGATGGATGATCTTTCATCTCCAACAGCTGCTATTTCCACATTGCCCAAGTGCAGGATTGCTGCCAGCATTTTAAAAACATCCATCTGAAAATCCCCCTTCAGACCTAAAAAAACATTCCTTGATTATTTGAAATATGCAGAAACAGTACAATTAATTAAAGTAGAACAATGCTGGGTTACTTGCTTTGTTGTGCAGCCAAGAATTGTACAGCATCTCTGCAGAGCACGATGCAAATCCTTGGTTCTGCCAATTTTCTGCCTGTCTGATCCGATGATAGATTGGGCAAAACTTCCTCGTACCTCCCCAAGTGCCAGCTCAAGTCTGATTTAGCTTTTACAAAAGATTTTACAGGGGCAAAGAGGCTTCCAATTCCACTTCTGTCACAGCATGTTAGTTTATGGGCCAGGAAGACTCCAGCCCTCAATGCTTCTGACCAGTAACAATTAACACCAATTGCTAATTGCTCCTGCCCAGCACTTGAAAACAGACCAACACCACGACGGACAAGCTATGAAATAAACTGTTTAGGTAATTACTACCAACGTTTGGGTATTTCAGAAACAATCCACCTTTGCCCATTTCAGGAAAAAAAAAAATAAATTCTACTGAAAATGTATCCCCAAGAATTTACCCAGTAAGGAAAATGTCTTCTGCGTCTCCAGCATATTGGCTCTGTCATCAACCCCCTCTATTACAGTGCTGCCACCCATGCGTGTGTAGTTAAATTCCTCTGCATTTCCTGTAGAAAAGAAGCAAATCTTGTAATTCTGCAGAAATTAGGGGAGAGCCACTTGTTAAAACTTTTATAACACAAAAAAATTAAAGATGCTGTCAGATGACATTTCAGTGATGAGCTGGAGGCCCTTTTTTTTCTGAAGGAAATCCATGAGCCCAACCCAGTGAAACTGACACAAGTTCATATTTATAATTCCTAGATATCTTAATAGTCCATCTAATAAACAAACTGGAATGGAGACTGAGTAAACATATACCTAGATTCTGCTTCCCACAGCTTCTCTGTAGATAAATGAATCCAGCCCCTAAGCTGACATGGCATCTGTCACTACAGAAAGTATGAGAATAAGATTTCCAAAGACACTCAGGTACTTGATTGTGCACTATTTGAGTTACCAGGGAGTTGCTACCAAGTCCAAAACCAGCAGGATTAACAGCTAAGTGACTTAAAAATACAGGTTCTGTTTTAAGGCTGTGAGATTTATGCTGTAATGCACTAAACATCCTAGCACTTGAAAACCCAGCCTTAAAATGCTGCACTGCAAAAGCAAAGAGCAGATTATTTTCTTGAGACCTACCCAATTTAAGATGTGCATATTCAGGTTGCGTAGCAGATGCACACAACTGATAAAATATATGGTAGTTCCTTTCATTTTCTGACTGTAAAATAAAGCAAAGAGCAACATCACAGAAAAAAATAATTAACAACACAGTGAAGAAACAAACTGAAAACCACTTGATATTCAACACTATTGTAAAGTGATAATGACAACTGAAGGCTAAATTCTGCTCCAACATAGGTTAGCAAAGAAATTGCTTATTATTAAAATGGCACATCTTAGCTAGAGCTTTGAAAGGAATACAGTCAAGGATACTTTATTTCCGCTGCCAATATGCAGAGTTCTTTCCCCAAGGATGTTAATAATTTCTTCAGCTTGAACAACCATCTACTAATAAGAACCGCGAAATACTGCAATAAAAAATGTGTAGGAGTGTCAGCTGAAACACTGCCCTGTGGGAACTCAAAAAACTCTCCACCATCCTTCAGGGCAGAAGATATACAGAATTATTTTACAGTGAGTACACTGAAAAATTATAATACTACTAAAAAAGAAACCTTTGTAAAAACCGTTTTATAAAATTAAATACCTTCTTTAGTATAGTACCACAATTAAACCACAACATTGTAGTGAGTCACACGAAATAAGCCCTGGCCTTATAAATTTTCAGCCATTTTTTCTACTGAGACTCTTTTTGCCCTGTATATGCTGTTCCTTTCCAGGTGCAATTGGCCTCTGTTACTGTTGTAACCAAAAGTTACAGATTTCTCAAAGATTTCTTGCACTAATCTCAGGGAATTGTCCCTGAGAAGCATTCTTCACTAAACATAAGGAAGAACATGGAATAAAGTAATTTATCAAAAATAATATTAGCTTCTGTTAAAAAATAAATCAAATGTTGCTTGGATACACTGTTCAGAACTTCACAAAATATTGTCTTTACAGAACTAGTGTAGTGCTTCAGGAGCTATACTGACACTGACTATTTTAGACTTTATTTTACCCACCTGAAATACAACTCTGGATTTCTCAAGGAGGTATGTTCTCATGTTAGCTCCAATGATTTGGTAACCCCGATCAAAACTGATTTCAGTGTATTTTCCAAATCGACTGCTGTTATCATTCCGGGTGGTTTTTGCATTTCCCACAGCCTACAGAAATTATAAACTTTTACAATTTGATTTACTCATGTTTCTCATAAGAAGAACTTAGTCAAAACTTGAGTCAACTACAAATCTCTAAAATCAAAGGTGCTCAGGGATCAATCTCAGCACTGAACTGTGTTACTTAAATTTTGAAGCCCAGAATTGAAGACAAGCCTCAAGTCAAGTAGTATAATGCTACATAAACTGACAATTAGACAAAGTATGCTCTTCCACCAGAAGGATCCAATTAATAAAACCAAACTTGTTCAATATTGTTATATCATCATCTAATTAAGTGGTCCAACAGCACTCTGGAGACAAACTAGCACCTCCACAGGGCCACTGGTAAATCAGACAGGAGCGGGTGCTCCCGAGGCTCTTTCCATCAGCAACATCCAGAGGCTGAACTTTCTAATTTAGGTACCTAACTCAGACAGATAAAGCATCCCTAAAGATTTCAAACAAAATTTTCCAGAAGCTCTCAGAATTCTTCCCTTGATGAGTACAGACTTGACAGACACTCTCCAAAACTTACCTCTGTTATTGGATTGGATGCCAATACTTTATCCTCCACGTGTGCATTGCCGCTTGACTTACTCACAGTGGCAAAGTATCTCATAGTATACCTTGCAGACACAGTCTTTCCAGCTCCTGATTCTCCACTGACTATAATAGACTGATTTTTGTTATTTCTAAAACCAAATAATCAGACAGTTCATGTCAGACATGTCTAAAGTGCACGTATAAGTGTAGGAGTTACACATATGAAACAATGTTTGAAATCCCAGCTGTGCCCAACTCTCATATACCAGTTCCATCCTTCATCCATTCTTCTCTTACTCCTCTTCAGCTGTAACCTCTAGGTTGATGTCACTGCTGTTCACTAAGTCAGTGTTTTACCCTTCATCAAGAATGAAAATAGTTCTGAGTTCTAGAATTTCCTCAGCTGGTTAAGGAATCCCTTCTCCTCTAATTAAGCTCTATCTTCAAATGTATTCCTAATAGCCAGTGGCACATACAGTAAAATTAAGTGACAATTAACACTGACTGCCTCTAGACTTGAAGTGTTATTTATGGACATTAAATAACATACTGAACCTTGCCATTTGCTTGTATGCTTCTTCTGCCACAGCAAATATGTGTGGATCCATGTCCCCCATGTTTTGCCCACTGTATGCATGGATAATGGCATCTCCATATATTGGCAGCTGCTTGTAGGGGTTTATTGCAACCAGAATTATTCCTACAGCCAAGTGTACAAAAGAAAAGTAAAACACAGGTTAGTTATATGGAATGCCTGTTTTTGGCATCAACAGTTGCAATAATACAAAGTAGCAATTTTCTAGGTAGCAGATGCTGATGAGCAAACAAGTCTATACTCACATACAAAACCAGTTAACATTAGTTAAAATACATTTCAGGAAAACATTACACACATCATGTTGCAAACAAAATCAAGATTAATACTTCTTTAAAAATATTTTTTAAGACCTCTACATTTCACTTAGCTTACCACTATATGTGTAGATAAGCTTGGACTCCACAAAACGAATTTTAAGGTTGTGTAGAACAGCTGGTTCATGGAGATAACTGAGTGCAGTGAGATCATTTTCACCAACAAGTATGTCAGGATTTCGTAGTGGTGGCAAAGCAGCCAGATCAACAGGGTAACTCAGCTCCTGTCAACAAAAATTACTTGAAATGTCATAAAATGCATTATGTCTGCATTAGTACAAATCTTCTATCTTTACATGAAGTTACAGAGCTGATGCAGCCCTGTCTGATCTTCGATTTCATTGATTCCATACATCCCACTGAACTTGGGAGAACTAGAGCTGTTTGTTGCTTATGAAAAAGAAAGCCTCATTCTCTTTATTTACAATGTTTTGTATTGAAATCTGTAAAAATGGAACATGCTTAGCTCTCTAAAGACAGGCATATTTCAAGTACAGTTGAGAATAATAGAACAGCTGCAATTGAATGAAAGTAAAGACCTGGTCAGAACTCAGGTCAGCTCTATAACTACCCTTACAATTCCTCAGTTTTCTTTACAGAAAGTTTAAATCTCACTTCTGTTTCTTTCAACAAATCCATTTAATCATACCTTTAATACTTGTCTTTATGGAACAGGAATGCAGAAATACAGAAATGCTTTCCAAGTATTAAATACGTAAAGAACTTGGATACTATAATTAACAGATCTTGCACAAAACAACAAAAAAAGCAACAGCTGGCTCTGAGAGAGAACTATGCCTGCCCTGCACTTCAGATTTTTACTGCAATTTAGGATGAGTTTCGGGCTTGTTTCCAAAGCGATCTTTGAGGTCTGTTCTCCATACTAATGTAAACAGGCAGTGGAACTGCACTCATATTTTTGGGCAGCAGATGTGTACTGTACCAATTTCAATATGTTGAAAAGGGGAAATATGTTATTTAGATCCCATAATGGTGAGTCTTATGTTTCTACATAAACATATCTCAGCAAATGCTACAATAATTCAGGTTTTTCTCCTTACAGTTCCATCTTCTAATTGCACATGGAGAAAACGGTCTCCAGCTTTGTAGTTTTTTGTGATTTCTGCAGACTGCCAAACTTCTTCCTTATCGGGGATCCAAACTCTATTGTACTGTCACAGAAAAACAAGACAATAGTTAGCTTAGTTACTATTATAATACCAGGCTAGCATTAAAAATACCTTTCAAACATCAAGTGCAACCCAGCCTGAGGACTTTTGGGGATTATTATTAGCTCTGTACAGCAGGATATATTTTTTGTGGTTTTGCTATTTTTCAGGAAAGAAAAAAAAAAGAAAGCAGACTCATTAATTTCAGACATGCAAATTCTGTTCTTGTTCAGAGCAGAGTCTGCAGAACAACACAGTGTGCAGGAAGGTGAGCAAGGGCCAGGCTCTTCAAATCCTCTAACACTGAACAAAGACTAAAATACCCTTAAGGGAGAGACCTTGTTTCTAGGAGGGTTCAAATAAGCAGGTACCAGAGAAAACATCTAATTTACCAGAATTCAGACCATCAAGTATAGACAATCACTTCCCTGAATTCAAGTACAGGACACTGAACTCAGGATGCATTTTGCCATAGGCACATCCAAGAAAGACTCTGCACAGTTCCCTTTCTTTTAATGGGACTGAAGTGCAACCTCCAAACATCTTTCTCTGCTCTAGGACAAACTTCAAAGACTACTGGCTGGTTTCTTTCTTTACAAGCATCCACTGGCATACTTTAGATCCATCCCAGCAAGGTATCTCTAACCCACTAAAGCATAGATATTTGAGGAAAATATTTGAATGTAAGTTACGCTGTTTGAACCATTTAGTTCTCCTATGCTGAGGTTAAAATGCTGAAGCCAAAACAGCTTCTTTAAATGCTCTGCCTGAGAAGCTATGGGAAACAACATGCCACAAAAGGATATAACACAGCTGGAAACCTCAGTTGGTAGGGAATTACTTTACTGATGTGGAGTGTGTCCTTCTCATCCTGACAGAGTTTGACAAAGCCACATCATCTGTCCCTACTCACACAAGAAACTATAATGTATAGTCTTCCATCATCTTTTTGATTTATAGCCAGAACCCTTCGTTTAATTCCCTCACCCTAGCTATATTCATGGTCAGTTGAAACAAGCTGTTTAAATAAACCTGTGAGAACTGCTGCAGCTGCTTACCTGAAAAATTAACATTAGTCATCATTTCATGGAGTGTGAGCAGATGCACAGATACCTTGGGGACTTGTATTCCCCCCTTCATTTTGGTGCTGCAACTGTTGGTTTTGGCACAAATGACCTTTTTCCACTCTAATTTAGAAGAAGCCTTGGAAGCTCCAGTAGATCCTCAGAACACGAGTGTCTCTGACCCAGGAACCCCACTGAACCATGGTGGGTGTCTACAGAGGTCCCTGCAAACTGCCCTGTACAGCTGTAACTTCCTCAGGTCTGGCTCCCAAGAATCAACACCAAACAATTTAGGGTAGGAGGGACTTGCAAAGGAATGTCCTGTGAGCTAGCCTGTGCAGCTCAGTGACTTCTCCAGCTGAGTTTTCAGTATCTCTAAGGACAGACATGGACCTTTCCGGGGAGCCCCACGCCAGCCTGGTGCCCATCAGGGGATGAACAGCCATGGAAACTCAGCTGCTTCCACAACACCTCTTTGCTGATGCTTTCAGCATGATGGCATTTTTTCACACAATATCCAAAATCACAAAGGCATTTTCTAAACAACCCCAAACCACTGTAATGGCCATGTTTCCACCCCCTTGTTACCAAGGGGACAAAAGTCCAGCTCCACAAGTATTTATTTAATAGCCACATGAAAGACGTGGCTAAATTAGCTTTACATTTGAGTTTTCCATGTTTGTCCAAGTATAAATTGTTATTTGTATCGTTCCTACACTATGCTGATCTCCTCCCGGCTTACAGAAAGCGCTTGTTAAATTGAATTCTTTGTTTGCTGTTATTCTTTGTGAGTTAGAGTATCACCACCAAACAGCCTCAGGGGCACCCAGTGTGCTCCCATGCAAGAAAATGAACTGCACTAGGTCAAGGACGAGAAAGGGAGGGAGAAGAATGTGATAAAAGCATTGATTCTCCAGGAAAGGCCCCTGGAGTTGCAGGAGCCTCCATTGGCAAATGCACCCAGCCTACAGACTTGGCCGTCTCCAAACCCTGCCTCGCAAGTAAACAGACGGGAGTTTGCTCATTTCCGTGTCGGGTTACACCCGCACTCCTTCCCCCTTCACCTGCCTGACATTATTCCCGGGAAACCCGCGTTCGTTCTGCCAGCAGCAGCATTATTCCTGGGAAACCCGCCTTCGTTCTGCCAGCGGCAGCAGGAGCCGCCAGCCCTGCGGCGGCCCCGGGCTCCGTGAGGGCTGCTGCAGCTACAGGCTTATCCCATCACCGACATACCCCCGTCCGTTCTGTTATTTAAAGCTAAGCAAACAAACCATACGTCACAACACTCCGGTGACTACAGGAGAAATGGGAAAAGTTGTGCAAAAGTTTCAGCAGACGCATTAAGGAGGAAGAATCTTTGCTTTAGGGCCGAGCTCTGCCCCACACGTTCAATATTTGCCCAACAGAAAGCGCGGCGCTCCGAGCCCGAGTGCCCAGGGAAGGGCACTTAAACCTTCACGCTGGCAAATCGCTGCCTGGAACAGCGGGACCTGCTCCCGGAGGCCGAGAGTCTCCCAAAAGCAGCGTTCCTTTCCAAGGGAAGCGTCTCCCCACGGTGCTCCCGGTGCGATGTCCCTCACGGGCGGCTCCGCGCTGCGCCCACGGCCCGCGGGCGCACGAAGCGCTGCGGCGGGGCGAGCACGGCCCCTGCTCGCTTCCCCTCGCCCCTTCCTCCTTCCCCAGCCCCTTTCTCCTTCCCCAGCCCCTTCCTCCTTCCCCAGCTCCGCTCACCTGCGTGTAGAGCTCGGCCAGCGCCATCGGGGCACAGCCGCAGAGCCGCCGCAGGTCCCGCAGGTGACCGCGGCCCGGCCCCCGCCCCGGGGCGTGGGGAACGGCCCTGCCCCGCTCCCCGGCCCTGCCCCGCTCCCCGGCCCTGCCCCGCCCCCCGGCCAGCCCCAGCCCCGCTCCCCGGCCAGCCCAGCCCCGCTCCCCGGCCAGCCCCAGCCCCGCTCCCAGCCCAGCCCCGCTCCGGTGACCGCAGCGCCCGGCAGAGCGGGCAGAGCCGTGCGGGGCAGGTTCCGCGGCCGGCGGGCAGCAGGAGCCCGGCTCTGCCCGTCCAGCCGAGCTGGGCAGCGCTCTCTGTCACCGTCCTGGCACAGCCGCCACCTCCGATACACCTTCAGGGACCGGGAATGATGGACAATGCGGACACTACTGGGAGCAGTTCTGACACAGCAGAGAAAACCAACAGAAACATTAATCACCTCCTTACAAAGCACTGTAAAGCAATTTCTACGACAAGCTCAGAATAAGATGAAAATTAACAACTCTGTGTACGTTTAGTAGGTTTAAAGCACTAACAGGTGCTAGTTAAACATCCTTTATGAGGAAGAAGACTTGAATAACCCCAGTGCCGTGTTTTAGCAGGTGGATACGTGCCAAGAGCCACCAGCCCTCCCCACCTGACACAAGGAGCTTACACGGCACACAAGGGAACGGTGTAGTGAAGTTACTCCAACTTTATTTCAGGTACAGTTAATATTAGATGACAGAATACCCTAACTAGAAATGGGTTTCGTTGAACAAAGCATTTGCCCGTAAGCACAGCAGTTTATGGCACACCGCTGCTATCTGGGTGTGTATTTACACATCCTCAGATTTTAACCAACTCCCTTGGCAGTCAACAGCAGGCCTGCCATGGAGGCAGAGGGAACCCTGTGACCATCTGGGGTCTGTGCCAGCACACAGCTCATGAGCCACCAACCAACCAAAAAAACCTGAAACAAACTGTACAGTTGTACTTTTATTTGGACATTTTCCAGTGATAGCTATTAGGCTACAGTTTCTATGATGCATACATTTACTAAGTACAACATCAGACATTACAACAGATCAGAGCTCAGGTAATTCTGACAATGTTTTGTTTCTCATCTATGTACGGTAGTGGCATCAAGTGGAAACCTGTGTTTAAAGGCTTTTACTCATCGCATGAAGTATCAGCATCTTAAAAAACCCAAGTGTTTACTCATAATTTTAGCATGGTACTTGAAATGTGTTCAGTTTAAATCACAAATTACATATAGACCTTTGAATTGCAATTGCTGGTGTTTCCAAGTTGGGAACAAATGTTGCTGGATATCAATCCACTTTCAATGAAGCTGATGCTGCTTTTTCCTGTGATAGATTAATCTCATTTAACTGAATTAAGCACTTTTATGTTCCATCCCAGTTTGAAGTGTGAGGAGCAATTTTTCAAAATTTGTGTAGAAGACTGTGTCCTAAACATCAGAATAAAATGATCACTGGAATAAAAATACACCAAACTGAATGAGGTAATTATTGTGCAAAATCTGTAGAATAACTGTATATATTTCTAAGGGGTCACTGACAAGTATTTTTCCAGCATCTGATAAAATCTCTCATCTCAATAGATAATAAATTAAAATATAAAAGATATGTCCACATTAAGAGAGCATAACAATGATTCAAAGGAAAAAGTTTTTTAAATATTTCTGCATTATATTCCATGGTTAAAGAGATTTTAGTCCTAAGGTGAAAGTTATATTATACACTCACACTAAAATTTTACTTCTGAAAAGTGCATGTAAAATACTGTCATGTAAAATGTTAGATGAATTACCATCAATACATCTATTCCAACTCAAAAATATTCTCCTTTAAAACACGTCAAGCAGCATGTACTTTTAATGTGATATAAAAGTCATACCAGTCAAACCACTGAGTTTAAGGATGATACCTATAAATTACTAAACACTACTTTTTTTTTAAGGAAATGATACAATAAGGCTTTTTACAGGTAAACAAAATTTAAAGATAAACAAAAATACATTTAGGCATACATTTTAAATACTAACGCTGAAGTAGTGGATACATTTCCTGATCTACAGTATGAACACACTGTAATGCCAATTGTTTGGTTTTCAATAGGAGAAAAAAACTGGTAGGTCAGCATGTTCTCGTGTGTTTTCTTTCCTAACCCTGTTACTGAATGTGAAGGCTTTGCCATGACATTCTCACAAGTACAGTACCCTGACAGACTGAAAACGACCTTACACCTTATTTGGAGCCACTTGACAGCAGCCAGAATCTCAGAAACCAAGTAACATTTGGAAAAGGAGTGTTTGGTATACCATGCAGAGGAAAACAATCTAAATCGTTCAGCAAAGATCATTCAGAACCTTTTTACAATGCAGTACTGAGTTTCTGGGAGTACTGACATGATCCATCAAATGTAATATGGGCCATTTGAATACAAGATGAAAGGAGCATCTTAAAATGATACTGACAAAGTTTATGTTGTCTTTATTTCCAACTTTAGCAACCATACAAACAGCACGTCTGCCTCTCAAGTAAAACAAAACTGAAATGTTTCAGTCTGCTTAACAGCAAATCTTTTCTCTGTGAATCTGCAGGCAAACAGAGGAGCACCGAACAGTCTAATAGTGTACCTCTAGGTTATTTATCAATATTGTAAAATAAATTAATGTTAACACTAAGATGCAGATTATTATAATACATTAAAAATATTGCACAATGCAACTGAGCAATGTGTGTGGCTTTATTTTTACATGTATATTTGAGACATACACCACAGAACTGGAACCTTACGCGAGGCTTCTGTGCTCATGCCCCACACTGTGAAATGTGAATTTTATATAGCAGACTCAAAATGTGTGAGACAGAAAAATCTTTCCAGTAAAATGTGCAACATTCAAAATAACTCAGTTTATCATTATGCACTCTGATTTCCAACTATTAAATCGGCATGAATCATAGTCAAGTGACAGCATCATAGTCAAAACCTACTTAACTTTCTTGTTAGTCAACCTTTCTAAGAATGAGAGCCTTGGGCTATGCAGATTTTTTCTATTAAAGTTTTTCCTCACATATTCCAGTGTGAAAGAAGACTTTTCTCTGGTTTGATTTTTTTTTTTTAAGTGGCAAAAGCCCAAGACATTATACTCAAAATACACATCGTCATCTCTGGGGTCTACAAAGAACAACATTAGACAGGCTCTATAACCTTAATAAATACTTAAAATCATTACTGACTTCTCATAGTTTGCTTCAAGATTCTGTATTTTAAACTAACTACTTTTAAAAATAACTAAACATATAATTTCCAGTGTGCTACTTGTGCTTAGTTACCGTTTTCCTCTACAGGTGTTACTTGATACAATGTGCAAAAATCCAGTTAAAATAACAGACTGCAACAGACTGTAAATAAGGTTGACAACAAAAAATGAAGTATCTTATTTTTAGTGCTTAGTATGATACTGTCACACATTTAAAACAACAGAATATGCAGCAGCGATTCAGTTTGCTTGGTAAACCACAGTTCTAACAAATGAACACCTAAGAGCATATAGTGAGCTATAAGACTTACCACTACAGTTTATTTCAAACTGACATGAATGAGGAAGTGGTTTAAGAAATAACTTTATATATTGCCAGTTTGTGTTTTTCCATTCCAGTTTTTACAAATTAAATGTAACAGGCTCCCACGTGACTGTGTATTCTACTACAAAATGCCTTACTTTCAAGTCTTCCATGTCCAGGAACTGTGACTGTCCCTATTGGTCCCCACCCATGAGAAGATTACATATGGATTTTAATTTACACTATTTAAATATGTTACTAAAGATCTAAAAATGTCTCTAGACAGCTGAAGACACAATTTTTGTCCAAGCCCGATTTCCATACTCTGGAAATGTATGAATCAGTGATGTCCTCATAAATGCAATGACCGAGCACAAATGCACATCTTCCTAGGAGCATTCAGCCTGTGGTGCTGCTGTGCAGTTTCCAGCTACCTCAACTACACATCTGGGCTTAGACAGGCTGTTCAGAAAAGGTGGGTTTAGTGGCTCACTATGTTTGAACAGGTACAGAGATCAGGCAACCAGTTCTCCATCTAACACTGACGGGACATCCTTGCGATCAGACACGTGATATGAAACCCAGGCCCAAGCTGGCTGGGATCTGAATGGTTTCTAAAGCCAGAGAGGATGGATTAAACGGAAAAGTAACAGGGAAGATGTGTTTAGCATCCATGAGCAACTGAGGAGAGTCCTTCCTGTCTCGCAGACGCACCTGCAAAGACAAGAAAGTGGTGACACCGGTGCTCAGCCAGCTGACTGACAGCAATCACCTCCCAAAGACGGTCTGTGCTTACAGCCGTGTGTGCAAACACTCTGTGCTAACCTGAGCCAACACATTTACACCAACTGTGCCATTAAACTGCAGTTACTTAGATCAGCTTCAGTTCTGCACATTACCCCGTTACAATGCAACCTGGGAATACTCAGATTCCCTGCAAAAGGAAGACTTTGCCCAGGATCTGGTAACCATCTTTTCAGTAAGTGGAATTACAGCTTTATCTCAGTTCTACCTTCCCAATCCCCCTTACCTTGCTATACTATAATTCAATTTCTACTAAACCAGAAAGCTCATGCTTGTTTCTTAAATTTTGCTCTACTGGCTGTGTATCTTTGGAGTTCTCCAAACTTTTAATTTTCATCAATATATATAAAAATAGAAGAGGTAAATTAAGAACTTTGGTATGGATATAGGCCTGATTTTCCAAAGCACTGAACTTGACATGCAGATACAGGTCTGAGTAAATCTGCATATCTAAATCTCAGTGCTTGAAAAGCTGTCATACAAGTGAACACACATACACAAAGATGAATAAGTACAAAAATCTGTCACCTGAAAACCTCATTCCTACTGACAGGGAAGCTAACGCTTTCATGTAAGTCTGAAGGCAGGAACTTGTGATTGCTTAAATTATAAGGCTGACATCATCTTTTCAATGCTGTTAAACTATGATAGCTAAAAAGCATAGTTACATTCATTTTCATGAATGTATTTCAGGGTGCAAGCAATTTTGGCTTATCATAGGTTTTCTTAGGAAGAGTCAAATGGTTTTTGATGAGAAGACAGACATACCTGTATTGTACGTATAAATGACACCAAGACTCTCTCTTCAAACTCATTAACTGGAGTATACAAATTCAGAACTTTTACAATCTGTGAAGAAGAATAATCACTTTCAGGTTCATGTTATTGATCAACCAACAGATGCATCCATGATTACTAATAAAATAATTTTAAAACTAGCTATTTGAAAAAGAAAATTATTTAAAAGTATGTGCTATTTTTTTGCTCTATTGATTAATGCAGAATTCCATCACCCTGCTCAATGCTATCAGTTAAATGACTGCCTCCTTCAGAACATGTGCTCTTTGGAGGTAGAAACCCTAAATTTCTACGTATGTGATGAAAATACCAAATGATGGAAAAATCACATAAAAAGTAACTGATTGTTTTCCTACCCAAAAACATGACGCATTTCTCACTCTAATTTTGACCCTGCAGTCATGACCTCCTATAGTCTCACAACTTTTCTGTTTTTCAAGAGAGTGAGCTATTTCTCTAGAAACAGGGCTAAAACCACCAAGAGAAAGTATTAGATAACAAATACTTTAAATAATAATATGGGTGAAACTTGTAAAATCTATTAAAAAATCTCTTTGTTTTTTTACCATTCCCTTTATTAAAAAAAACAAAACACTTTGTTAAAAAGTTAAAACACAGTTCATGGAATTCTAACTTATTCAGTAGAAAACTAAATGATTTTCCAGTAATCTGAATTAATAAATCAAAATGGTTTTATCAACACAACTGCTAGTGCTGACACAACTGTGAAAGAAATAGGGAAATTTCTTCCTTTTCCTTGTGAGAACTGTTCATTAAGCAGCAAAGATGCTTGGGTCCATTTATACCTGTACAAGCTGTAGCATGGTTTGAAAAAGAAGTGCAACATATCTGTACAAAATCTGAGCCTCAAAAATAGGAATCTGTTTACTCAGGTCCACTTGGTTCAGCCTTTGAGGCTAATGGCTGTGGTAACTCTACACTCTTGTTTGCAGACTCAGAGACAACAGCTCTGAATTGTCCATCAGCTTGGCTGGATACCAACTCTGATGGCAGAAAGATCAATTCCCACTACCCTAGGCAGAGCTGTGTGGAGTACAGAGACGTTTTTGAATGAAGACTTTTCTCTAAGGATTTCCAAAAACTGAGAGACTGTGTATAGCACTGCACCCTGAACAATCTATTTAGCTTCCTCTCATTTGTTCAAGACTTGTCTCAAACATCAGACTCAAAAGGGTCTGGTCCTTTTTTCACTCCTCCCCAAATTAATATGTTTTAGTAAAACAAAGTAAGAAACCTCCAATTCCTGTGTGACAACAGTGCTGGCAGGGATAGCAAACACCAACAGAGCAGAGAACTGCTCAGGAGGGACAGCAGGACAGACAGTGAGGATTTGCTCACCTGGGCAGTAGTCAGTGCGTTGCACATTGAACAAATGGCTTCTGCATCTTCATCTGTTTTCTTCTTTACCTGCAGCAACTGTGCAGCCTGGATGAGAGGTTCCAGGGTTTCCTTAGCACCACTATTCATCAAATTTTTATCACGTAGCCATTCTTCCAGTTGACTCACATTGTATCTGTACAAAGAGGTAAGAACATCAAGAACATTAATGCCTGATTATGGATAAATGGAAAGCATGTGTAATTTCCCAGCATGTTGATTTCCCAGTGCTGCTTATGTCCTTATGTGATTTTCCTTCTTGTTAATTTGTCTTCACACTGTTTTCTTCCAATTAAGGCAGGGATTTTGACATTCATAACAGTTAGAAACTATAGTCAAAGATTTCCACTAACTAGTCTTTCCCATTTGTTTCTCTTCCTATTAATTGTGTGAATGTGATAAGAAGAAAGGCAAATGAGATTTTGTCCACACTGAAGTACAGTGAGGCTTTGGAAGGTAACTTGAGGGACTGGAATGACCTGGCTAAATTTCCTGACATATGCCAGTAAAATCCACTGGAGAAGTGATGTGAAATGCAGGAGATGATTCACAAGGCTTTACCTCAGGATGCAGCAAATTAGTGTAGACAAAGAGGTATCCACTGCACCACCAGTACACAAAGAAAAGCAGCAGGTATGTTGGCTATTCTTCTCAAGCTGAAGAAGCAATTACCAATATTTCACCTAAGTTCTGTTTCCCACTTGATAAGGAAACACTTTTTGCTTTGCTTCTACCACATTTCCTTGATTGTCAGGTAGAATTTGGCCAATGTCAACTAAGCTGGTTTTTAACTGAGTTTCACCAAATCAGTTGAACATCATCTGCACCTGTTTGCATGTGGAAAAATAAATACTCCAGATATCTGCACCTGCATCAAAATGAAATTCAGCAATGTCAAGAGTTCAGTAAGATTTCCAGCAGTGCATTGTGGAGAACCGTAGCGAGCTTTCCCACCTTATCTGCATTCCCTTGCTCCACGAGCACATGTCCTTGCGCAGGAGAAGGTTATTGAGCGTTACAGCCCCGATGATGTAGAACATCTGCTTGACCACCTGTTTGATCAGCTCTGGGTCCATTCCATGCTGACACATCACCGAGTGGAAGGAGTTCAGCTGCCGGATGATGGAGTCCAAGGTGTAGGTGCCTTCATCAGCAATGCTGGATGTTCTCTTCCGCAGCCCTGTCGGTTTCACCCCCGAGACACCTTGGATGGTCTCGTGCTCCAGCATTCCTGAAACTGCATTTGATTGACAACGTTATTGTAATGACTGGAAACTGCTGATACACAAACTTATTGTGCAAGACGGCAAAGCAGAGGGCAGGCTGGGCTTTCTGCTACCCTGATTTCCAGAAACTGTGTGTCCCACTGTCTTCTGCAAAATCTAAGTTCACAGGGTTTCTACAAAGATTCTAGCATGTGTGTTTAAAAGGACAGTCTGAACCTAGCTCAGGAAAGTAGTTTTTTCCTCCCAGGGTCATAGGAGCAGCAGAGTCAGCAAACTGAGAGCTGTTCCATTCTTTTAAAATGTTATGATTGGAAAGCATGAAAATTTTGGTGAGAGTGTTGTTTGAACAGAAAATGAAAAGTATTCTTAATTGAAAAAAAAAAACCAACCATCTTTGAATGTTAGTTTTATCACTGCTTGTGATTTAATTCCTCACTGCTGTCCACAACGACCAAACCATTTTTTCCATATTAATTTTAATTAAAGGCTCTCATGTAATTAAAGTCTGATTTTTTTCCATGGGATACTTCCCAACAGACAGGGAAACAAATATCAGATTGTCCTGACAGCTTCTTCCTGTAAATGTCTGATTTATGCCAAGCATGAATAAGATAAACCAATTTATTCTGGCACTGCCAGAAAAACCAGTCACAGTTTAGCTTTTCCTCTAATCCAACCTGTCCAGAAGAGTCCTTGTCATATGTGAACAGAATACCACAAGAACTATTAATGAAACTCTACTGTTTAGGAAGAAATACAAGATACATCTACTACTACCACCATCATGATTTTCATTTTGGTACTATGTTGTGAAGCTTAAGGAATTCAACTTTGCCTTACCAATCATTGGCTGCAGAATATTTTCCAACACTCGGACAAGTTGTTGGTAGATCTGAATAGCCAAGTCACTCAGTACTTGTCTATATTCAGCTAAATCAAAATTAGTGAGGCAGTGTTCATTTTGACGAGGTGTATTATGCTTCATGAACCCCTGAATTCATAAAATAACAGAAATTAATGCTTCAGTAGAGCACAAAAATATTACACAAACCCAGTATTTGCATTTTCTTTCATGCAACTGACAAATAATACCTTAAGCCACAGCCCTTCAAAATTTTAGTTTGGAACTTTGATTGAGGCTAATGCTAGGATTTGCTTTTCAAGTGTGATGCCTGGCAGCACCTGCTTCCTTAATTCCAAATTTCAGGTCTGTGACACAGGAACAAACTCTGCCAGCTTTCTGGCAGGCAAGACTCCCTCCCTCTTCAAAGTGCATGGGCACTTTCAGCTGGCCAGCTATGGCCAAAAGCCCAGTTAAGCTTGAAAGAAGAATTGTGCATATCACAGCCTCTAAACATCCACTGGGCTGCCATACTATGGCTAAAAGGATTAATAAGGCCTTTTTGATAGGAGTCCAGTGAATCATTGCTAAAAAACCATAATGGTACCTGCCAGATTCTCCTGCTTAACCTTAGCTGGCCCTTCTGGGAGCCCACTGTCATCTAGACTCTGGGTCCCAGACTGCAGTAAAGGGAAGCTGCTTCAAATCTTATATCCCTGTGCTGTCACCATCACTCCAAAAGGTGTAGCCATCTGAAGAGACTATGACTAGATCTTTTACACAGGATTTGTTAAGGAGCAGTCCTGACAGCAGTACTGGAGAGCAAGAGAAACCAGAGTAAGAGCACTGCATACCTCTTCTCCACTGTACTGCTTCAAGCAGTGCAAAAATCGACAGGTGTTCGACAGCCAGAAGGAAACTGTTTCAAAGTCATCGCCTCTTTTCTGAAGATAGAAACAAACACAGCTCAGCAAAGACTGGCAGGAGAAGAAACAATAGAATGCAAGATACACAACTAAACACTTAAAATACACTTTCTAGCAGATCCTCATTCTGATGTTTTGCAAAACTTTGTGTATTACAGTAATGTATTAGGAAAGCAAGGGTTTTGGCAAAGTGCTGTTTAACACCCTCCCTGTTTTCCTTAGTATTTCTCACTAATATGATTTCTTCCACAGAGATGATCTTTCTGTGTTTTACAGGCCCATCCTAATTGCTCTGGGCAAGAATCAAACGGCAATGTGACCATTCCCAAACTACCCAGTGACTCTTGTGAAGAGCCCAGCAGGGAAGACTGGAGTGATACAGAGCCAGCAGAAGGAGCAGGGAAGGATTCAGTTTTGATGAATGCCACTTACATCATAACCCTTTTGACAGCCTGATATGGAAAATGAAAACAACAAATCCTTCTCACCAAAGAACACAGGATTGAGTATATGCTGAGTAGTTCTAGAGGTCTGTAGTGTGCACTTCTTTCACTTAAAAATGTTCAAAAATTCCTAAGGATATCTAAGCTCCAGCAGGATTGTTTACTAAGTGTTTTTTAAAAACTTGTAAGTTTGATTAAAGGCTTGGCTTTTGACACATCTCTCTCATTTAAAAAATAAAAAAAACCATGTAAACATAAAACACATTTATGTCTTAATAATGCCTTCGAGATACACCTGGCCTGAACTCTCCCAGCCAACTCCTTGCAAAGACTTTGGGCAGTAACTTATTATCATCAGTGTAATCTGTAGGTGAAGCAAATGAGGAATCTGTTAACCAAAACTGCAAATGAAACTGTTTATTTACATGCTCTGGAGAAGATTAATGAAGACTCATTCTGCAAAGTCTGACTACATCCAAACTTTGTAAGCTGAGCTTCAGAGGAGGGTGACTATTCAAAACAAAAAGAAGGTGCTTCTTTCCCTATTAATTCAATGCATCTCTGCTACTGTATGGACAAAATGCCAGCAATGTATCCATACAAAATTTGTTATTTTTTTAACACAACTCTTGGGACTTTAGTGGGAGTTCACTGATCACAAATCCAGAGCCAATTCACTGAAAGCCTTCTCCTCATTCTCCTAACATAAAACCAAAAGAGAATTTTAACATTTTTTTCTAAACTAAGCAGACTAACTAACCTTTAACACTTTTTTGATGCCATTGATAGTGGAAGTCAACAACGACCGCACTTTCTGGTCATCATTAAGGTAATCTGCATGGCGCACACACATGAACAAAATATATGCTGGTAGTCCTGGAATCAGGTTGACAGCTACCCCACGTGGTTTCAGCTCTTGGGGAAAAACAAACACACATTGTCTTGTTAAATGTCAAGTCATTAGAAGATGTTATATGAGGTAATTGCAACCTCCCCAGTTAATAGCATATACATGGATATATATGTATCTCTGGTCAGTGAAAACTCAGAGTAAAACCAAGAGACACTTTCTTGGTAAAAGAACAGAATAAGAAAATAAAAGTGCCTGCTAAAAACATGCAGGCATGTTAATATGTACTATACTAATCAGGAAGGATAATTAGATTACAATACACATTTAGGAACTGTAGGTAAACCAAACACCGTCAAAACCAAAACAAGCTATTCATTTCCTAATGGAAATTCTGTGTTCTTATTATTAAGTTTTCAGATTGTATGGAAGCAGAGAAGGCCACAAATGAGAAAAATGCTTACCTAAAATAAGATTCTTGACAAGTTTTTGTTCATCTTCCTTCTTATATTCCAACATCCCTTGGAAGTCCTTTTCTTTCCGTGGAATGTTAACCGGACGAATAGGTTCATCAATGATTTGTCCAGGTGATATATTCTCCATCTGGCCCACTTTGGAGAGAGAATGAAAAGAAACAATACATTTTCCAGTGAAAACAATACATACCAGAGACATTTCTGTAACATTCCTAAGGAAAGTCCTGGCTCCAGCAGAACAGGGAAGAGAATATTAAGAGCCTAACTGAGAAAACTCAACGGTTGGGAAAAGGTGGTTTAGTAAGTGAAGGAAAAGGGGCTGGGGGGTGGGAAGCAAAGCAAAGGCAATTACTCATGATAAACCCCCACCCCAAGAAAACTGATGTCCAGCCAGTCTCAAAACACAGCTACCTTGTGTCCAAAAAACCCTTCTGTGGTTCCTGTCATTAGGAGGTGCAGCATATGGAATATTCCTTTGGCCAATCTGGGTCAGCTGTCCTGTGTGCCCATGTGCCCTCCCACCTCACCTTACTGAGGGGACAGAGTGTGAGAAAAAGGAAACCTTGACACTTTCCAGCTCTGTTAAGCAGTAGCCAAAACACCAGTGTGTTCCCAGCAGTGTTATGGACTCAAATCCAAAACACAGCACCACACAGGCTGTTATGATGAAAGTTAACTCCATCCCAGACCTACTGCATCTTTCTAAGTTAATTAGGCAATACACACAGACCAAACAATATTTTCAGGAGCATTTTCCCACTCTGTATTACGTATGAACATTACTGTGATCTTGCCCAGAGAAGTAACTGAACAATATTTTAAGACTTTTTTTTTAAAAAAAAACACTTAGTTTGGGTAACTAACCTTCACATTCAAAGGAAAACTGGGTAACTGATTTTTGCCTGGCTCATATTTAGTACTGCTTTTCTCTTTACAAAACCAGATACTGTCTTTGAGTACACAAACAGTGCAGAAAATGTGCCTCTATGTTTGAATACTTTCTGCCTTCAGAGAAACATCTATCTCCTTTTCTTATCTTCTAAAGGTTCCTAAAGGAACACACAGAGGTCTGAGTATACATCCTGTTTCTGCAATCAACAGAGGCTAGAGCTACTGAAGCCCTCCCAACTGCTAAAACAGATGGGTTTGATGACAATCAGATCACAAAGTAAACCAAAATCTTTCTCTCAAGATCTGAAAGTACCTTCGAGTTCACCGATCTTCTTAGCAAATACTTTCAACTGCTTCTTTAACTTGCGAACAGTTTTGTCCTGCTTTTCCAGCTGCTCCATTAAATCCTGTAAATTAAAATAAGGGGAAGATTAAGATATGGGAACAATCCTGTGCCGTGTGACAGAGACAAAAACAGTGCAGTTAGAGTTATGAGGCAGTGAGGAAAGCTGAACAGAAGTGCCATCCTCTGGCCAAGGGTTGCAAGCTGGTACACTGCCTACAACACAAGCCAAATATTGCAAATATTATTAAGTTATATGCAGCATGACAAAGGCAAAGCTCATAGGCAGGTAGATTCTGCAGACACTCAGAATGAGGTCAGTTCATATAGCAGAAGATATTTTGCTGCAAACACATCTCCCTAATGCTTCCTCCCTGCTCTTCCAAGTGCCTCACAGAAATTACTTTCTTTATTATTAAACAGCTATCCTGTATTTCTGCATTGTTTAATCCTGTCTTTAAGACTGACTCCTTATTCAGACCTATCTATGTTGAGAAAATGAGAGATTCCTAGAAAGACCATAACTTGCACTCAAATTTACCAAATCAAACATCCAAACACCATTTCTTGTGTTGCTCTGCCATTTCCCTTGCTGTCATCACATTTCCTTACACAGAAAATGGTTTTCTACATATTTTTATTCTGTATCTGAATAACATCTAGCACCTGGAAGTCCTAATCTTTTAATATACCGTATTTGTCCTTCAAAGGAACATTCCCAGAAATCTGAATAGTTCTGTGACATATCTGCTGTAGTACATTCATAAAATAATGGTGTAATTAAAAAAGGGAAAGTCTTTCTAAAGAAAGCAAAACCTCAAGCTCAAACAACCTGAAAGCCATCCCAGGTTAAGTGTTGGAAAGCAGCTTAGAAGAAAAACCTCCTGTGCATGAGGATTATTCTTGGCACTAGTAAGAACACTAGGGATCGTGAACTCCCTGCTTCAAAAGCATCATCTGGGAATCTACACCTCTTCTGAAGTACTGGAACATTTTAGTGCAGCATAGGCACAAACCTTAATCATGTAGTAGAAGAGTTGACAAGCTGATACAATATACTTGAGCAGTAAGATATTAGGCCTGTTGACAACAGAACTGAGGCCATGCTTCACATCCAAAGCACTGTTCAATTTTACAACAGAAATCCTAACAATTTAATAACACTACCTACTCATTGTCAGAAAAAACAATTTCTCCTGAAATTAACAAAAAGATACACATAAGTTTGACAAACTGTTTCAAATGTATCAGGGAAGGGATATGACTTCAGAACAACCTCTATGTGAGGACAAATGAAGTTCTTTCTATGGTTCCTCTAAACAAATTTAGCAGATTTCACATCTCATTAAGATCTGGAAACTCATAAATTATATTCTTTCCAGCTCACATATGGTGCTGTCTTTAATTTCAATGAAAGAATTATCTCCAATGTCATTCTTCATATTTTGCATTTCTGAAAAATAGTAAAATCAGAATAAATTCAGGCTATGACTGGATTGCTGACACCATTCACCGTGGTAAGGATCTGTATGATCAGTCCTCTACTTTTCTGAACTGAACCTAAATGTATCAAAGTTTCAAACCAAAGAGTTTTTTTGAAAATTGAACATCTTTTGCATCATGTACCTCTTTTCCAGGGCTGTATTAAGAAGTATTCAAAAAGAAACTTTAGCTTTGCTCACAGCACAAGGCTCGTATTAGTAACAAAACTGTGCATCAAAAAGAAACACAGATTACACAAAGGACACTAGGGCTAACAAAAAAAAGCAGTGAAGGAAGTAATTTGCATCGTGAAGCTCTCTGCAGGGGGATTTCCTCTGAAAGGGAGAGAAGGAGACAGCCTGCTTTTCAATTAGTGCTTCAGAAACAGCGACCAGACAACAGAGAAACAGGACTTTTGTGAACTACATACAATCATCCGCTTGTAAAGGGAAATCCGGTACAACTGATACTTCTTGGGATCATCTGCATACAACTCCTCATAAAACTGCAAAAATAGGGACAGGGTTGGTTTTCTCCCTCCCTCTGAGACACTGAAACTTCAGTGAGCACTGTACAGATTAAATCAGAATACAACAAGATCAAGGATTTCCTACTTTTAGGTAGTCTAGGCCTTAGTTGTGCTCATGCCAGCACCTCCCAGAGAGCAGCTGATGTAGATGAGTTGCAGAACAGTCAGATCTTTTAAAAATGGGCTGTACTAGGACTGTGAAAGCATGGAATACAACCTTTGTGAGAACAGGGACAGGACATTTTCTTATGCTAATGAAGATGGGATTGCAGTGAACACTACAATTCTAACATGGCATCTGGAAAGCTGCAAATTGTTTCCACTCCAGGGCTAGGAGTGGAACTGAAACGTACACCTAGCTTGGAGTGGACTTGCAATACTCAAACATCTGAGGTGAAATACTAAGGAATGAGTCTATATTTAACAAGTAAAATTACATTCAGTGTATTTGAAAACAAAGAGAACTCCTCTGGGCAATAATTACATGACTGTGTGTTGTCTTGGGAACACGATGTGATGAGTAGGTCTCTGGGGGGGAAAATGGCTAAAAATCATAACATATGACTGAGCAGCAGGAGGGAGCTGCTGCGACAGAAACATTCACCATCTACCTTTGCCAGTGAGAGACTGCGGCTGCTGAGGCAAACTTACACTTTTAGCCAGTTCTCCAACATGCATCAGCTGAATTATCTGATACTTTGCTCAAAATCTCTGGTATTAAGACAAGACCCCAACAGTGATAACTTCTGTCATTAGCAGGAAACACTACACCTTGGCTTGTTTGGAGGGAGCAATGACACAGCTAGGATTTTTCTGGCTGAAGTAGCATGTTTCCCTTTACCAGTAACAAGCCAAGCATATTCCAACACAAGTCTCTGGAAGATTTCCCCAGAAATGCAGTAGCCCACATAGGATGAATGTACTCTTTTGTGGAAGAAGGAAAGGAGTTTTGCCCAATCCTTCCTTCACACAAAAATGTTGTGCAGTACACATATAATACTGTTAGCTAAGTGACTTCAAGCCAAGTTTCTTTTTATGGAACTATTTCTTTTTTCAAAACATACTGAATAGTTGGAGCTTGTAAAATGATGGATTATCACTTTAGCTTCAGGCAGGGAAGAGAGAAATGGGAAGATAAATTACATGAAATAATTAAAGAATTACATCAGAGTTATTAAATGAAATAAACAAACAAACATATTTCAGAGGAAACACCACTCCTTGGCTCCATTACTAGTTTTTATGACTTCCCTGGATATCAACATTCTATTTAACCATGACTAGGGTCACCAGTTGGAAGCTGGGATCCACAAGCTTCCTCCATGCCCCAAACTTCAAACCAGTTTCCTGAAACACTATTACTTCAGGAGCAATCACCAGCCTCTCTCTCCCATTAACCTGCACTCAAGAAAACCACTACCCTCGTGCAATGTTTTTTGCAGGAAGCTGCCATCTGAAAAATGATAAGAACCTAGAGGTGTGGCAGGTCTGTAAGTCCCCATGCCAGCTCCTGCAGCATCATTTCTCTTACCAAGTTCTCATTAGTCAGCCGGGTGATCTCATGCTGCAGACTGGCTTCAATGCGGGCCTCGGGAGGCAGCTGCAGGTTCTGGGCCAGGAGCTGCTGCTGCCGATTGTTTTCCTCCTTCAGACTCTGGATCTCACCTCGCAGCGATTCCAGCTCATTCTCGTGGCTCTTCTTCTGCGACTGAAGCTGGGACTCCAGCAGCCTAAGGAGGTTGAGCAATAGTTTATGTGAGCACACTCAAAGTTACATCCCTAGTTCTCAGAGGGAGTGTAAAGCTTTAGCTGCTGCTCAGGAACAATTAGCCATGGCTTGCAAAGGAAAATGAAAAAGGCAGAGTACTCTTTAAACCCTTCAGTATGCCTTCTAATTAAATTAAGCTTCCATGATCAAGAAGTGGAGAGAAGCTAATTGTGACACTGCTTTGCGTTTCCTTTGATTGAACACGTACTGTACAGGGTGCCACTGTGGCAACAAATGTAAAGCTAAGTCTTCACAGATTGACTGAAGGGCCTTTAAAGGGGTTTTACCTCTGAACAAATCAAATAACCTAAGATGACACTGTGCTCACTCAAATTAGCACCTTGCAATATGAACAATGGAAAATATTTTCAGAGTGAACTTTTTCAGTCAGAAACTATTTAATTGCAAATGCACATTAATAATCTTTATTTTTACATGAAACCAAATATTTTTCAGAGGGTTGTCCTTAATGCATGAAAGGCCAACAACAGAATCAGACTCAGGACTAAAATCCAGGAGCTTTATCCTCACCACTAACTCATTCTTTCCCCTTGAGCACATCACATCTCAAATTCTTCTCTTTGTGAAGTGAGGATAACACGTACCAGCCTCCTGCCAGGCAGTGCTGGGGGTTCCACTCCTGCTTGCAAGGCACTGTCCAAGGGCTCTGACTCATAATTTTGTACGTACACAGGAAATGACAATACTAGTGACTACCAGTGTTCAATTAGACAACATTTCAGGGTTTAAATATGCATAAGGCAGAAACATTTATTAGTAACTAGACTGATGAAGCACACAAGGGCAAATAGTCATTTACTTGCAGTGCTCTGCCATTTAATATAAAGCTTCTTGTCTCTGCAGTGCCAGGACAAGAGGCAAGAGGCACAGAGCAAACCAACTCCCATCCTGCTCTGCAGAACAGCTGCTCTAAGTTAGATCTTCACAGCTTTACACAACCATGTTAGGGGTAGAATGTGTTAGCACCAGAAAAGGAAGGACCTTAGTTAGTAGCAGTCATTGCAAAATGCCACCTTCTGTAGTTACTGCTACCAAATGCATACACTGAAGAACATCAGCAGTGCTGATGGAGTGAGTTAGTTGTCAGGGCAGGAACAGGAAGCATTTTGGAAGTCAGGAACACCGACGAGCACACAGAGCCAGAGCTGCACTTCTCAACAAGGTGATTCTCGCCTGCCCCATGACCAGCACAGTCCTTGCAGAGACCACAGGGGTCCCACTGAGGCTTCAACAGCACCACGAGGAACTAAAGATTACTTCTCTTTCTTGGTTATTTTGTGACTTATATTTTGAATCTGGCATGGAGAAGAATGTTTAATTTACTGAACTTGAGACACAGGGAGACTAAGGCCCATTTCAGTTTGAAATTTAAGAGTACACTGAAGCTACTTAAACAATAGTTAGTAATTACTAAAATGATTGTACTTCTTTAGGCTGAAAAACTGTAAGGAACATCAGTTTTGAAACCTGGTGTAAAAGTGCACAAATAGTACATGACTACAAATACTTTCTAGCTGTGGAGCTTCTGGTATCTTACAGTCTACTTTTGTGCAAGTATTCTTATGAATTATGTATTGGCTGTTGTGCCATCTTAAACTTTTTAAATTATAAAACCTGACAAGTAGAAAGCTTTGAGGATTAGGTTTGAGGAAACTCCTTAATTTGTGTAATCTGTGTTGAATTTTTTTTCTAACTGTTAAAGCAATAGAAGTACTGTAGCTAAAGCAAACCCATAGCAAGGGGCAGTCAGCTAGAAAAGAAGATGCAAATGAAGGAAAAAAAAACCCCATTCTGAGAAGTTTGGTAACCTGTTGGCTTGTTTTAACCCTTCATAAGCCAGCCAAAGTTCTCCGTCCTCATTCAGCATATGATAGTCCTGGGGAGATTGCCTTTCAAGAAACGTGTTTAAAAAAATACAAGAGATATATGTGATGGTGAAGAGGTGACATGGCAAGGACATTACACACTACATTACAGTTACAAAATAAGAGAAACAAAAAACCCTCCAAAACAACTTAGCAAATTACTTTTCTTGTTTATGTGTTTTTTTCTTAATGGTGCAAGTCAGTTCTCAGTGACAGCCCAGCTGGTTACAGCATTCTGTGCTGTTACAATAAATGCATTGCCACAGACTACTGTGACCACTGTGGTTCAGAGGGTGACAAACCAGCCTGGGGACTGGCACCCAGGCTGGGCCACGCAGCAATTAGAGGCTAAGAGGATGGAAATACAGAAAGCTTGATTTCACATTCCCCCATTATTTCCAAATCCTTTCAAATACTGCACACAACAATTTTACTAATGAAATCAAATTATAACCCCAGCTATGAGTGCTCTCTGGACATACATGGATGGAACTGACTGAACACAATATACAGTGTGTCACAGCAGACCCCAGGTGATCACAAAATAAAATAAAGAGAACTTGTACCTGTTTGTTTCCTTCAGACCAATATATGCCTGTGCTATTTCTCCTTTGTCTTTCATCTTCTGTACATCCTCCAAGAGGATTGTAGCATCTGTCATTGTATGCTGGAAAAAGAATGATCATTTACTGTAAATTTAACAACATAACTGCTCCTTGAATCCATGTTTTCTTCATGTGGAACACCAGTCCTTGAGTAGACATTAAATAAGTGTGGGTACCTGAGCAAGAGGTTGGTCCATAATTGCTATGTCCATTTGGTTTATCTTTTAAAATAAATGCATTCAAAATGGTCAAATATTGGTTTGTCTAGTAATTTGGTACAATTAATCTCTTTCCACTTGTTCATCAAATAAAAGGAACAAAATAAATTTCATGACATGTTGAATTTGCATTTTATTCAAATTGCCAGGAACAGCTGCTAATACTAAAACTGAAGCAGCATAGTTTTGCCAGCTTAATTCTATTAATATTTCTTAAACATAGCATTACATGGAGTCTTTCAAAGCTCAAAAATAAGAACTGTTTCTCACTCGTGTATTTTAAATTCTCTGTCAAACCAGGAAAGAATTGACAACGGCTTGAGATCTTCTAATTTAGATAGTATCACAGTGCCATTTTGTTTCAGTTTTTAATGTTTATTATGGCTTTTTCTTCAGTAAAACCTGAAATACTTAATAGATGTTTACAGTCACCTTGGCCAGTCTGATCTGAGTCATTGCCATGGAGTACCAGAAGATTTTAATGAACATAAGAGATGGAATTCTGACTTTTTGACTTTCAAAACAAGCAGATGCAGTTCTCATGAGCACAATTTTGAAAAGTTTTTACAATAACAGCTTTGTGGGCTTAAATTCTGGAGTCTAGATCTCTATGTCTAGTATGATTTGTGTTATCCAATATGAGAAACAATAAAATATGTAAGCTCCTCAAGGAATTATTCTCAACATCTTTATGAGATCTTTGAGGTTTTTCTACTATTAATTTACTACAGAGTAAAACTGCTGTATCTCACCTGATAATCTATCAAGCTTTAGCAGTCTGAACATCTATCTTTTACAGTCAGTTCAGTTTCTTATAGTCTTTTATGTATTCAACTACATTTTCTACTCAAAAATTCAGCAATTCCTATCCAGTAGCTAGAGATGATAACGTGAGTCCACAATGTTTGTTGCTTGCTGAGGATAGCAAACACTCTAAAGTGAGGAGCTTCTTCATACCACAGACACCTAATTTGTTGTGAAATACAAGGACTTTGCAAGTTAACAAAAGTCTGATTCCTGGATCACAGTGCTCCCTGGATCACTGTCCTTACCCCTCAAACATACTCAGCAAGAAACATGATGGAGCTGACTTGACCAATTCCTAAATCCTTCCTTTCATATTCAGGTTGGCATAAAGCAACAGTTCAAAACTGTTAAATCTGCTTGTTTTGAATCTACTTGTTTCCCTGTGCAGAGCATGAAGATGGGGATGCAGAGGACACAGAATTATGAGAAAAGCTTTTCAATAATATCAAGGTAAAATGCAAGAACATGTATGTTACTTAAGAGGCAGGGAAATGACAGCTCAGTACTGCTGAGGGTTATTTTAGCATTCAGGAAGCTCTGGATTGTAACTGTAGAAGAAAATGTGTACCTTGTCCTCCTGGCAATCAAATTGGTAGGCAAGAAAGAAGAAAAACAAAACATTAAAAAAAAAAATCTGTCTGTGCTGCAGCTGTCCAATGTAAAAAGCAGAAGGTATCTGCAAACTGGCTGCTGACTATCCCACAGGTCACCTTCCTATTTCCCACAAAGCCACTGTAAAATCAACACATCCATCCCACCACTGCTGGGAATACTATTGAAAGATTTACTAAGTATTTCCTTACAATGTTATAAATACTACAGAAAGATGTGTTCTGTTTTCTTTACAGCCAATCATTTAAAACAAGACTTACACATCTTCATGCACCACAGACTTCCAGTTTACTTAGGACAAATATAGCCATAACTTTGCAGCAGCAAAGATGACATATCTGTTCATTCCTTGCTGCAGTTATGAAACATGAGATAGCTCAGTTCAGAGGAAATTACCAGCTCCTTGATTTACATGATGCCTTTTCACATTGACTGATTCCTATTTACAAAGCTATTACTTTCCCTTTGCCATCAGAGTCAGAGCTTTTTAGAAGATATGCATTTCTAATATAATCTACTCTTCTTTCTATAAAAGCTCATAGCACCTATGAAGCAATAATATAGAATTTACATATCTTCAGAAGTTATTTTTATGAAACTTTACTGACTTGCAATCATATAGATGTAGAACAAACTCTTCCTTCCACTGAACTATTAATTGAAAGGAATTCCTGAGAATTCCTTTAAATTTTTCAGTCCAACTGCACACTAGAGAAATGATACAGCTCCCAATGGGAATTATTTGTGTACTGTTAAAGGAGTCTGGGGGATCAGACCTTTGGTACAGCCTATACATCTTCACATGAGTGCTGGTAAACCCCAGATTGGTTCATTAAAACAAGCTCCTAATTCAGACTGCTGTGGTTTGTGCACTAATAATGGACCATTGGATTACACTTAGAAAGGTTTTCAAACCCAGACTATTTTCTTCTGCCTTTTCAAGCAGAATATTAATTTATATGTTAATCAATAAATGATGCAATGTAACTTTTCCACACAATGCACCTGCTGAGTGAGATTTACCTTGGGCTGAATTGCCTCCTTCTGGCTAACAAGCTGAGACCTCAGGATGAGAACTTCTTCCTTGCGTACTTCAAGCTCTTCACTGACCGAGGTCAGCTGGTCCAGGAGGACTCTGTATGCTGGGGCACCAGGAGCAGTCACCTCTGGAGCTCGTGTCTCTGTGAGGGCCTTCTGCAGCTCATTCAACTCGTTCTTCAGCTTTTTATTCTCAGATTCAAGCTCTTGACGCTGCAAGAAACAGGGACAATTCTGTCACCCAGCAGCACTGCGACACGTCTGTAACCCATAGGTACAAAACTATGGATAGAAATGGTAAAAATTATGTGTGACTGCAAGAAATCCATCAATCTCCCCTGTATTCCTGGCCTCTTGACCATGGTCAATAGTGTCTGGGAGGATTTCACTAACAGGACTAACCTTTTGTTTGAAATGCAAAACCAGAACACACACACATGGATCAGACAGATTTGATGGGAAACAGAATTGACAACCTTTTTTTCCTATAATTCACCCCTTAGCAAAAAAAAAAAAAAAAAAAAAAAAAAGTTCACAACAAATAGTGGTCAGCAGGCTAGGAAAATTCTGCATCACTATTAGGAAATATGTTTAGTTTTAGTGGTCTAAAATATGCAGTAATTTAAATAATGCTTTTGAAAAACAGACCTACATTTATCACTGTATTTTTGCCCAAATTAACTTGCAAGCTGTACTTAGTGATTTACTAGAGAACTCCCCCTGGCTTAGGGGATCTTTTCCTTTTGCATCCCCAGGCACACATTCTACACCTCAAAAAGAGCAGTCCTACAATGAAATGACTGCTGGGGTATATTTGTTCTAGTTTCTCCAGCTACTATTTGGAAACAGGAGAGCTGATGTAATTTTCTATGCCAGCACATAGAGTTGGTGGCAAGAGTCTTACTAGAAAAAACCCAGAAACCTCTGGTTTACAATTACCTTGAGTGACTCATACTCCAACTCTGCACCTCTTATGGGAGGCCTTTCTTCCTCCTATTAAAGAATACAAACAAGTGTGAAAACTAAAAATCCTTCATTGAGGTAGGAAAACAAAAGGGAACTGAAATTATTTTCCTATACAACTGTAAAACACTCATTCTGGTACTGCTAACTGCTGTAGTTTGAATATTGGCATTGCCTGCTTTACTACTGAGTTTATGACACATGTAATACATGTTGATATACTGTCACTGGCAACAAAACAGAGCAGGATGAACCCCAGCATGCTAAAGACATTCACTAGTAGAAACATAGTAAGAAACAATTGCCAAAACTGGTTTCATAATTTTTTAAGAAGATCAAATCAGGAGAATTTAAATCACAATCAGCTAATGCGTCTAAGCTCAGTACTTTGGCTATGCACTTCTTCTTCTGCCTAAAATGAACAATTACCCATTCTTCCCATCTTTTAAGTAGATTATCTTATGGCTACTCCTTAATAAAAACAGCCTTTCAGCCTTTTCTTTTTTTTAGGTGAAGTCCTAAGCACTTTTTCTTCCTGCTGTCTTCCATCAGAGGATCTCAAGGACCTTGAAAAACTAAATAACCAGTCCCTAGAACTAAGCACCAATAGGAATCTTGTCATTAAATAAAGCAAGGGCTAGAGGAAGATAAAGATTTAGTGAAAGCCAGTCAGCATTCACAGAGCTACTGTTTCACAAGAAGGGACATTCTGGTGTCAGCATTTGATCAGCTACAAGGAGTCCACCTTAGCTTTAGCACGGAGAGCCTGTTCCTCCTTTCTGTCCAGTTCATCCTGCAGGGACTGCTTTTCCTGCTCCAGTTCTGAAACCCGTTTCTGCAGCTTGAGGAACAGAGACATGTCCAGCGCTGCTTTTTTCTCACTAGGCTCCTGCTTTAGAAACAACAGAGGGAAGTCAAGGAGTATTCCCCTTCCACAGCACAAGGAAGCACAACAGTGAGTAAAGATGGGAAACAGACTGGGGAAAGAGAGGAACACAGAAATGTTACTTGATTCTGAGCACTGAATATCTAAAATATTTCATTGGCTATCAAACACTATTTTTAAAAAGGATTTACTAGTAGAAAATGTTTCTAAGCCTAAAGCCTAGCAAAAGAAAGCACTAGACACTACCTAGCAGACAGGAGGTCTATAACTAAGCATACCTTATATTCTGACATGTTTGAACGGGGGAAAGTAGAAAAAAGAAAAAGTTTGTGGTTAGACTCACCTGGAAACAACTGTAAATAAGGGATTTTTTAGTTGTTGGTTTAGTTTTCAATGATTTCTATAGTAAGCTCTTCAGCTAAAGAGAAACCTTTCTGGCAATTTGAAGGTTAATTTAGTGGGATATGACACAAAAAATAGGTAACAGAAAATATATTTTAAGCCTTTTTCCTTTTATTGTGCTAATTATACAGCCTGTTCTAAGCCTAATTCACCAGTTTCTTCACTATTATCTGGGCAAGGACCAGTGTTTGCAATCTGAACCTGCATTAGAAATTGTCCATCAGCCTTTTTGCACTTTATGTACTGGAAAGATCAAAGTGTTTACTATGAACTGTACCATAAAATTTTAAAGCCTAGAAAAGGAACTAGAAAATTAATATTAATGACTGTAGCAGACAAGCAAGCACAGCCATTTCCACTTCATCTCCTTTTACTGTTGAGGGGAAGAGTCATAAACCACACCAACAGCTCAGGCAAAAGGAAACAGACTTTTGAGTTTTCTGGCTTTACTCATTTGCTTAGAGGTGAGCCGGATTTTTTAATGTGGTTTTGTATAATTAATCTATATTGTTAGTCTAGAGTTAGAACTGGAGAACGTCGAGGGGTTAAACAAATACAGTGCTACAGTTGTTCACACTCTTGTGTGAGTTCATTTCTTCCTTTAAATTCAAAAACCCAAACCTGGCTCTACAACAGCAATTCAGTGAGTCCATTAGCCAAAGGAAAACATGGCATTTGGCTCATATGTGACATCCCATCACCTGTAGTTGCACTGTCCTTCTCCTGAGTCTCTGTGAATGTAGGAGTATCATCCTGAAACCATTATGCAAGATGAAAATCCTAAGTGGGAAGGCGAATTATGAAAGAGCGCGCAGAGAGGCTGTGCCAGCCCCAATGCGTCAGGATATTTGCATCCACAGGAGAAAATAATTCTCTGCAGAGGCTTTCCAAAGCAGCAATGACAGCCTGTCAATAGCTACTCTGGAGATCCCTAACCTAGGCAGAGGGCAAACAGGGTGTGCTGTGCCCTGGCTCACAGTTAAGGAGCTCTTCAGAATGCACAGAGAAAACTCTGACTCTGGAAAGGGCCAAGCACAGCCAGACCACCACCCTGAGGGCTCTGTCTGCAGTCCCACTGTGATGGGATGGGCTGAAAGGGGGAGTTATCTTGGAAAATGTTATCAATGGCTTGGAGTTGCACCACAAATTATTTATGATTATTATTCATTAGCTAAATCAAGTCATCTTTCTGAACATTTTTTGAACATCTTCCTGATCATTTTTCCAGACATCCTGGGATTTGTATTGCTTCATATGCTAAGGAAACTCCCATTCTGGGAGTTTGATTCTTCTCTATGAAATAGAGAAAACCTGATCCAGTGTTAGTTTCCCACCCCTAACAGGAAACTCATTCCATGCAGCTTGCCATTTTAAATCATTGACTATATAGTAGGCAGGCTCCTCAGGAAGTCTCACTGGTTTTTTAAATTCCCACTTTGTCCTGAATAAGTGATTGTGCTTACCAACACTGACAACCAAATGTTTCACAGATGCAAATCAGCTGGATCACCAAGTATCTATTCTATGCTTACTGTAATACAAGAAGAGTTCAAAGCATACTTCGACAGTCTTTTTACACAGGATCTCAACTAACTAGGGAGTAAGTGTTTCTCTAAAAGGAAATGGAGAAAGTTGCATTAAAGCATTAGATATCTCAGTATACGGACACGGTGTTCAGAAGCACTTACGAAAAAAAGGAGAAAGGAATGAGTTCAACTATGTATCAATGAAGAGTTGTGGGGGATTTTTAATGTTACCTCCATCCTTAGTGGTAAGTCTTCTGCTTCTGTGATCTCAGAGCTGAAAGTATATTCAGATTCATTGCTACTGTGAGTTGAGTCTGTTCTTTTGTGCCCAGGCTTGGGGATGCTCTGAAGTGTAAATGGAACAAATCAGTACCAGTATATAGTTTTCCCTGTGATTCTCTCTCCACAACCTTTAATTTAGCTTATAATATTTGGTTTTATGTCATCACCATCAAAATTTGTAAGAAAATGTTTTTGATTCTGGTCTCTCCAAAGACCTAAGAGCCTGTGAGATACAGTTAGCACTCAGCTCTATGGAGATAGGTCAGATTTTACACCACCAAGGATTGCTGCAGAAAGCAGAACTAAGCAAGGATGCAGCACTTTGTGGGAAAGAAACATTCAGTTTACAGGAAGCACAGGCGGCAATTTTTTAACTCCCTACACATTCTATTGAGGAACACTTTATATTCCTGCCACAAAGAATATTCCTAGGACTACATAAAATTTATCACTGGATGAAGATGGTTCAAACAACCCCAACAGATGTGAATAACTTGAGGGCAAATACGGATGAACAGCACAAGTAATACCAGCAGGAAAGTCACAGCAGAAATTTTAGCCTTCTTCTCAGATGTGACAATTAATTCTTATTTTTTTTAAACCAACAACAGATTTTAAATGTATTTGTTTTGGCTGACCTAATCAAAATAAACAGTATTTAAAAGGACAAATTCTCTTTTCAAGTACAGGCTACCAACACATACAGCTGACAGCACCTACTAACTTATCCCACTAGACTCTGCCTAAACATGGTTGTGAACAGCCTTTGATTTCTCAGCTGTGGAGCCACTTACCACCATCAGGTTCATTTCATCCTTGAGATCATCGTAGCGCTCCTCCAGGCGGCTGAACTCATTCAGCAGGTTCTGGTACCGTAACCGTTCATCATTCAGGTCCAGCTCCAGCTGCTTTGTCTCCTCCACCAGCTTCTTCTCCATCGACTCTGCAGGGATCCAAAGTGAGAATTCCAGCCCTACCTACCATGCAGTGCATCCATCCAGGAGATCCAGGCCTGCACCAGAGGAACAGCCTGCCATTTGAAGCTGGTGTTTGTGCCTCTCTAGGCAAACATTAGGCCAAAAATATGAAGGGCCAAAGCATTATTGTGGCAACCACAGAGGTGCTCACTCAGACAAGTTAGTTATTCTGCTGATACCTTCTAGGAGTGATTCCAGGAGGGAGGAAGAAGGGGCACTAGCTCATTGCTGTGCTATGCAAAAGCAAAATGTGAGGTGCTTTGCACCTCAAGCATCCTGACCCTCCTCATCACAGCTCCCTTCATCACAGCCCTCACACCGAGAGTTTAGCTTTCCTGGCTGCTGCCTACACAATCACAGCAGCCAGGAAAGTTGTAGCAGACAAACTGTATTAAATATCAGAGCTGTCTTTTAAAAATCCAAGTGTTTTGGAACAGTCACACCCCCTAAAAAAGGCCCCAAACCCTTAGGATTTTGTGGAAATTCAAATGGTAAATAATTCTGATGTTTGCAAGTTCTTAAAACAAAGAAATGAATGCAGAAAAAGGAATGTAAATTAAGGCAAATTAGCCCAATCTATGCAGTAGAGTGCTGCTTTACAAGGTAACATGAAGGAGGAAACCTGAATGAAGAGAACAGAGCCAACCTGTTATTTCCCTCGCCTGGTCATGGATGCGGCGGTTCAGGTCCTCTTTTTCTGTTTTCAGTAATGAGTTCTGCTCTTTCAGCTCTGATACCAGCTACAGAGATAATAAAATATTAGACTCAGAATGCCGTTCATCTTTCATCATTAGCTCTAACAATGGCACCTTTGTTGTGACAGTTCACACAATTAAATTGTTCTTCACAGAGTGGAACTGGTGAACTAAGTCTTCATTTCCAAATGACATTTCTTAAATGTGTAACACTGCATTCCCCTGTATGTTCTGCATCCCATTTCTGATCAGATGCTAAAACTGCCCTGAAGCACTCCACAGTGCCATGTATTTTTCATTAAAGTCCCAAAGATAAAAATGGCTCATTAAAACAGAAATATTCATAAAACAGTAACACTTTTGGTAGTTCTCTGGTAAATTCCATTGCATTGGGTAACACCACAATTTAACACCTTGCCTCTGTCCTAAACCTGTGTCACTTTACCTGTGTTCAGGTTTGCCAGGTACTCATTTATGTCTGATTATGGTTACTATGCATTCACTTTGCTTTATCTGTTAATATTTTTCCTTACGCTTATCTGATATTGAAATTGGTCACAGCAGCATCACATAATGATGGACTGGCTTTCCAATACTCAAAACTTGCACCATTATCAGCAAGTACTCTTGACAGAAATCAACCCATTTGTTTGTGGTTAGCAAAGATCAGGGCTTAGCTGAAACCTGTTGAACTAGACTGTGCACATGTGTTGAATAGGCTGGCTGTTTACATTAGGCAGGATATAGTAGCACCTTTGAATGTTGAGTATGGGACAGATTCCTGATGTCCATGTGTTTACTCTCTCTAGGTAGGAAAGAATGATTTTTTGTTATGAATGCATTACCTCTGAGTCAGAAACCTTAAGGATTTGGCTTTGCAAATGCTTTCAATATCAAAATCTGAATAGATTAGATACATATATTTGCATATATGGATTTAGCATATTCTTCTACCATAGGTGCAGCCATTTAGGTACCAAGCCTATCTAGGATGGTACAGCTATAAAAGTACAGTAAAAATACCAGCCACACAAGTGAAACAATTAAACCTGGGCAAAACCTGAGTGGATACCAGGCCCCTGTAAATCCTCTCATGCATCTGAGACCCCATACATGCCTGCTCAGTTTCATGCTTATATTTGTCTGCCCATTCCTCAATGCTCTTCTTCTCCGACTGGGTCTGGTGCAGCTCCTTGCGGAGCTTGGCAATCTCCTCCTGGAGGCTGATGACACGGTTGGTGGCGTTCTTGGCCTCCTCCTCACTCATCCGAAGCCTCTCCACATCGCTCCGCAGCTTCTCCGTCTCTGTACTGTACGTGATCTCCAGGTTGTTCATCTTCTCCAGCAGGGATTTGTACTCTTTGTTCTTTGCAAAACACAACACGGGCAGAGCAGCTGTTAGAGAAGTTCTGGTTTATGGGAGCCTTTTCCTTCCCTACAGAATTCACCCTGACATGGGAGCACAGGAGCAGCTTCCCCATTTCAAAAAGGTTTTGGTCTGGTTTTGCAGAATTGCTTAATGAGGTGACAGAAGAGTCCAGTCTCTAAGGCTGCACATCCTAAACTAAATCAGACACGATCACCCCACCTTCCCCTAAAACAGAGCAACTGACGTGCTTCAAACGCAATACTGGCGTTAAGCGAGTGGGTGTTTTTTCTCAGTTCTGCTGAGAGGAACAAGTGGATGTTTGACTGTTCCAGTTCTACTGTGGCCTCCCCTTCTCTCCTATCACTGTTCTTCATCAGAAAAGAGAACTGCGCCCTTCCCAAGAAAATTCAGTGCATTCCGCGAACGCCCACAGTGCTGAGAAAGGTAACCAAGCCTTTGGCAGGGTTTCCCTGAGGCTGGCGAGGGAGACCCTTTTACCTGCTCATCGATTTTTCGCTGCAGCTGCATGATCTTGTTCTCCAGGCCAATGTGAAGCTTCTTGTAGCGCTCCACGGAGCGGGCCTCTATCTTCAGCTTCTTGAGCTCCCTCTTGGCCATCATGCGGCGGTAGCAGCATTGCAGGTACACGATGGCCCTCAGCGTGCGGCGGTAGCGCCGCCGGGCCAGCCAGCCCCTCACGTGCTTCTGGATAACCACAGACTTGTGCTCCCGCAGCATCTGCGTTGGGAAAACACACGGCACGGGGGTCAGAGCTGCAAACCACGCCTGTGCAGCTACACAGAACCCCACCATGGTCTACACACAGACACCTTCGCCTGCAAAGAGAAACTTCGGGGGAAGAGCAGCGAGAAATGGAATCAATTTAAATTATAAAAAAAAGAAGAGGAAAAGAAGACTGGAACGAGGACAAAAACAAGGAGTAAAATGAAAAGGAACCAGAAGGAAAAACAAGACAAAAAGAACTGGAGGCACATTGAAGCACCAGGCATTCTTTTGTGTTGAAGTCAGAGCCCAGCTAATTGCAAAAGTATATGCTACCTGTTGGCAAGATTACAAATACAATGTTGTTGTTTTTTTAAACTGCATCTTTATCTTGAAACACTTCTGAATCATTGACATATTCTATGTAGAGTTCATCAATACAAAGTTTAAAATTACCACATTTGATATGCAATGCAGTCAGCACTGCACTTCCCAGAGGAAATTGTAGCAGCTGTTAAGAAGTCAGAAGCTTTTGGTTTTTTCCTGTTATTTTGTTTTGGGAGGTTTTTGCTGCCTTTTTGACACATCTTAGGCTTGCCAGCATGATAAAATTTTCATCTATTCTAATAAGAAATTTATAGTTTAGTAATTCCAGTTTATTTTATGGCAGAAATGTCAACCATAGCTTTGAGGTATAAAAAAAAAATCTGTATTATTAAAAAAAAATTATCTATAACATAAACCAGTCATGAATGCCAGCAACCTTCATCTGTGTGTTAGGCAGAAAGTTCAGCTAAGAAGAGTCTACCACTTGTTTTTGGATCCTTCCCCCACTAATTCAATCAGAGACCCGCAGGTCTGGAACACCTGAATGCAAGCAGATCACAGCTATGCTTGGAGAGACTGCCCAAATCCACAAGGTTTCCAGAACACAGCTTTAGGGTTCACTTAATAAAGCTTCTGCAAATAAAACAGTTTATTCTAAAGAATAATATTTAGGATTTCATGTTAATCTCATAATTGGTAGTTTAAATATCATAGGCAATTCACATTCTTACACTGATTTACCACAAAGCTGGTAAGACAAACTAGTCAGGTAACAATAATTTTATTTTCTTTTAGACTGCTTAGAAAACAAGCTGAAATGTGCTAGAAGCGTTACAGTCCCGGATCAATGAATTTAAAATTCACTGGCAAAGTGGCAAGACTATAATATATACAAACTTTCTCCCTTAGCATTTATTTCTGAATTAGAAATGTGGCTGAAAATACCAGCACACTGTTACTCAGCACACCAAGGTAAGGAAGCAGCTTTCTGAAAAGCACACCAAGGTCAAAAGCCAAAGTCCTTCCGACTGCACACCATGTAGTTAGCGTGCCTGCCTCCTGCCTCCTCCTCACACATTTTCTGGAACACTCCTTCAGGTTCCCAGCAGGTGCCTGAACACTGGAATACAACTAGCTTTCAACAACATTTTCACCTCGAGTTTGAAAGCAACAAGTCCTGTAAAATACCTCCATGGCGCAGGGATGGTCCTCATCTGCCAGTGAATTCTTGCACCCATGCAATCCAGTGAGGAAACAAGCCACTCCAAAGTAATGTGAGAGGATCAGGAAGTTACTTCATCTACCAGGGATATCCCAGGAAAGCTTATGTCAAAGCTGTGGAGGAACTGGACTCCTCGTCCAGCCGAGCAACACACTGCAAGGTCTCAGGCAGGAGCTTTCCCCAGGATGTGTGAAACAGATGATTCAACCACAGTAAGTTCCTTGTAGTGCCCACGTGACTCAACACATGCCCTCTGCCTACAATGACAGGTACCTTTCACAATCCTAGGGAGCAACACGTGCCCCACACCTGACTGCAGCCAGGGCTCAGCCCAGGTGTCCTGTCACAGGGCAGCCTTTCGGTTTCACTCCTCTGCAATCACCACAACAGCCGTGTTTACCTTCCCACGGCGCACACAGCTTCTGCTTCCCTCTCTAGCCCTCCTGTACCTCAGCTTGGGTAAAATGTCACCTCAGGAGGACGAGGCAAACACAGCACACCACGGGGGTACTTGTCACACTGTCAAGTTTTACTGTGGTGAACAATTCACAGCTCGAGGGGGTTCCTCCTGACAGGCAGGTCTGACCACCCCTTCCAGGGACTCTCCAGAAACCTGCCATCTCTATTAGCAGGGAATAACAGGTTTATTAAACTGTGCTACAAGACAGATGGGATGTGCATTACTCATGGGACTAACAAGGCACAGAGAAGTATCTCCCGTTTTCCTGAAGATTTTAGGCCACCTACTGCTGTGACCCACCTGTGACTTTGTCACATCTGTCAGACCACTGTTAAAAACACATCTTGTTTAACATCACAAATACAGTTTGAATAACAAGAATTCTAAGAATTCCAATAAAAAAGCAAGTAGATAGCCACACAAAAGAACAGCCAAGTCAAGCACAGGAGTCTTAGTATTAAGAAATTCTTATCAACATTTGGTTTTTATCCACCTTTTTGGTTAGTTTATGTTAGAATGCTACAAGTGACTGTGTAGCAACTTTAATAAAAATGAAAAATTTATAGAAACTTCAACTTTAAAAGAGAACAATATGGCACATAAGCATCAGATGACTTTTGGCTGCATGCCCTTAACATTTACATACTTGGGAAAATAACACAACTCCCTCAGTTGCTTTTTCAGTGAAATATTTGTTGACTTTTCAGCCTGGTTAACACAGTTCTTACAGAAAAAAGTGCTATGAAACATGTTAGCACTTTGCAGTTTGACTCATAATTCTGTTTCCAGCCCTGTAACCACTGAAAACCAAATACTAATTTCTCAACTGAGTAATTCATTATCAAGCATAATCTAGAAAATATCATCAATATCTTTAGGACAGGGTTATATCAATTTACCCCCACACCAAAACCAATATACATCTAAAAAACCAGAAACACTCCACCCATGGGTAACTTTCAATATCCAATTTTTGTAGGAATTTCTTTGCTAACATAATTCCATAAACCATTTCAGAATCACTGAAACTAGGGATGGGAGAGGAGCAGTAGCATCAAATGTATACTGATGTAACCAATTCTGATTTGGACTCATGGAGGCACACTGAAGCCCGGCATTTCCAATGTTTATTTTAAGTGCCTCGACATTCCATATAATAAGTAAAAAAATGAGAACTGCAGTAAATCACAGTTGGATTCTCCAGTGGCTGCACTGAAAGTCTAAGTACATCTGTATCAGATGACAAGGAGAACATGTCTAAAATGACAAGCTGATGGCAGTATTATATAGATCTAATTTCCAGGTGCTGTCCCTCAATCCATGCTCTGGTATTTTGTTAGTGCATCACACCTAACAGCTGGCACACAAAACATTTCCAGTTCCCAAGACGACACCACAGAGAAGCCTTGTCCTGAAAGTGCGTGGAAATAAATGTGGAGTGAAAAAGTACATTATGATTGCTTACCATCTGGTACTTGTTTCTGACCATGTAACCTCTTAGGAGGGCCTGAAGAGCAATAGTAGCATCTCGCATGCACTGGTATCTCTTGCGGACCACATACATGCGCTGGAACTTCTGAATGGTGATGGCAGCTCGTGTTCTCCGCAGGAACTTGGCATAGCTAAGGAAAAGATTACAAGCAATACCTGTAATTATGTGACTGAATGCTTGAATGTATTTTTTTTTAATATGTGTATCTGTAGTTTCTTCTTCATGTTGTCAGTGACACAGTATATCTACTTGCTATTCTGCTGTGTGGCAATACAACAGAATGACAAACAGAAACCTTGCAAAACTTTACAGGGAAATGTTTTCTCTTCCCCTAGGAACTCTATTATACAACTGACAAGGTAAACTCAGCTTAATTTCTCATCACCTCTTCTCCAACTTTAAAGCTGTTTCCACTATGTCATCTTCCAGATCTACTCTCCTAACCTCCACTAGCAGAAAATGTTTGCTTGTTCTTGGCTGTCGCAGTAAGACAACTACAAAGCATCTTGACATATGCCTCTTTCTGAAGGCTGGTTATTACAGCCTTCATCACCACCTTGTCTTTGAACAATACCACCTGTATTCCTGCCCTTCTCTCTGGCCCCTGGCCGTCCCTCAGAAGGCAATCCCAACAAACCACTGACTGATGAATGTCCCTTTACAGCTGCACCCTTGAAGAAGAATGGTTTCTCCAGCAGGACAGACCCAGCTGGGAGGGCACATGGAAACTGGGCAATAAGGACTCAGACAGTCCTGCTTTACCTCACCTGCAACATGTCTCCTTAGTACTACTTGTTTTCTGCATCACAGAGTCCAGGGTGCTACTGTCATCTCACAAAGGTCAAAACCAGGCAGGACAGACACTCATTATATTAAATTTCCTTCATGTCCCTGAAAAATCATTTCCTCTCAGGCAATACAGGAGGGCGAGAACAAATGTATCACATTTCAACACCCTACTTACAGGGCCCTGGACTGAGGCTGGTGTGGGATTTGCCCTGAGCAGTGCTTACCATCGTGCCTGGTACCCTCTGATATGTCTCTGGATGGTGATGGCAGCCTTCCTCATACGCATGTACTTCTTCCTCATCAGCCAGCCTCGGATTGTCTTTTGGATGCGGATACAGGCAGCTCTCAACTTATCTGCCCTTATTTTTTCTAGGTAGGCTACTTGACCAGCCCGGAAAAATATTTTTGTCTTACCAAACTGGTACTTATCCTTGTCCTATTTTCAAAGGTAAAAAGAGGGTAAGTTACAGCATTAAGTGTTAATGCATTAAAAAAGGCATGAAGGGCTAAATGAAAGTACAATTAGTAAAGAGGCAAAATTATCCGTGTAATATTTTGGGTAATCTGAGACTTAAATTAAGTAGTGGAGAAGGGTATTTTGTCTGTATGATTCTGTTAAAAAATGTATATAATAAGGCCACAAGCATGGCCCAAAGGAGCAATGTGAGATTTTTGCTTAGATGAGAATGCCACAAAGATAATAACATGGAAGGCTACAGGAGGTGACAAAGGGGCCCAGAGGATGAAAGCAATACAGGCAGTGCACATGTACAATTTTCTGCTTAAATTGTAGCTGACCCCTCTGAACAGTCCATCTTCAAGCACATTACACAGTGCAAACAAAGCAGCTGGGGCTTCAGACATGTACACATCACTTATTGTATCAGGACTAGGGCAGAACAAAGCATACTGCTGCTGCTCAAACACATCTGAAATTTCAGAACTAAACCAGAAAGAGAATGATACGTTATGTCTACAGGCACTTCTTTGAGGGAAAAACTGACAATATACAAAGGCACACTGAAAAAAGAATTAATTTTGTTGGCTGTTTGATTCTTAGTTGAAAGGAACAGCAGTCAAAGAGCTACAGGATACATTTGTGGTTTAGTATTTCGCAGAAGTACTAAAATAGTGTGGCTATGAGGGAGTAAGTGACACTCTTTATTCCTGTGGACCCCAAATGCTCTCAGCACTAAGTCCAGTACCTGAATCAGCTTCTCCAGGACATTTTTACACGTCTGCTTTCGGTCACCAAGGACATCTCTCTGCTTCATCAGAACCCGGTAACGGCTGAAGAACTCTTGGTACGTCCACCTGTCCCAGAAGCAGAGTGTCAGTCCCAACAATGAACTTCACCTTAAAAAGAACTGCAGCTGGAAGCAATCCAAAGAGAGCAAACACACCTGGAGGGGAAGCCAGCAGCACTGATTCGGATGGTCTCCAGGACACCACAAGCTCTCAGCTGCTGCACTGCCCGCTTTTCATCAAACCTAGGTAGGAACATAAAGTGGCTGTGGGAGTAGGTCTGCATTACCTGGAGGTCCTGGTTGTGTGCACACCCAGGAGAGAAGTGACACAGTGGGAGCAGGGTGGATGTGATGGGTGGTGGGCAAGGTGCTCCTGAAACTCAGGGGTAACAAAGGACAGCCTGGCTGGAGAACTCTCCGAGCCCATTGGCATTTCCTGCTGGCCAGCACAAGAGCTACAGGAGCCTTTGTGTGCCTGGGCTTTGAGAAAAACTCTAAGCAAGTTCACATATGTTAAAAAAAAAATGTAATGAAAAAGGCTTTGGAATCTGAAAAAGCAAATTCCAGCAAATGTCAAATGAGCTCAAGGAGTGTAAACTGCCAGTTACATTTAAAATTGCTAGCAATGAAAATGTTGGAAGTTTTTCCTCACATATCATCATAAACAAAAAAATGGCATCAGGATTCTCCCTCTGTTCATCCCCAAACATTTCCTGCTGTAATACACGTACACACACACACACACACACGGTGAATCCCTAACCAGAGAAAGGAGACACAGCACTTCACTCCTGAGTGAGCAAGGTTCAGCAGAGCCCTGATCCTCAGTGGCCTTGAGCAATCCCCTCCCAACAAGGGCTACCCAAAGCACACAGCAGCTGGCATCTTACGTGAACGGAAACTTGAAGTCATTTGGCTTAATACAGCGCACGTAGTGTGGAGTTGTAGCATTCAGGGTTTCCATCAGCAGATGAAGAGAGTTTCGAAACTTTTTGGAAAACAGAATGAAAAATAATGTCAGGGAATAGCCTCAATAAGCTCAGTCATCTTTGAGATAACCTCAGAAAGCAGACTTGGTTTACATACTTTTAATTTAATTATGGCAAAGATATGTGGTTATTTTGTGTTTGGCCCAATGATAACTGGAACCAAGTTTTATGGGGATTTATCGGGATTTTAAGATTGAACCCCACTTTGATTTGAATCAGAAAAAGTGGCACATGAGCCAAAACATCCAGTTTAAGATTTTCAAAACTCCTCAGCATCCATGTTAAATTTGTTTTGAGAAGCATCAGTTTGGGGTTTGGCACCATAATAAAAAATGGGCTGCCTCAAATGGTTCCCCACAGTGCATTAGTAATTAGGGACTACTTGAGCCAAACTGAAAGCTGCAATAAGCTGCACCACTCTCAAAATCACAAGGGATCCTCTGAGGCACCAGCACACCTTGAGACCTATGAGACAGGAGGTAAAGGGAGAGTTATTTAGTAGAGCTGCATTTTCAAACTCACCTGATGTCCCACAGTTTTCTTATGCTCCTTGCTGGCCTGACCCGGCCTGGCCTTGGCAGGTTTGATAGGCATTCGAGACAGAGGCACACGCCCTGAAGGGGTTGCTGATGTAGGACTGAGGACCTTCTCCTCATCCTGGAATAACTCTGGTAGTAGCTTAAACTGGTATAACAGCATAAAAAATACACAGAGGGTAAGAAATCAGCAAGTGATTGCACGTGTTGGCGTTTAAGGTAAAATTCTAGGCTCAGTTTTTGTAAGAACTGCATTTTTGTTGAACTTCACAGGGGACAAATGCAAAAAGCAGACAGGTGAAGTGGTATAGTGAATGGGCCATGATTCAATACCAAAACTTCTGTGGGTTTGACCAGTGAGTCTCCTCCTGAAGATAAAATTCTGATTTGAGTTTTTTTTCATATAGCAAACAACAGCTTCCATGTGAAACTGTTAGATACCCACAGCAGTTTCATAAGTACTGGCTGCAATTATAAATGGCTGCTTTGATCTAAGAAGGAAACAACAGGGTCCTCTCATATTCCAATGGTGCATCTCTCTCCTTTGTGGTTGAGAGGTATCTGGGACACTGAATAAAGCAGCAGGCAAGCAAAGATGATTCCTGCTTTAGCACTCCAAATTGAAATAATCAGATTAAAAGAGGAACCATCAACTGAAAAAAACCCCACTAGCCAAATTTATCTGACAGATACGCTCCCTGCCAGTGGGAGTGGAGAAAAAACCTGAAACGTTTTTCCAAAATACCACACAGGACTTCTGGTTCCCTTTCTCTAATGGCTACAAAATATACTAATACATAACAGCTGCTCTGAAGTAACTTGTAACTAAAAAAAACACCACCAGGTCTTTCTACTGAGAACCACAGTACTTCAGAACCATTCTAAGACAATCTGAACTCCTCTACTTGTCCATGAATTTTATATCTAGCATCTGTGCATTTTTTCCCAAGAGATAGGAGTATTCATTTTTCAGTACTAGAGACTGCTTGGGCCAAGTACAATCTAAAAAATTTAAAAATTGGTTTTCTCTTACGAAACTTGGTGAGCAGAAGTGATAACCAATGGAACATTCTGCACAACCAAATAGCACCTGGGCCCTGTAGTTATGCCAGATGAGCTGGGAGAAGGCATCAAATATTGCCCAGCAGCATTCAGCATAGCACTCCAGGCATAACAGAATGACTAAGGATGCTAAAAAGGTATCCTAAATTCTTGAACTTAAAAAGGAATATCACAGCTTGGCTTTATCTCACCTGAGTCTACCTTGGTAGCTGGTAGAAGAATGACATTTCCTGAGGGTGATTTACTCTTCTGACTCAGCACAGAGTTGAGGATGATTGGGCTACTACCTCCTTGTCAGCTGCCTGTGATGCACTGAGTTGGTGTGCACAGGCAGCTGAGCTACAAAGCCAGGTGTTTCCAGCCTGTACAGAAACTTACTTAAAAGTAATATGATTTTTCTAAAGCTCCTGATGCTCCCACACACCAGAGGCAGGGGTAGGAACAGGGTCCCCATTGTCTCGATTGCAGATGGATGAGTTCTTCTAAGCTGTCCATACCTAAGTCTCACTCCCTTTCTCCAGCCCTGGGAAAATCTGCCTGTAAAAATGGGCAAGTGCATATCAAAGGCACTGTTTTCATAGCCACTGGCCCAGTTACTCCAAGCAGAAGAAAGGAACAATGTCTGGCCTCTCCAGTACAGGTCAGCAATAAGTGGAGCAGTGCTGCAATGATCCACACTGTAGGACTGTTTGGTTTTGGGTTTTAGTATCTTATCCATTTTCTTTGTTTTGCAGAACACTAGGAGTGTTCAAAGAGAGGGAAAACACTGATCAAAGGGTCGATAATTCATGTGATAGTAAACAAGCAAGCAAGCACTTCTTTCCTGATATTTTTTCACACAACTTAACACACATGCTGCTAACGATCTCACAGATCATTTCTTTCAATACAGAGCTACAACAGAACATTTTAACAACCATGCCAACCAATCAAGTAGCAAGCATAAAAGCCCAGAATTGCTGTATTGCTTTCATGATACATGCATGGAAACTAAACTAGTTCACAGAGGTTCTGTGGGTGGATTTACAGAGAAGGCCAGAATAAATAGTTGAACTCTACAGTGCCTGCCAAGAGCAGTGTGTGCCATGCACTTTTGGAGAGCAAAGAAGCATCCAAGCTGTATGTGAGAGTGGGCATGGGCAGGATGACAGATGATGCATTCAATTTAGAATTACCTTCTGTTGGATGTGCACAGCAAACCCAGAAAACATCATCGCCAACAAAATAAAATAAAAATCAGAAATGCAGTTCTACTACAATTACTAACAAAGAGGCAGAAACGAAAACCAAAAATAAAACATTCTTTACACTGGTTTTGGAAAAATTTACCATAAGGTTGTTTTTTAGTGTTTAGACTGATCACTGAGCCTGGCCAAGCTGCTGCCAGGCTCTCACAGCAGCTCTGTCCCCACTGTCTGTCCCTCAGTCACTGACCTCCATCCCACGGAGCACCCTGTCCCTTTGTCCTGCAGAGTGGCTGGCTGGCCTCTGCCAGCTCCCCAGAGATGCCACCTGCCTCCCCCTCCACCCCCAGAAACCTGCTTCACTTAAACCACTTCAACACTTCCCCCAGCGGAAAGTCTGCTGTGGTGTTTCATTATACCACATGTTTTAATCACTTAGCTTCATATTATCTGCTCAGAATAGAAACAGAAGAGAAAAACGTTGGTTTTCCTGATAGAATAACATCATTTTAAATAGCCTGTCCTTGATACCCAGCTTCCTGGGCCATTAGAGCTAGCAAATTCCCAACAGCCACCAATGTGCAATGTCAAGTTAATTGCCTTCACATTTCTGAGAGCACAACCAGCATTTCTGTCATTACAAAACACAGACGATGCCACTGAAAGCCTACTCTATAATATTCCTTCATGCGGTATTTTTCAATTCAGATGTTATCTTTCTTTCATAGATATCAAGGAGACAAGACTGTAAATTATGGTTTGTGTCCCTAGGGTCAATATACTTTATTCCTCTCTCATTTTGCTTCTGGAGCCAAACTTGTCTCTCCTTCAGACATTTTCTGCTCAGTTGCCACGCCATAAACAAGGAGCTTCTGTTTCCAAGTTATAAAATTAAGGGCTTAACTGTTAAGCCTTCTTATACCTCTACAGTATATCAGAAGTCAGTGACATCTCTACAGAAAATATAGCAAATTTTTGTGAAAAAGAAACCCCCCCTCCCCAAATCGCCTTTCCCCCACTCAAAAACCCAAACCAAAAAAAGAGACCCCAAAATGACAACAACGACCCATGAACAGTGAAATTAGTGGCTAAATAGACTGATCTTACATGGAAAAAAGTTAGGATAGAGGACCTTCTAAATTCATGCAGATAACCAAGTAAAACATAAACTGTGTTCAATTTCATTTGATCTGATACTAAGGGAGAAATATTTTCTAGGTTTATTTGACATTTTCTATGATCCTGAGGATCACCGGATTCAAGGGCTCATAACTGCAAAAGAAGAAGAAGAAGAAAAAAATCCTTATACTAACCTTACTTGATTTTAGGACCTTAATTTGCTCTTCATAAACTGTGTCTTTATTCTTTTCCAAAAAGCCTTCACATTGATATTCCACCTGAAAGCCATCATTTTACAGGAGAAAGCATTACAAGTATTAAATAAGAATAATTTGCATGGAATTCACCAGCTAAAGCATTCACATTTAAAACATAATTCTTTTACTGAAGATACGAGCTCGCAAGTGCATCTTTGTTAAATATAGATTTTCCTCAAAGAGGGTGCTTTCCAGTAAAACATAGAACATTAAAACAGAGAGAGGAATACTGCTATTGCATTATACCAGACATATTTCACTGCTGGGAGATGCTCGTGGTAAGGCACCATGACTGAATGGTTACCGTAAGGGTGAAGAATCCAAGTGTGTGCTGAGCATCTCCCCCACTGAACTCATCAGGGCTGCAGAGCTGTCTGAAATCCAGATGCAACTGAGGACAAAGTATCTCTCACCTCATTAGCTGAGAGGCAGTAAGTACATCTGCCTGCAGATTATTGTGGAAATGGCTCATTTGTGCTCCAAAGGACTAATTTTACCAGAAGCAATAAAACGTCTGAATGTTGTGACAATATGTAAGAACCCTCTGTCACAGGGATACAGTGTCTCCTGGACCAAAGAACAGCCAGTGTCAGATAAAAACCTACCATTTATTTCACTGTCCTAGTTCAAGGCTGAAAGAAAACCAAAATTACTGTCAAAAGTCCACTTATCAGTGCTCGCACAATGACACTATACCCTGAGCTGCAAAATATTTCAAGGAATTCCTAGAGGAAAGAGGACAGAGGATGTCCCCAGGGTTTCTGCGCAGCTGGAAGCCCACTCTGAGCACTGCCTGGGGCACCATCCACGTTCTTACTGCAGGAGGCCACGCCAGGAGAGGGCAGCAGCATCCCTGCCTTGTCCAGGAGGACAGCATCAGCACAGACCGCTGACCCGACAGCTGGGCCTTTATTCCTCCTCCCAGATGTCTGTTCAGGTCAGCACACAGAAAACATAAAATGCTTAGCACAGACAGCACAGCAGAGCTCAGAGCTTTGCTAGTACCTGCTTGGAGCTACTTTCTGCCTTCCTTGGCCCTTGCTGCTCACAGACTAGACATAGGAAAGCCCTGCTTTCAATATCAAAGTTTAACCTAATGAACAGATTATGAAATATTAATTAAATCCTTCTTGTTCTCTCATCCACAAAATAGAGCAGAACTCGTGAATCTAAACAGCTACAGAGCAGTTCTTGCTGCTTTCATTAAGGTAACACTAGATGCAAAAAGAATAGGACCCTTCTACACAAAAATTCAGGAGCCTGGGAGAAACCTAGCAGAGACAGATAAAGGCCTCCCATGTCAGCATGTGCATACCTACTGGTAACAATCACAGCTTCTTGAAACCTTTTTTGACAAAGCTGACAATATTCTGAGGCAGCTTTTCTGATTAACAGGACAACTGTATTAAATGGGATTATTATTATTATTATTTTTTGTTTTAACCTGAGGAGTGACTCAGTTTGACGCGAACTGGGAGCTGAACATGACATGAACCCCACTGAGACACCCCTCAGCCAGCTTCCTAGAAATAGCTGTTCCCTGAGCAGCTGAGGCGAGGGTGGGAGCAGCACACACTGCTCCAGCAATAGAAAAGGGTGTGTTAGCCTCTCTCCTCCTTGCACACTGAGACGGCAGCAAAAACGGCTTTAATTCGTCGCTGCTCTTTAGCTAAAAGGAGGGGGGTACAGGATTTCCTTTTTTGTACAATTCTGTTGCATAACTGGAATTGACACAGTAATGCTGAGAGCTGCAAATGCACTAAGCTTCCATGTTTGGAAAAAGGATGGTCAGTGGTTACAGCATGTGGTGGAGTCAGGAGCTCATTTGTGTCTCTGGCTCTGCACAGCTGCCAGTTCACCTCCTCCTCCTGATCACATGTTGAGGCAGGCATGCTTTTGTAAGAGCCAAGTAGAGCCAGGGATGCCACTGCCCAGCTCTCCTGTAGCAGCCCCAGGATCCCCTCCCACACCCCAGCAGGAAAGCTGTGCCACAGGAAAAGTCCTTACCTTGTCAGCAAAGTGCTTGATGATAAAGGCCTTGTTTGACATACGTGGTTTTTCAAAGAGAGCACATTTATTCAAATGAGTATTGTACAGTTTTTGGGCCCAAGAGTCATCTGAGCCTTTTGGCATCTATAGAAAAGAATACAGAACACATTTAAAATGTCTTGAGAACTTTTCAGTAACAAAAGCATCTAAGAAAATGGGGGACAAGACTTGATGATTTGCTTTCACATTCCAGGTCCTCAGATTCCCAGCACTGCCAGAAGCAAGGACATGGTAACCAGCTGTGTGCATGCCAGTTCCACACTGGGTACTAGGCACTGGCAGCAGGCACAGCTGCTGGGACCCATCTGACACCAACAATGCCTCCAGTGGCACACACCTGAAGGCAGAGATCCCAAAGGCACGTTACCAGAACTCATCCACCTCCATCAGAGATTTCTTGTGATGCTTTGTGATAAATAAAAACCCCAAGCTGGGTTTCCACTGAAGCAGACATTCTGAACCATCCCCTGTATATGGCTTGGCATAAAATAAACCAAGATAAAAGACAAAGGGTGAAACACCAAGCAAGAGGCAATTTGGGGAAATCTGACGGGACCGAGGACTGCACTTATCCTCAGGGAAGAGAAAACTGTCAAAGTCCAAACAAAGTTGATCAGAGACCCAGGAACAGCTACAGATACATGAAGGAAAGGAAGAGGAGGAGTTCATTACTAAAACCATTTTTTCTCCTCCTGTAATTGCTGATTCTGTTTGTATGCTTTCCAAACTCTTGCACCAGCAGAGTGTCAAAATGACAACTGTCTGCAGATGACTTTTCCCTGTGAGGCCCAGAAACAGGACAGCTGATAACCTCTTTCTCTGTGAAAGTCCTTGAACACACACCTTGCACTCCTCATCCAACAGATCCAGAACTCCCATTTTGGCCTCTATGAGGTTGATACAAGGCTGATTGTCGTAGAAATCAATCAAGGTCCACGGTATTTGTTCCTTCATATATTCTTCTTGTTCCAGCTTAAAGACATGCTGCAGGGCAAAAGGAAAACAGTTTTCTGTGAAATGAAATGCAGAATAAATACACTGAACTCTCAAATGAATTCATCTTGGCACATTAATCCAGGCTGTCAAGTGATACACTAGGTTCAACTGAATAAACTCTTTAACAAGTGTATGAAAAATAAATTAACCTTTTTTCCTGGCCTAAAAACAACAGCCTAAATTAAAGCACTCCATATTCTCCGCAAATATCCTTTTTATTATATTATCCAACAATTACTGTAAGCTCTTTTCTCTTATAAAAAAACAACACAAAACCCAGAAAAACCTTCAAGTGCAGGAACAGCAACCTATAAAGTAGGATGTGCCATGCTTTTATGATTTGGAAATTATGAACACTGCTCTATTTCAAGCCAAGTTTCACTATAAATACCTTTGTGTTTCCTTGTAAAAGAACAGAGCTCTATTTCCTCTTAAATGGCTGCTGATTTTTTTTCTAACATGACGCACTGCATTAAAATTTACTCTTCAGCAGAAGCTGAAAGAACATTAGCACTAGAAATCCTTTAAGGAAAATTCTGTGACAGATTTATCTGGTATGAAGATCAGTTGCATATTTATTCAAAAATATTATCACAAACAACCTGCACAACTTTAATGAAACGTGTGTAAGAGATATATTAAAACTTAAGGAAGAAACAGAATAAGGTATTAAACAGGCAAACTGTGGTCTTAATAGAACAAGCACCTTGAAAAACCCAAAAGACTGCTGACTCCAGTTATTTTTGATGATGTTTCATCCCCCACTTACATTTTTCTGCACACTTACTGCTGCTGTGGCAGGTGGATGCGTGCTGGGAGTGTCCCACCACCAGCACAGCAGGGTCTGGGGGTGCCCCAACGCCTGAACTGGGGTGCCAGCCCCAGCTGCCTCAAGCTCAGTGCACAGCCCAGACATCTCACACATCTACCAGGCCACAGAAAACTACCCTGACAAAGCTGTTTATCCCTTTATTTCATTAGCTTAATGCCATCCTCCCCAGAGCCGCGCCCGTGGGAGCCATTCCCACCCTGCACCTGGCAGGAAAACCCTGGCAGCGTTCTACTGGCGAGTCATATCCAACACAAGATCTGAAAGAAAACAGAAACCCGTTTTTTCACTGTGAAGGAACCAGCCATAAGGAGGTGAAAAATGCCTTCAGACCTGATTTTCCCTGTGGGTGGTGGGCACCAGGCAGGGCAGGGTGGTCGGGCAGTTCCCAAGCAGCCTCTCCTCAGCCAGGCTCAGGCCGCTCCAGGCAGCACACGAAGGTTTGCTGGCTGCCACCAACCACAAGGCTTCAATTCAAAGCAACCTCCACCCCGTGTGCCTCCATGGCAGCCCAACAGGTCTGTGTTCACCAGCACGGGGTTTGGCAGCTTGGCAGGACACCAACACAAGAGCCCTGTCACCCCCTCCTTCATGAGGCAGGTGCTTACAGCAATGGCACGAGAGGGAAGGCAACGGGGACACAGTTATCTTTACTGAAGAACAGAACCATTACAGCTCTTACAGGAACTAGATTTTACTGTACAGCTGGGAAAACTCCAAGATGCCCTGTGCCTGGCAGTTACAACATCCCACTCACGGAGCTGAAGCCAGCCATGGCCCTACCCACACGGAACGGGCACACCAGGGCTGGAAAGCCCAGCCTCTGCTCCAGCACCCTGCTTACTCCCTGGCACAGCGGGATGAACCCTGGCACAGGGGAAGCGGTCCTGTGAGCACACGCTGCCACACAGGCAGGATCACGGGAGTCCAGAGCGATCCCGGTGCTGCAGCAGAGCCTAGCAACAGACCTGGCAGAAATAACTCGCCTCGTCATTATGCAGGTAAGATATGTAATTGCAAACGTCACCAAGGCTGAGGAGAGAATTGTGATCTCTCCGGAGGAGGGAGAAGAGCCGCCTTCTGCCACACGTCATTCATCAACTTCAGGATGCAGCTGAAAAGCCTCAAAAAATAACAGCGGGGAGGAAGTGCGGGTGGCAAACCTCCAGCAGCGGAGCCGTGCTCTCCTCTGCCCATCCAGGGGCTCTCCGAGGTTACAGAGACACTGCTAACTCCAACTTCTTCCACACAGGGCTCTCAGTGACAGGCAATCTCAGCCTCTTAATTGCCAAGCACTGCTTCTGCCTTATAATTGTTACTTGATCAGAATTTCAAATAGTCCCAGAGCAGCAGTTAGTCATAAAATCTATTTCTAGGAGATAGTCGATCTTTCCCCATCCCTCAAAGCCCACGGCCAGGACAGCTGCTTAATAGACTGATGGAATTCATCCTAACCACTGGGGACCCAATTAGCAGAATGAACTTGGATGAGGGGAAAGGGAAAAGGAAATGCCAGTCATTTCCTACTTACCATATTGAACTGCTGCTGCAGTTTTTCATTGGCATAGTTGATACAGAACTGTTCAAAGCTGTTGATTTCGAATGTTTCAAATCTAAAATATGCATATACTCAAAATTACTAGTGTATTGAAAAAAAAAGTTACCCCATAATTTTAAATTCCCTCCCTCCAGTTAAATTAATTTAATTATTTCAGGCACAAATAACACAGGTTAAGCAAGAAAACACAAGGGAAATGGCAAGTTGCACTATGTAGGCAGTTTAGTGATGTTCCCTCTCTAGGCAGGGATGAGGAACTCAGGGAACGGACTGATGTTCCTGGAGAGCACATCAGTTATCTCTGTCCTCTCTGTAAGTGCCACCTTGAAGGAACATGACATGAAAATAGTCTTGTAACTTTCCAAAAGGCAACAGATAAATGAACTATCAACAGCAAAAATCTGAATTCCCACTATAAATGTCAAAGTCATGACAAAGATCTTAGTGTGTCAAAACTGAACACCTACTTCCTTCAGCTGGAATAAGCAGCTGCTAAGGTTTGGGGTTCCTTTGTGTAACCCATGCAGTGCCAGATGATAAAGACAACGATGCTATGCAGCCAGATAATTACGTAAATGTCACATCTCTGACAAAAACTCACCCATAGATGTCCAATACCCCGATGAAAGAATGCTGTTTTACAGTAGCGTGAAGGGCTTTGTTCACATGATCTACAATCCAGTTAAAGAGATTAGCATAGATATGTTTGGCAAGTGCATCTCTGGCATTGATGGCATGAAGTTTGGAAATTGGCTTGATGTAGGTTTCAGTGGCAGTGGCGAGCTTCCTATGGCAAAGCCAGTGGGCCATCTCCTCATACTCCACACCCATGAGGTCACAGAAGATGGTGAGGGGCTCATGCTTGGGCTAATAAAAACAGGCTCATTAGATATTGAAACAGTATTAGTGATAGCAAACATACAATCATGCAAACAGAACTGCCTGCCTGCAGTGATCCTACAATAAGCAGCAACAGCAGCTTCCTCAGCTCTTCCTCCTTCAAAACCTAGCAAGTTCCCTACCCACTCAGCACATTCACATTGCTGAAGTGAGTTAGTGAACAAGCTTCCTCAAAGACATTTGTTTTACTATACCCATGTTCACTAAAATGCTTCACACAGGGAACCTGCAACCTTCCAAAAAATGAATCATCTGGCTTCACTGGGATGGACTTGGTATTTTGAATTCTTACAACTGTGTCAGGCCAAACGAATGGCAGCTCCTGAGTGAGGCTCTTGACTGCTCATGTACAGCCATGGCAGGGAGTGATGGGCAATGAGGCCCAAGCCAAGAACACGTGGGGTCTGGTCTCAGTACTTGAAGTATTTTCTCAGTGAATTCTAGAGACAAACATTAAGAGATTGCAGCACATTAATGATGTTCTCTAGCTCTCAAATTCAACTGTACAAGAGAAAAAACTGATCTTTGTTTAACTGGGTAAAATCAACCAGCAAGGCTTGTATATTGAGATGGGGATATAAGATTTCTGCATAAAGATCGGTGCAGTGCATTTACCACTCAGTAAGATATTACACTTTGTGACTAACATGCAAACTGATCACTAGAAATCAAGGAGGACAGACAGGTCTTTCTTTCTCAGGAGCTCCCCTAACACTACTTCCTCATCATGCTCCCATTGCACCTGGTGGCTCAGCAGCACACTGACAAGCACTGTCTTGACAAGAACAGATGGCAGAGGACTGCTACCACATGTCCTACAGCTTCAGGGTATATCAGCTTTAAATATTTCCACATCCTTGTGACTTCTCTGGGGCTTTTTCTAGTTCTTTCAGCATACAGGCCCCATGCAGCTACACCTCCAAAATCCAATTAACTGAGCATGTTTTGCTGGCTTGGAAGACAATAATAAAGTAATAATAATTATGAACCCTGCACAAAAGAGTGTCACATTAGGGTTGCTCAAGCTGACATCAAATAAACTGATTCACTGCCACAGCAGCATAGGGAACCCTTTGCTGAGCAGCCTGCAGCACCAGTGTTCCATCAGAGCAGTGCCTCCCAGCAGAGCAGTCTGCATGGCACAGAGCTCTGTGGTGACATGGCTACTGCCAGAGAACAGCACAGGTAATGATGTCCCTGAGCAGACATTCACCAGGCATTGTCAGGCCAGGACAGGGTTGCACAGGAACCTGCAGCTTTTTCCCAGCTCAGCCAGTGGGACTCCTGCACTGGAGATTCTCATCACAACACAGGCAAGCTCCTCATGTCCTGGGGCTCATCAGCTTTCTACCTGTTACCATTAAATGAGCTTTCTTTATAGTGAAAGCCTTTATAAGACACCAAGGAGCCAGACTATTGCTGTTTCAAAGCAGCTATCAGACCCCATGGGCAGGTGGTGTCAGGGCAGGAACACCAATCCCCTCTGGCCCCATGAAGTGGGGAGCCCCATGTGCCCTGCTGTCTCAGCTCCAGAAACTGCCACTGCAGATTCTTGAGAAAGGGACTGACAGTGACAAAAGAAAAAAACACTGAAGGTGTTGCTACTCTTGCAAGAGAGAGAAAGATGAAGGCTTTGCAGGCCAGCAGCAGATATTCAAAGGGAGGAAGAAGGAGAAACTGGTCACTCTGAATCCATAGAAGAGACCAGCCAGAACTGTTTTGTTTCTCATCTCCAAAATATGGGTAAGAAGCCTGGGCCCTCACCAATGAGGAGGTGATCAGGCTATGCAGTCCTTGTTGCTGACCTCCAAGGCAAAAGAGAACTGATAAAACCATGACACTTAGATGAGTCACACAAATCATATCTGTATATCCTATGCTCATGGCTAGACATCCCAGAAGACTTTGAAAAGCATTTATTTTGCAATTATTTAGGGCATTCTGGCATTTCTTATAAAAAAAAAACCATCTGGCAAAGCATTTTCTGTGTGCAGGGAAGATATTCATGTAGGAATATAAAGATCTAGACACTTGCTCAGGACTTCAAAGCCAGCCTGCCTACTAGACTTTTCTAGGACAGATCAATTACAGCTATTATTGTATACCAATGTTATACTACAGAGAGTACTGTCTAAAGCCTCTAAACTGTGAAGAGTTGAATCTATCAGCAAAAATCTGTGAAAACATTAGCAAATTAGAAATAAACCCATTTCCATTTTACTCTTTTTCAGAAGAGGTCCCTGCAAACAAGCAGAAGGCAGACCTGTCAGAGTGCAAACCATGTCCTTCAGCTCATCTGCTACTCACAGGAACAGTGCAGCTGTCAGAATCCCGAGATGCAAACTCCACGTTGCCCAAGTGAAGGATGCCAGCAAGGATTCTAAAAATTCCCATCTGGTACGAATCACTAATCCCTGCAAAAGGATGAATAAAATGTTTTGAATGGAGAGAGCTGCAGTTGACAAAAAAAATATTAAGGAGAGAAAAACAGTGACTGCCATGTGTGACTTTGACATTTGACAGTACTAATTGCCTCACTTCTATCAAAACCGTTTTACAACCAGATGAAAAAAAAATCCATTAAAATGAATCATTTAATTTGCTGTTTCAAAGTGCTTTGTCAGTGACCTCCAGCACTGTATATGTTACACCAAGGGAATCCACCATTTATGTTCACACAATGTACACTCCTCTTAGATTTGTAATTCTACTACAATTTAAATACCTTCTTCATGCAATACCAGTATCTCGGTCCCAAAGTTCACCAAATTCTCCTGGTTTTAAATACAACAGAGTATGAAAAAAACATACACAAATAATATAGAAAACACTTACTGGTGTATTAGATTTAGGATATAACTGTGATTTAGCAATTACCTAGCAAAGTGCAGGCCTGCCTGGTGTTCGCCATTTCCTTGGCATCATCCACACCATCAATCACAGGGCTTCCACCTTGCTTCGTATAGTGAAAGTAATTTGCATTCCCTGTAATAATAAAAAATATATATATTTTACACACATTGATGCAGAAATTCACAGCACATCTGTAAAGCTGTGTCATGATTAAGCTGCTCTTGGCAGAATCCATGATCTGACATGTATATTTTCTCCTTCTGGCTCATAAGACACACTTATTCTAAAGAGCATTTTTTTTCAAGATTTAACTGTGCAAGTAAGTATTCTTTAATCTACCTGATTCCCACAGGAGGTCCTCAAGCATATTCTCTATTTTTGGTTGAGACTTCCACAATTGTGGAATAATCACTTAGGAAGCAGTTACTCTCCAATCCCAAGCCAACCACCTACGCAGTAGCTGCAGATTTGAGAGCAGCAGCACTTTGGAATTATGTGACAGATATTACTATGCTATTACTACACCAGGATATTATATTTTTCCCATTTTCTTCTCTTTTCTAATCTATGGTCTGTTTCAGCCTTATGAGTCTCTGTCATCCACTCAGGCTGAGAAGTCGAGGTTGGAGAAGAGATAGCTTCACACTGCTCTGGGCACAGCACTGGGCTCCACTGGGAGACCAGCAGCTCTCCCGTGCAAATTCCTATGGTTTCACTGGCCATGCTTCCAGCTGCACTAACAGACTCCTTTTCTTCTGCTCAGCTAAGGTTCCAAGAATGCTGAAAGAGAAGTCTGCTAAATGGCTTCTTCAGTTATAATTACATCAGTTCCTTTCTTTCCTGTGTTAGCAGATGTGAATCCTAAATGTGCCAGGGTGGTGCAGATGAGCAGAGAAACACTCTAAAACCAGAACAGTATTTCAGAATCCAGCACAGGCTGTGCACTTTTCCTACTGTGAAACCAACTTTTAAAAATATACAGGAAGCACTGCAATTTATAATGAATTTTTTAAATGATGACATGGTTGTCTACCTGAGGTCATCATCATGCTTTTCTTTTACAAAGCACCAACTCCTGTCAAACGAGAAACCTTTCCTCTATCAATATTTGAATTTGATAAAAGAAAAAATTCCTCATCTGCTTTTTAATCACCAGGTTAGCAGAAACTGTAAAGTAATTGTTGCTAACAGCCCAAGTAAAAGTATGCAGATGCAAAATAAGCTTTTCAGGTGCTTATACCAGGAAGGGTAAAATTCTCTAGTGGCTGGAACAATGGAGAAAAGGTTTTAAAGAACTTAGAGAAAATAATTTCACCCTCCAGGACACAGTAAGTCCTATTGATTACAACTACAGTGTATTAGAGTCTGCTGAATAAACAAATCTGTTACTTTTGTTTTATCAGAAAACCACAAAATCCAAGGTCTATCATTTTAGTTATTTCAATACATTTTAGTACTTGAAGGTTTAAAAGTTTAGAATTTAAATGCCAGCAATTCTTCATTTGTGTCTTTGGCTCAAAAAGCTCAGAGATGCTGCTCTGTCTCTACAATCACACAACACCACAAATGTGAATGTCATACCTAATCGCAGAGTTTTAAACTCAGGCAGTGCTGCAGAGGCACAAAGCTGGTAAAAGATGTGGTAATTTCTCTCTTCTTCTGCCTTTAAAAAAAAAGGAATTTGTTATTTTTCACCACTTAACAAGTGGCAGAAACAACCACGAGCAGAAAGGAATTGCAATGTATAATGCTTTCTCTAGCAATACATTAAGAGCACAGAAGCCACATGGAAAAAAGGAAGATAAATCAGCATCTATCTCTTCCTTCTTGGTTAATTTAATCAATTTTCAACAGCAGGAAGCATGCAGACATTTTCATTTAAAAAAAAAAGAAAGTATGATTTCACTTTTCAGAACTGTAGATTACTATTAGTTATAGATCAGGATTCTGTAGGTGAGTGAAATGATCATATTCAGAAGTTTTTCATTTTCCAAAAATAACTAACACTATTTGCCTCAGCATTTACAGTAAGCTGGTAAAGGGAGTATATTCCTTGCCAAGGCAAAGCTTGAATTTTAAAATGAAGGACAAACACAGCTCAGAAGGTGATGACTCATGACCAACACCATAATTCTGAACTTAAGCACTCTAAATTCCATACCTTCAAACCCAAAAGAAATGAAAAATACTCTATTCCAGCTAAACCATGTGCTATAACTGTCTCTTACTTTTAAAATATACAACAGCTCTTCATATAACATCCCCACACGGTACAAACCATAATTATTATTTTTGTATCCTTAGGCAGCCAGTCAAGGACAAGTCCATTTTTACTGAGCTCCAGACTAAAAGGTAGGTAAAGATGGTGAGGACATGTGGGACAGTGGATTGGTTGAAGTATGACATAACAGAATGAAGAGATTACACCCATATTACCTGAAACACCACTCTTGATTTTTCCAAGAGGTAAGTTCTCATGTTAGCACCAATGATTCGATACCTCTTATCGAAACCAATTTCAATGTATTTCCCAAAGCGACTGCTGTTGTCGTTCCTGGTAGTTTTGGCATTTCCAATAGACTGAAAAAAGGGAATATTGTAAAGGTTAAACAGCTTGTAGAAATTATCACATCTATTTAATCATCTACACAGCTCATAAACACTTAACAACATTAATCGTGTCCTGGTTTAAAAATAATTTAAAATTTAATGAATAATGTTCTCTGCCTGGTCAACAAGTTACAACAAAATTTCATTAACGTAAGACTGGGAGCTGATATTCCTAGCAATTTTTCACTTCCACATAGTCTAATTTCATGGGAGAAATCCTTTATTGTTCACTGAAGTCTTTCAAAAGGAAATAAAGAGTCCAACAGAAAGCTCACACACAGATTTCTTTCAATGACTTAGTAAAACTGTAAGAATTATTTTACCTGGATATATTTATATGTGTAGGTGTAAACATACATCTATAGCACTTGCAACTTTTGAAAGTCTACCTATTATAAACCCACAGCCCACTCTGTTCTGCCTGGAGAACAGTTTATCATTACTATTACTCTGTAATCACCACATTTCCAAACTTATTTCTGCAAACATGAAATTTAGAAATATTTACCGTGTGCCTAAGCAGAATCTAAAAATTAACGTGCACAGACTTGTGTCATCAACCTGAAACCGAGTCCCTTCCACAGCAGCTTGGTTATTGACCCAGAGAGAGCCCCTGGTGCTGCCCTGCATCGTGCTGAACTTTCTCAGATTAATTCAGTACAGCTTCACACACAACAAACAGTAAGTCATGACTTCCTCGATGGTACATATCCTGGGATGCCCAGGGCAAATAATGCCTGTGGATCCTCCATGGTGCAATTCTGCCTTACCTCATCAGCTTTAGGGTTCACCCCACAACAGGTACCAGCTGAATACAGCAGCATTCAAGGCACGCAAATCCCAACACACTGAACTTCAAAGAAAAGTATTTTCTCTTCTCAATCAGACCATGTTTTAGTCATCTTACAGCAATTCACCTTCTAAAAAAGTCCTAAAGGTATCTTTGTATCAAGAGGAATGGCATTTGGAAGAGCTGAGATGCAGCCTCTCATCACACGTCACTGTGTGTGTGTGTGTGTGTGTGTGTGTGTGTGTGTGTGTTACTAAGCCCTAAGTGCACCACTGGGAAAGTGTCCAACTTTCCCAGTCCACACAGCCATCCACTGGAACTCTGAGAAAGTTGAGAAAAACAAATGAGAGCAAGCAGCACTGCTGAGTATCCAAAATCTGCAAGCAGAAGGCCAGGGAATGGGTCAGTGCCAGCTGGCACAGCCTGAAAAGTGGGATTAGACTGTCAGAAACCCCATGAGAGCAGCAGCAGCAGCACGCACACCCAACAGAGCAGATGTCAAACTGGGCATCACATGGACAGCTGCTGGAAAGGATCTAGGAACAAACTGCATCTCTGCAGTTCTAAGAAATACCAAAATCATTCAAACTGAATGTGCTCTAATTGTACTCTTGTGGTTTTTTGAAAGAAGAAGATTATTGCTACTGTGATATACTTTGTTTTTGGTGGTAGCAACATAATACTACAATATTTCAGAAAGCAATTATTCCTTTGAAAGGTATTAGTGATACGAAAAAAACAGAAAGTCTTTAGGATTATCAGATTGCTTGCCTGAATACAAAGCTGTACTATTTACATAGCTACAGAGGTTAACAAAGAATGAGGGGCAGGAAATGACATATCAAGATGTGTTTTAAGACTTATTGATTTCTACATTTGCAATAGGAAAGCTGTATATAGTTATTGACTGCAAAAGTAGTCATTTAAATAGTTGCTAGAAATGTACAGTTACCTCTTGGCATTACTGAGTATTTAGTAGGCTAAGATAATGTGATGGTAAATAAAATACTGTTTAAGTTGTCCAAACAGAAATTTAAAAATAAAATGAGCTTCCGCTCCTAAGATTTTACAGTCAGCTCAGCAAATGAGGAGTTTCCAGTTTCTGAAATGAAGTACTCATTTTCTTCCTAAAATATATGGGTTAATTTGTGTTTCTACTGATTTATCAACTGAAGAATTCAAAACATTAATTATGCTATCATAAGAGTCTGTCTCAACAACAAATTTTACAGCACTCACTCTAATTTAAAGTTCAAGTGTTGGAAGTTAAAAAGACAGCTTCCATCCAATTACAATAATCTTTAAAGCAGCTGAAATATATATGTAGATACACCCATGTTCACAAAATTGTTATCCCTAGAAAATAAAAATAAAGCACCATCACTGATTTTTAGTGAATGGAAGAAACTCTCTAAGTCCTCAATTTCAACTTCCTTGCTTTTGGAAATGAATTCAGATAATTAGTGGTGAGCTGATGGCCACTGCCTGGGAGATGGGGCCCAAGGGCTGAGAGCAGGATGTTTGCTTTAGGCCTCGGGACCGAACAGAACGAGTGGTGCAGAGTTTGTCACCCAGCAAACACAGAGCACAGCCCCGTCCTGCAGAGCCGCTCACCTGAGCTCTCACTGGCAGCCTGATGGAGAGGACCCCTGGCAGCAGGGCAGGGCAGGGCAGGGCAGGGCAGGGCAGGGCAGGAGGGGGCTCAGCCCCCATCAGCCCCACACGGGATGCCAGTGGCCCCGGCCAGGGTGTGGCACCTCCTGCAAGCACCGGGGCAGCACAAGGTGTTCTCTGGGCTCAGCTCACACCTGCACAGCCACCACTGCTCCCAGGGCACAGGGCCCAGCCCCTGGGACAGCTGCAGCTCCAGGCAAGGCTCAGCTCCTTGGCTTCCTCCCGTAGCTGGACACTGCACAAGTCACTGCCCAGCACAGCACAGCTTGTTTTATCCCACAGCAGAAATTTCCAAACACCACACAGCACCACAAACCAGGCACAATTACCTTGTGACAGACACACACAACTGGGATGGGACAGCTATAGTTTTGAGTATCATGAACTCCTCATGCCGGGAGGAAAGGAGGAATAAAACACAGTTATTTTTTTTAAATACCTGAGGAAAAAAAAAACCATGGCAGCATTTCACATTTCACTGCATGCATTCTATTTACTCATGATTTTTCACACTACTGCAGAGAGATGCCCACCATTTACCAAGGCATCAGTGCTCCTAAAAGCATTTTCCTAGGCTGTTCATAGGCATGAGTATGTGTGTGCCTACAGATAGTTACTTCTCTCCAGAAATTCCCCCCAAGACATTCTCTCTGATGAATTATTTCTTCACATAGTTCCTTAACTTCAGCCACAACCTGAATCTACATATGTAGGCAAAGACATGAGAAACAATTCAGACACGTCTAAGAAATCTTTTCTGTTTGGCTGTGACATCAGAATTAGTGTCTCCTGAGCTTCCCAGAGAACAGAGACCCTGAAGCAGGAGGAATTGTACATGTCCTCTCAAAGGCTATTGCCAGCACCTGCCCTCCAAAGCTAATGGCTTTTGGACTTGACTACAGTTGGGTACAACAATTTCCAGAACCGAAACATGAGTCTGAGACAATTATAGCAAAATTACGTTTTTTTCCTCTGATAGAAACTGTGTGCATCTCACGTAACTGTTTTCTCAGTCTCTCTTTTCTAATATTATTTCCTAAAATTTAACATTTGCTTTACTTCCTTTCAGAACACACAACCTACTGGCCCGCACTGTGCATTGTACATATTTGGTGGGTAAGACCAACAATTTTATCCTCTTTGGATACACACACAAAACCAGTCTTGTCTGACTGCATTTGGCCAGCAGTCTGGGAACTACCAGTAACAAAGCTGAAGAGACTTCAAGCAGTATTCACATAAAAATAACTTTATGTGAAATACAATAACAATATTGAAACATTACCTCCCATCTTCTCTCAGTCTTTCATAAATGTTACAAAAATGACGCCTAAAGCAACTCCTTGTAGATGTGTTAAACGCAAAACTTTACTGCATATTTATAAATGTTCTTAAGAAGTATGGATTGCTCTCTCTGTTGAATACTTATGTTTGTCCCAGTAATAACTGCAGCTGAAGGGTGGGGTTTGGTGCAGTAGCTCTCTTACCTCCATGATGGGGTTGGAGGCCAAGACCTTCTCCTCAACATTGGCTTCACTGGCAGATCCACTGACCGTGGCAAAGTACCTCATGGCATACTTGGCAGAGACAGTCTTCCCAGCTCCAGATTCCCCACTGACAATGATTGACTGATTTCGCTCATCTCTGAAACACAAACACATGTGAATTCCCAGCTGTTCTCTCAAGGACACTTATTTTCTGTCCACAGCTTGGCAACAAGCCCTCCACCATAAATGTTAGCAGTACAGCATCAGGTAAGTGCAGGTGGCAGACACAAGGCAGTTAGTTCCCGAGCTCCTGACAGGCTGGCTGGACTGCCTTCCAGCAGGATGCTCCTCCAGGATGGACAGGATGAGCTGTGACAGCCCAGCCAGCCAGCAGAGCTGCTCTAGAGAACCTGGCTATGGCAAAGGATCTGTTACTGCTATTCACTACATGCTTCTGCAGCTACATCTATACAGAGTCTGTGATACAGTGCTCCACTAAATTATCAGTGGTCATTAGTAAAGATCATGAATGCCATCTTACAGAGGGAGAAATCAACAGCTGAGTCAGCCACAGAAACCTTTGGTCCCTCTGCTCTAATCACCAGCTTATCCCAAAATTGTTCTGAATCTGAAAAATTCAAGCATGGCTGTTCAGGACACAGACAGCAGCTCTGGAGTGAAGACAGTTCTTTTGTTGTGAAAAAAATTCTTCTCTTGTAAAAAAGAATAATTTCCATTTGCTCCTAAAACAGTTTTATCTCAACTCAAAGAGAACTCTGAGCATAAACCAAATTATATGAGTAAACAACACACTACAAAATAACACAGAAATTAACGTTAATAGAGTGCAAAACTTTTAAAATAAAGACCATATGTGCTTTATAAAGCTTTTACATTTTCAAAGCAAATGAAGTTAAAATAAAAGATATTTTTAAGTACTCCTATGAGTTAGGTAAGCTTAATTCTCTTTTACACACTAACATGAAAAAAGGCAAAAGGAGGAATAAAACTTTTCCCCAAAGCTTTACAGAGCTGGGGCTGGAACACAGGGAGCACAGGCAAGGTACAGACCAGGCTGTCCTCACAGCACAGGAGCTGTGAATGACACTTCAGGCACCTCCATGCTCAGGCAGCACAGTGACAGTCTGCAGGGCCTGCCAATGGCATCAGGAAATGCTGTGCAGGGAAATCAAAGACATATGCATGGAAAAACTACCTATGGTTTCTGTAGCCTAAAGGCCTGGCAGAAGATCTGGATTCTGCTTCTGGGATGATAAAAAAAGCCCTGCTGATGAAATAATGAAGCTATTTATCAAACACGTATAAATTACATGTGTTCCTTTTCTGTGTTTGGCCTGCCCACCTCAGTTAAAAATTGGTTATTTTGTCTCAAATTAGTGTTATGTGTCATGCTTATGAGCCCATTGGTATCCCAACATACTACCAATCCCAAATGGAAACAGGATTGTGTGCATGTCCCTCAGCATGGCCTCTAATGCACCATGGCCCCAGAGGCAAGAGCTCCTCCTCCTCCTCCTCCCTCCCTCTCTCCCAGGACAATGTCAATGCTTGTGATAACCTCACAGGTACCTCAGATACCTCGGGTGCCTGGCCAGGCCTTTCCACCCGCCAGAAGAATGGTGACCATCTCTATCTCCCACCCTGGAGTTAAAACACCATTCTCATCAAATCCATTTGGTCTTCCACTGGTTTCCTGTGGTCTTTGATGGAACTACTGACCGCCTGTTCTCTCCAAGGGAGGGCTCCATCCACGTCAACTGACCTATTCTGTCAACTCAAGCCAATTCAAGTCCCATCAGATATGAGGGCCCTATAAACTGGACAAGACCCCACAGTAACTGAGGAGTTAGGCCCAGTTAATCACCTGTGGGCACAGGCTCCGGGTAACAACTATTCACAGGCCCTGCTGCAATTCTCAAGGTACTACCTATCTTCAAAAACAATGCCAAGCCCTCAGATAAGAGCACAGCTCCAGCATCCACTTTGTGCTGCTCTCAAAGCCACAGGCTGAAGGAGTTCAGTCACTCATCCCTGGGACAGCCAAGGCAGTATTTGTCTACCAAATTAAGGTACCAGTTGAGGCAGATTTTCCACATTTTGGTAAAAAGGATTTACTTGGAATGGCTGAGTGCTGCTTTAAATTTAATAGCAAAGTGTTAAGAAGATCAAAGCAACCTAATTTTATGTTCTCAACTTGCATGTAACACATGCAATAGGTGTGAATGACTAGAGCACAGTTCCCACATTCATACACGCCAAGCTGTCAGCCTCAGTGGGAGAGCTGTGGGACAGCAGAACTGTTCAGCTGATAACCCACAATGTGCAGCCCAGGTCACAAACCCAACTGCCAGAGATGCCAGCCCTGGCCACAAGTCTCATCCCTCCCCTGGATGAGGCCTCATGTGCCAGTGGCCATCCAGCCTCTGCAGGACCTTGAGGGAGGTCTGTGTGCCTGGGACAGCTTGCAGTAACTTTGAAGATTTCCAGCTGGAAAATGAAGAAGAAACACTCTCGTTTCTTCCCCATTCCCCCTCACAGAGTTCACTCGTGGTAGACAGAGGTGTGTGGGAGAGAGCCTGTGGCTCAGGAAGCTGCAGGAGTTATGGATCCTCCAGCTCAAACAGAGCAGCAGCAGGATGCAGGAGAAATCCAAGTAAATGCCTAAAATCCACTGCTAAATGGGCCAACCGGTAACAAACAATTTTCCTCTCCCACAGACAGCTCCTGCAGTGAGTCAAAACCAACCATTTCTCCATAGGATTGGCACCATTCTCTCGTTTTTCTTCCTGTATCCTTTCAAATAGAAAAAAGAAAATCCCATGCCATTCTAAAATATGAAACTTCTGGTCTTATTTCAGGGACTGCCTAATACAGGAGATAGGCAACAACATAACAAGCTCTTCATTTGTAGATCACCAGCTGTATCATGTATTAAATATCATTAAATACACGAAGACTGAGGAAGCTCAAGTCTATGAAGTGGATCCTCTGATGGTTACAACTTTTTAGACCCCAAAGTACAAAAAGGTTTCAGAAAACCAAGGAACACAAGACTCACTCAGACTTCTGACAAAACAGACTTCTGACAGAACTGTCAATAAAAAACAAGCACTTTTGCCAAGAAAGGACATGGAAATAAAGGTGTCTCATTCTAACTGTCACATTCCTGAAGGACACATGTGGGAGCATGAAAAATACACACTGGTTTTGCAGACCTTAGTCTCTTTTCAGGAGTTCCACTTTTGCAAAGACAATAATAAAAAAATGAGTTTAAAATAATTTTTCCTTAAGAATACTGTTGCTAATTAGCCAGAGTTTCTTTCCCCCATGTTGTAACATATGAAGACTACTCTTCTCCTTAGCACACACTCATGTGCTCAGGAATAAGGGATCCATTATTATATTCCTGTGAAAGTACATACACACATATGCATTGCATACATTGGCCTGGAGAAGAGAGGGTTGGCTCTGTGTGAGCTGAAAGCATCGCTGCTGTCCCTTCTGCAGTGACTTTCTGTGTCTGCAGCAGCCCCAGCCATGATGACAAACAAAGGGCTCCCTCACTGCCTGCAGCAGGGCCCTCTTGCCAGAGCTCCATCCACGCTCAGGGCCGCTCTTGTCCTCACCAGTACATTAATCCATTGTTTTGCTTTAACACACTGCAGTGGCCATCCTCTAGCATATTATTCTTTGTGCTTTTTGGCAGAGAGAAAGGAAAACACAACGAAATGCTCGAGATCATGCTGGGCATTTGAAGGAGAAAGGAGAGTGTAAAACAAACCCGAACAGCGACAGGGGATGAGCTCTTCCTGCCACAGCCCCAGGGAAGACATGGCCTATGGACATCCTACCACAGGCTGAGAGATGTTTAGTCTTGGAGGAGGGTGGAGTGGTCTTGCCAGGCAGCTCTGCCAGCTCAGCAGAAAGTTCTTAACAACATAAAACTTTAAAGAAACAAAACACCACATTAAAAAGAAAAATAACAAGTAAACAAGCATCAAAGCCCCTTGGATGATGTATGAAAGATATTGTTTTTTATGATTTGGTATAAGCAGTGGTCTGAAGAATAGCCTCTGTTTATGTCAAATGAAATTTTCATGATCAGGCTGTGTTAAAAGTGAAACAAAATTTAAAAGATCAAAAACAAGGAAAAAATCCCAAGAAAACAAAAGTGACACTCCCTAAGTCCTTTCTCAGATACATATTACACCTTTAGGGTTATTTTTAGTTAAGTCATAAGCCCCTGACCTTTGACCTGATATTTTGAGTACTTAACATGTCCCTAGTCGGAAAAGTAAAAGCTGTAACTAAAACATTCAGCCAATGAAACAAGTAGGGCAACAGCTCCATGTGTGACACCACTTTGCAGCCAGAGACCACATTTCATGCAATACTTCATGTTCCTGCAGTTTTTTCTCTGACTAAAACGTGTAAGTAGATGATTTAAAAATTACTTCTGAATGGAGGGAACATTTTAATTATGCTTTTGCAAACAGAAATGAGGAAAAGCAATCTGGGAGATGAGAGGTGGAGGAGTCCTCTTTCCCCCAAAGGCAGATAGCAATCAGATACTAGCACACAGAACTACATCACTGTGATGCAATATTAAGCCAAATTATCTTGAAAAGATAAGACTGAAACAGTTTGACTGGGAGCAATTTAGCACTCATGGAAACACCATGTTATGTTCAGGCATCAGTCAGGCTCACATTCAGCTTTTGCTGTTTCTGAACAGCAGAAGAATAAAGGAATGACAAAGCTACATTAAAAGTGCCATTTTAAGATGACAGGCCCAGACACTTCACAAGCTGAGATGTGAAATGATAGGCTGAGATTGCTTGCTGTAGCAGAGGAGTTGGTTAAAAAATCTTCTATATAAATTGTCTCAGACCTATACTTTGGGAATCATGTGAAGGCAACAGCTGTTTCTTGGTAAATACAAGAATGAGGCCACACTACAGAACACCTAACTGTTAATTTAAAGTGTTCTCTATCACAAAAAATAACGCAGAAACGGATTTCTGCACAGGCTGGTAATTTTTAAAGATAATTTTACTTTATCTACAAAATTTTGTTGACAGGCAATATGTTTATGAGGAAACTCACTGTCAGAGAGCCAAAACTGAAAAGATGTAG